TATCAAGGGCACATGGCTTCAAAATTGGGTGGGCTCACTGTGCTCGCCATTTACCCTCACCCAAAACTTCTTGGACACCCCTTTTGATATTCCTGGATCTGCCCCTGCACATCCAAGAAAAGCGCCCGTATGTTCAAACTGCCGAAGCAAACCTAACCTCACGTATTAAGATTCTTCTCGTAAGGAACAAGAGGGAAATGACCGGCCTGTGTAATTCATCAATAATTTGTGGCATAGACTATCCCCGACACACCGCCACTCCCAGCCTCCACTCATTCGATTACTGGCCTCAAACCTATTTACGGTGGGCCAGTCTCCATGGATGACCACCTGGGTCAAGTAATTAAATTTACTGTCGCAGCAGATTAACTTAAGTATTAGTGTATTGCTTGTTGCCATTTAGATTTAACGAGAATTTAGTGTATAAGTTGTTGATTGTGTAAACTGTTATTTACCATTATGTTCAAATATTATTCATATTTACAAACGTGAACGATTATCATGCATAACCGATTTTTTTTACTAAAATATAAATTGTTAGGTAGATATTCACCCTTTTAAACATTTTCGTAGCTTCCCTTTCGTATGACAAAAAATACGACCAACAATTATTTAATCCGCATAAGCACTTTAACGCAATCAGTATTTGAAATGGGCTTTAAATGTCTCCTTATTCAACTTATCTTGTGAATGAAATAGAGAACATCAAATATATGACTTCGGTACCTTTTAATGGTCAACTGGAAAGATGAATCGGATTTTGTATTTATTTTTTTTTTGTCGACGAGGAACATCGGGAAAAGAAAATGTCCGTGTTGCTGTGTACAATGGAACAGTAATTATGTGAAAGATATAAATTGTGTAGCTAATTTACGAATGTCTACTGTGCTTAAAAACTGTAAGTAAATGTACAGTATGTGTAAATGTTGAATACTATATCGTGCTTTGTACTTATGAAACTCGTGAAATATATTTTACCAATGAACACTTGGTTGGAGACAAATTTTACTAACCTGTAAAGTCTCTAACAATGTGACCAGTAAACGTCAAACATTGTCACCATTTAGGTGGCATCCTGTTAATGCCTGAATAAATTTAAATAAGACAACCTGTGCTATCAGTAATGACACCCCCAGCTGTGCCCCCGCCTCACAACCCAATGTAACCCCTTCCATTACCTGGTCTCATGGCATTTTAGTAGTCTAAAGAATCTTGTGTAGCGGCATTTTTATCATTTAGCTAAATGCTGAGGTTAATTTGATGTTAAAATATTAATTAGTTGGTAATTTCCCACATCGCCTCGCTGTGCAGTTTAATACTTAACTTTTCCATTTTATATCTTACTGAAAATGAGGTGCAGGCTAGGATGTGAAATATGACCTAGACAAATTTTCATACTTGGAGCTACCACTTGGGGGTAATTGATGTCTATTTACGCCCTTCATAAGTATTTGAATCTGTCTTCACGATCTGATGATTTTACTGCTATAGTTAAAACAAGAGATATTATAACTGTCGCATGGTTATCCCTAATAGGGCCGACATATCACGCTCGTAGGGAATTAGGCGACATTAGGCACTAAGAGAAGGGTAGTATGAGAGATCTCAGAAAGGTTTGTCGTTGGGAATTGATTTAAGAGAGACAAACAATGCAGTTGATGAATGATTTTATTCGTCCATTGTTTCCCTTTGGGTACGAGTATAGCGATCATCAGACTGATAACCTAAGAGGCCAAATCAGAATTTGAGGATACTTGATTTAAAATCTGCGGTAGAAAAGATCTCGATAAATGCATCACGAAAACAAGAAACGAAGTTGTATGCTGTATATAAATTCTAATTTTTAATCTCGTATGTATAAAATATGGCAAAAACACTATAAATACTCAATTAGATCTAATGCTTAACGTTGAATACACTGTATTGGGACCCTGAGAGAAAGGAATGTGCAGTATTAGTAATAAATACCTTAATACAAATCAATGTTTTCAGATGTAGGTCCTATACGTGGAACAAATCTTAAAGAAAGTTCATTAAATCCAGATTAGCATCGGCAAGAAGAAATTTTAACACTGAAACACAGTGGAGATTGATAGTGTAATTAGGCTCTGGAAGGACCATTTAAGACGTGGAAGAGTGAATAATGCATGAGTGGTGGAGGACGAGGTGTGTAGTCACTAGTCTGGTCGAGGAAGACTCATGGTCTCTCATTGCCACTCATTACCACTCGTTATGCTAATGCTTGGCGGGTGTACGTCAGGCAGGCCTGCGTGTTTTGCACATGTTACTCTCTTTCCTATTATCTTTTATCTATCTTTTCTCTATTTATTCTTTGGTTATAGTGTGTTAATTTCCTTTGCAGTTTACCCAATCGATTAATAAAGGGAGGTTCATTTGTCACCCCGGCATAATTATGTACTCGAAGGTTCTTACTGCCGGGAAACTTTTAGTTCGAGTTATATTGAGCCTGTTCCAGACTTTGGTGCTAAAGGGTACATATACATGTATATGCTTAAATTTGTTACATAGATGAACTTTCCCCCAAAATGAAAGATTCTTTTTTCTCTACGAAAGTTTTGGTTAAAATCGTCAAATAAGCAGGCCTTGTTTGTCCCTTTGACAGCTTACAGTACATGTTTGTACACCTCTAGACTCCAGTCTAATATAAATTGTACTGTACTGCTTTCCTTCAGTGCCTTTGTCTTCACAGACAATTGTACTGGTCGGTGAGAGGAGGAAATGGCCTTCAGTGCAGGCTGCTGAGATTAATATACAGTATACCGCAAGTGAATCGCATTTGCAGCTCTTCACTCATACAGTAATTGTTTTTTCTCTGACCATTATTACCTAACTCAGACATAAATAACATTTAACAGGAACTAACTTAGGATTTTTTTGGTGTATCGTTAAAGTATGGCCTACTTAAACTGGTTCGGTTTAGTTTGACCTTCTCTTCAGGCGAGTATGACACAGTTGGGGGTTGAATGAGATGATAATTTTGCCTGGCTGCTTAGAGAATCCTTTCACTTCAGTCTCGTTAATGGTTATGGGCAGATTTTGAATTTCGTTGATATCAAGTATGCAAAAAAAAATTTCGTCTATTCTAGATAGAGATAAGATGCTGTATCTTGCTCTAGGTGATGGTCTTCTAGACCAAGGATAAGAGACTGTTTTTAGTCCTTGTTCTAACTTCTAGGCCATCATAACAGTTGTATGTTACAAGGTACAGTACGTCACACCTGCCCAACGTATTTTGAAAGTAATAACTTTTATGCCAAGTGATAATGCTTGTGGTTATTTTAGTGAGAATGATGAAGGAACGCAATTAATAATGATGTGACCGTGAAGACAGCAGGACAAGGAAATAACACTTGCTCAGAAAATATGTTTTTGCGGGGGCAAGTGTCAGGTGAGGGGCGAAAGAGCAGGGAGAGCTCGCGGTTGATTATTATTATTTATTCATTACCCTTGACTTTCAGTTGAAAGTAGTAGCCAGGGGCCTGGTACCGAGGTGTTGCTTACTTGTAGTCTCTATAGTATGGTCAACTTTGAGAGTAAGTGGATATGATCATTGAGGAAATAACTATAGAATGGTTGATGTAACTAGGTTGTGGTTTGCATGATGGTCAAAGAAAAAATACTTATCCTGTTAACATTATATACTTTTATCGAACTTCAGTTCCAAATTACGGTCTAAGCCAGGCGTTTGTGTTACAATGAAATGCAGTTTTTATTAAACTACAGTACTGTATAATCCGAGATAAAATATGATCTGACCATTGGCCCTGCCACTTCTGCCTTAAGCGGAGATTTAAATTATATTTAATAATTAATATATAATCACAGGGTTGGTGGCATCAGGAAGGTATGAATTATATGATGTGCTTAAATCGACATGCTGTGAATTACAGCCTAGCGTGAATTAACTTGTGTGCCTTTTAATCTAGGGTGACTCGGCACTACACGCCTGAGCCGAGGCCATCATCCAAGATTTCACACACAGCATATTGTCAGCGGCCTCATACCCCCTATACTGCTCACATATCCATACTTAATGTTATATATAGTTTTTTTATTTACCACCCTCTCTGCCAATTTGAACCTTACAATCTGTCAGTTTAGTTCTTGTAACCAATGATAAGTATACCAGTATAACTCTTATTCTTGCTGATGTCATTCATTGTATAACTGTATCTCATGATCTACAACGTGTCTTCGTTGTGCAACTTAAATATTTTCCTACCCCCTCCCCCCCGCCTCTCCTCCCTCCTTCCATCCTCTACAGCTCCACTACCAGAATATTGTGATCCTAAAAGCTAATCTAACCATATCAAAGATAACCTAACTTAACCTAACCTAACCTATCCTATCCTATCCTATATCTTAACTCGCCTGCATCTAGAAAACTAACCATTTACACAAGAAAATGCCTAGAAAGCTAAGCATTTGGCCAAGAAAATTAATAGAAGTGAAAGGAATCAACATACAAAACTGTGTCTAAAAACACCCCCCCCATAGTTACCGGACCACTGACGATCACCAGTCGTATATTAACTGGGATATAACTTCTGGTGAACACAAAATTGCTCTAACCCAATTGGGAGTGAAACTGCAATAATAAAAAAAACGAAATATGACAAGCAATACAGGGTGTTTATTTTTAGGATAGGTACTGTACCCTGTAATATAGATACAGTAAAGGCAAACTAAACTTGTGCCAGACAAGAATTCCGGACCAGAGATGTCTGGCATAATTAGAGGCCGAGAAGAAATGCTTAGTACTGTATATAACTGGAGTTGGAACTACAGAAATATCATTATTGGCTAATAAAGCAGCACACTAATGTACTGTACTGTATTTAGTCTTAAAACATACAGTACTATGATAGTTGTGAAGAGTACTGGGTAGTAGTTTTTTCTGAAGGCTTATATATCACGAAAAGAAAATTTATGCCACAGGTAAAGAATACAGTATTAATATCATATTGCTTCTCTTTCAGGATGTGGTGGACAATCACGGGCAATTTCGGCAACATCCTACCCATCGACTGGAGCAAGACCTACACCCGCCAGCAGTACCTCCCTGTCCTCAACCTCAATGAAATCAAGGTTAGTCTGAGCACTGTCCTCACCACACCCTAGTTTGTACCAGATGTAAGCCTGAGGTAGTCCATACAGTAGGATACAGTACATTACAGTATTTGTGAGTGTCCTTCCTAGGGGAAAAAGCTGAGTTGAATCTTTATTTTGAATAGGATAGTCACTAATGGTAGATAATTCTAACCACCCATGTGAACAAAGGATAATGATGCTCTTGTAATCTGCCAACATATAATCATCTTCACCATTTTATGGCCATTTTCAATGTTTGCATGTGTTAGCAATGATTACCTGATGGCATGGTGTCTAGTTGCCATTAGGCAAATTGAAACAAGTTTTATGACTGGATGCCCTTCCTATCACCAACCCATTTTTAAAGAGTGGGGACTGGACAATTGAATGTAAAATCTGTGTTTATACTGTATAAAGCAATTACACAAATGTGTTTTGTACTTGTGCAGGATGTGCCTGGTGAGATGGCAGATGAAACTGATGGAGGGACAGATGAGAATGCCGAAGAGGAGGAAGAAGTGGCCCAGGACCTTGACCTACACCACCTGATCCTCAATGGCCTCACTGCTGACCCTGTCAAAAGTGCTGAGGAGGTTATTCAAGAAATTGATGATATCATGCAGGTGTGTGGAAAGTTAGTCAATTTAACAGATACTGCATTAGATGTTTGGTCATGAGTAGAGTATTTACTATTTCTATTATCTGTTTAATATCAAACATAATTTATTTAGTAATTTAAGGGAGTGTTGGCACAGTGGTTATCATGGCAGGACTGGTTTAGCTATTTACTAGTACTGTACCAGGATAAAATTCACTTTGAGGAGGCAATGTGTGCTGGACATCCAGGGTGAACCAGTACAGTACTAGCACTGTGTGGCCATATCCCACTCCCTTGTCTTAGTAATCCAATTGACTCATAAACATCTAAACCATACAATGAGATACTGTACAGTATATGTGTCCAGTCTCAACCGGTCTGTTCTGCGTGATTCCAGGCCCACAGGTGAAGCTTGGGGTTGACTTTTAAAATCCATGGTTTATTAAGCAAGTTAAGCTTGAGTATATGTCATATTACCAAGTAAAAAAAAAAGTTTCTTTCAAGTGCTGTACACTTTAGTTTGAGTAAAATAAGAAAGCGTTATACCCAAGCCAGTATGAATATACAATAGAGTATATTTATTTCCACAGGAGGGAAGCTCATCTGAGGATGAAGGCGGGGAGGAGACTTCATCATCAGGAGAAAATTCACAGGAATCCACATCACGACCTTTTCCGGCCCCACTCTTTGCAGAAAGTAAGTTCAGTAACTTGATAACCGGCTCGAGACAGTATGTAACCAAGCAGCCACTGTAGAAATAGTTAAAATGAAAAATTCACTTATTTTAGCTTCTTGTCTTGTGTTTGTTGTTTCTTTGAACTCATAAAAATTATAAGTTACACATACATGTATAATTTTTAACACATTGACAACCAAATGTGGATTGCTGACATAAAATACATATTAGATTAGAAAAGTTCCCTATTCCTTTGCACCAAAAGACATACTCTCCAGTATGCATCACAGTACAGTATATAGTACTCTCCTGAGAAAAATCAATAATTTTAATTTGATTTAATTATTGTAGTGCACAGTACACTCTACCCTTATCTTCTTTTACTTGCTTTGTATCCCTATTTTCTCTGCTTTGCAATGTACTGTATCATTCATTTTTTAATATATTTATATATACAGTACATGTATACTGTAATAATATACAATAGATTTCTTATTTACACAAAAAAAGATGATGTATGGATTATCAATTACAATTTTTTTGGGACAGAGTTAAAGAATATGAGTGTTGCTGAGCTCAATGAGTCTCTCATGGAGCTGGAGCTAGTAATTCGACAGTACTCCGAGACACTCATCAACCAGTTAGCACTAAGGGATGAACTGGAATATGAGAAGGAACTCAAGAATTCCTTTATCTCCCTTCTCCTTCAGGTATGAAGAATAAATGATTTAAGTTTTTTGTTATCTTTTTTTTTAATACTGTACTTAAACATTGCATGGTAATGAGTTGTGATAAAATATCATCAGAGACATTAAGTTAGATATTGTACAAGAATACTTTAACTGAGAACATTTAACATTATGTGTATGGTAAATACCAGTTCCGTATTTAGACTTGGCAGGGCCTAGTGCCATTGACTATGAAAGCCATTTCCCCAATGGCCCCTTTGTAAATCCAGCACTGATAAATACTGAATAAACAAAGTAATGTAATATAAAAAAATGCTAAAGAGCTGCTTATTATTGATATTTGTAATTGTGATATTCCGTACATATTTACACACGTTTAAAGATTTTTTCTAAAGAAATTTGACAGAAAATATTTTACAATAAGTATGTAGCCAATACACAGTTGTGTACTATTGTCTCCAACAGGTGCAGAACAAGAGACGGAACTTTAATGTGGAGAAAAAGAAACAGAAGAAGGTTGGACCAAATGGCACAGATCCGAAGGTGGATTTAAATTTACTGTGGCCGTCTTATTTTTTGTTTTGTTTTTAGTTGAACAAGTTTATTGAGTTTGCCATTTCAGCATTATTTTTAAAACTGCATACTGTATTTCCATAAGATATATATATATATATATATATATATATATATATATATATATATATATATATATATATATATATATATATATATATATATATATATATATATATATATATATATATATATATATATATATATATATATATATATATATATATATATATATATATATTTTTTTTTTTTTTTTTTTTTCATTACTTCTTTATGTTAAGCATGGATCAGTCTTTCATTATGGTATCTATATTAAGTGTCCACCCTACCAGAGAGGATATACTGTACTATTGGTTTTTATGCCCTATTTTTATCTCCTCCAACTGTTTATTAGTTATTCTTACTTCTTAAGACCCCCGACCATGTGGTAGATGTGTATATTGACTGTGACTTATAATTAATTATGACCTTTTACTGTACACTTTCTCCCATACTGCTCAACCAAGAGGCATCCTAGTGACAACCTCTCGGATAGATGTAAAAGTGAGCTACAGTATTCCCTAAAACTGTATATTCCACTCCTACATTACTTGACTTAGGATGACATCTAACATTAAAGTGCCTATTGTGAGATGAGATGTACATTGAAGCCTTGATTTCCATCTCCAGGATTTTAAAGTTACAGCTATCTCATTCTACTAAACATCGTATGTACATTGCTTCTTTTTATATTGCTTCAGCAGGGATAATAACATTCTCTAGCAACTAGGCACTGACTGATGAGTAGGTTTACATCTTTACCAATTAAATACATTTTTTATGAATTATTGAAGAACCAACTGTCATCCAAAAGGGGGATGGAGATTTAATATACTCCCTGTACTGTATGTACTATACAGTACAAATACAGTATTTGACTTCTTTTTTTTTTTAACAAATTGCCATGTATTTTAAGGAGGTGTATACTGTACTGTATATTTAACTTAAATATTAGTATCAGATTTATTGTATATTCTGTTAATTATTAAGTTTTTTTCCCTGCAGTATCTGACTACAGTCATTCCCTACGACGTGGGTCATGGTCCCCCGCACAATCCAACGCTTCAGATCCTCATTAAGAGTGAGTTGTTATGACACTCACTATAATACTGTAGTCCTTTTAAATTGGCATACTGTTTTAAGTTTCTCCTCTAGCTAATTTATTGTTTACTTGAAATTCACTACCTATAGAACCTAGGGTTTTTTATAGATCTTGTTTGAATGCTGTATGTGATAATGATAATAATTCCTACTATCACTTTAGTGTTTATGGTGGTTTGTGATAAGGTTTAAGACTTGTAAGTCTTGAAAGTTAAAAACAAAGATGAAAATATTTTTAGAATACAATATACCAGAATTTTGCAATAAAAAAATATGGGAACATTCCTGTGTGTCATACCTCTTCCACTTTTTTACTTCTTGCCTTTCCAACTTTGGCTTGAGGTCTGCTTTAAGTTCATAAAAAGTACAGTACTCATACTGTACTATTTCTCAGATATATATGTTAACTTTATCAATAAATCTCCCCTTTTGTTAATAATTTTTGAGGCATTATGACATTTGTCTCTGTTCAAAGAAGAAATCATTGGAATGTAATTACAGTATATTTGAAGATACTGTAATTTTAAATGTAGCTTCTTTGGTTTTCATAAGGTAATAATACTGGACACTTTTTTCTCTCTAGTTTTGATGGCCATTAATGAGGATAGTCCTACAGTACCAACATTACTCACTGATTACATCTTAAAAGGTTAGTGTGGCTCCAGTGAGATGGTAGTGCAATACAGTATTGATTTTCCCAAGTACAGTACGTGTATGTATTTGTAAAATTGTTTAATAATTGAAGATCTACCAAATGTGTGAAGCTGCTAGTGAACAAAAATTTATGTTATTCATCTATATTTCTCCCCGGTGGAAAGTGGATAGTTAAGGTAAAACTTCAACTTGTTTATGTGGTGGCCAAGGAATAAATTAACCCGAGTTTTTGTGATCCACACAGATGGTATCATGACAGAAAATTCATGTAGTTTGCTTTACATTTCCCTTACTATATGTCTTTTCTGACTTGTCGTGAGGAATCATTAGCATAATAAATGGGTGAATGGTTGCATGATGCCAATATTTTTTTTTTTTTTTACATTTTATAAGCTGTGATTAGCCGGGTGTGGATTTTTTTATTGTTTTCATAAAAATTTTATTTGTCTAATAATGGAATAGTAAATGTAAATATTTACCATAAAACAAGCCTGATAAACACCTCAGCATCAAAGAAAAAATACAGTACAGTAATAAAGAAGTCTTCATTTGTATCACCTCATTATAACACAACACAGTAAATGGCATAAAAATCCAAAATGTAATGTAACCAGGACTTGTAACCAGTCGGGATGTTGTATAATATCGAACATGGTCTAAAGATGCATGATGTCAGTTTTATACTAATGGAATCATGAAATATTGGGTGGATTTTTTTCTGGCCACCATTACATGGCTTTCTATTATATTTTTTTCTATTTCATACCAGTTGTTGAGAGGGTAGTGATCAAAATATAGAATGGCTGATATTGTATAACATTACATTTTAAGTACATGTAGTTGTTCATTAAACTAAGATTGATTATCGTATCATAGGATGGATGCAGATTTTGAAGTTTTCAAAATATTTTTGATAAAGCATGACATACTTGTTATTGTTGCTGTTGCAATAATATGGAAATTTTTTGTAAGTAGAGTTTCATGTCTGATATTATGGAATGGTGTTATAGTAGAAAATTAGCAATTAAAGATTGAAGTTTTCTAAAAGCAAACAGTTTTAGTTAGGGATACTGTAGATCAGTAATTTTTTAAGCTCTCATAATCCTGAAGATAAAGACAGCATACCCACTGGTTTTCAAAAATATCTTTATAAACATAATACAGGATGCAAATATTTCTGGGTTTTGAAGGGCTTGATAAATCTAGCAAGAGGAATGGGTGCATGTTGAAAGAAACGACTGTTATACTTAATATGTTTATACTGTTGTAGGATAATATACAATCCCTTGGTACTTGCAATGTTGTGGTAATTTAGCCTGTCTAATAATTTGATCCCTTACCACATGATGTGCTGCTTTCCCCTCACCACACTTCCCTGTCCTGCACCGTGTCACTGTCATGTGTTATAACTCTGTCATGTCAGTATTTGTTTGATTAAAATACAAAATGTAGAAAACAGTAGTAAAAAATAAGATAAAATTTGTGATAGCTGAGAATGTTGAGAATTTATATAGATTAATATTTTTTAATTGAGTTTTATGCCATTCAGTTAAATATTCTCAAATTTTTAAAATACAGGTGTACTGAAAAGTATTCTGTAAAGTTTATATTTTTTGCCTCGCTCAGAATTTAAAAAAAATCACATTGTTAAAGTAGCTCAGCATTTTATCTTTCAAATTTTCAGGTATCCTGATAGAGGCCCACATCTACACAATACTGACCTCTAACCTCTCGAAAAATAATTACCATTAATTTGTACTCTAATTGTCCTTACAGTGTACAACATCTGAGTTTATCTCATACAATATAAGACAATCCACACAATAATTTTTGCTAGCTTTGCAAGAGTCTTCTGCACTCACTCTATCCGTGCCCTAGCAGCCACCTCGGTTCCTAACCCTGAATTATTGCCTAGTTTACAATTCATATTTTATACTGTACTGTACTCAATCCCCCTTCATTTTTCAAGTTAAAAGAATGCTTTAGGGGATCTTACAGTATCCAAACCAAATGAGGAGAACCTCAAAAGACATAGTTGTGCATATTTCATGTTTCTAGACTTTCATTAAATGGTGCAGCGCAATCCAGAATTTAATGTGAAATTGTCGAACATTTGTAAGACTTATGAAGTGCATGTATGCAGACAGTGGCAAGTAAAAATTCAGGATACAGTACAGTATACTGAAAAAGTGATATGAAAATATGTGGAACTAAGTAATACTGTACATAGAATAAAACTCGCTTTTACAAAGTGACATTACAAAAATGCTTCAAGACATATATTTGCCACCCTGTTTCAAATAGTAAGAAGGTTATACACAAAACAATTATAAATAGAAGTCTACATCAGTGTATGTAATTTTTATTATTATTACAAAACATTATTTTTAATCAAGAACAAATTAAGATTCCTTTCACTGCAAAGACTACCTTACCTTTGCAATGAGAAGAGACACATTAATTAGAATTTCCATATAAATTTTGCAAATGAAATATCCATAACTTCGTCTGTCACATAACTATTTCACACCCCCATGCACTCCCTTTATTTTAGTTGTTTTGTAGTGCTGTCATCATGCATTCCCTCCACCACAAAAATACCAGGATACTCTGTACAGTACAGTACAGGTATTAGTCACAGGGTTGAGCTGAGTGGCAGCACCTGTAAGGAACATCCAAAAATTTTCGTGATTTTTCTTGAATTTTATATATATATATATATATATATATATATATATATATATATATATATATATATATATATATATATATATATATATATATATATATATATATATATATATATATATATATATATATATATATATATATATATATATATATATATATATATATATATATATATATATATATATATATATATATATATATATATATATATATATATATATATATATATATATATATGATCAATCCCTATTAATAAACCAAGTTTTACTGCATGGAGGTCACTTAACCAAAATCTGTTGGATGATGCAAGTGAACCTTGAAGAGGTAGTTAACATATAATATGTGAACCTTCCTCCAGTACTGTATTCTGTTATTTCAGTAAATATCATTCATTTACTAACATTAGGCTTTAGCTTCACAAGGTTTAATTTGTATTTTGGAATAACTAAGTTTCAACCATTACAATTGTTACTCTATGTGTAAGTTCATAAGTTCATTATGTAGAAAGCATATTGTGTTTAATTAAGATGTCTAAGGATACAACTTTGGTTTATGAATATAATCAATCATATAAATATTAAATGTGGTGGAATAATTTTAAATAAACAGAAGTTACATTTACCGAAATTGTACTTTTGCTCGTTAGAAAATGACATGTACTGCAACGCTTTGGATCCCTGTTGTATTGATTTTACTTGTTCATATATATATATATATATATATATATATATATATATATATATATATATATACAGATGTTTTGATATTACAGGAAAAAAATTGAAATACAGTTTTGTATTGAACTCTAAATACTCACCTGACCTATTCACTTGACTACACTCTTTTCTCTATTAGACCACTTTTATTTATATTTATATTTGGCTTCCTTCCCCAAATTTCTTTATTACGCCATGTTAATGACCAACCTAGTCGTATTTCCTATTTTGGACATACAGGGGTATTGTGCTCATTACATTCTGCTTTGAAGCATATTTTAATTTTTTCTCTGACTATTCTGTTCTTTCTTAACCTTTAATTTTGTTGTTTTACCCAGATAACTTGGATTTCATCTACAAGAGGTAGACCAGACTTACAGTACAGTATAACCAATACCTACTGGAAAAAATATCTTCATAAAATTTTCATCCTATTAAACCTATATAAATCTATTACAGGGTATATATTATTTTATGCACAGTATCTAAAAAAAAAAGCATCTGTCCACATACTGTGTGAAACATGAGACTACGGAAGATACGTATTGGGACTTACGTTTTCTTTGGTATATAATTTAACATAAGTATCATAATGTAATGTGTATTTATTTCGGCAAAATTAATATGATGTTCGGCTTCCAAATTTAGTAGGATCAGTATGCCACACAGCAACGCATACCAGCCATATCAGGGTATCACGAGTTGCATGCAACATTTTGGAAATCATTGGATCCATCCTGGCAGATACTTTATTGAGATACTGCACAAAGAATAGCTTCTTCCACACTCAAACCATCCTCTAAGTGACGTGAGACATTCAGCTGCTTAGCCTGGCAATCACTGGGGACAGGCAGAACCTCCCATGCATCCTGCATGGGTCACATGTGTTATACCATTCCAAGATTGTCTCCTCATATATCAGAATTTTGCTAGTTAATTGCACATCACTTTCACAGCAGTGACAATGCAGGAAAAACTTTTGGGTAGCGATTATCGTAAAACTAATCTTTATTCATCGCATTGCAGTGAATTGTATTAATTTTTTCGCAACGTAAAACTGATCGAGCGTATATTGATTCATGGTGTAACGGATAGTGTAACTGGCAAGTCCACTTATGGTCTTTGCCATAACAGGAAAGCAAGGCTGCCAATATAAGCCAAGACTAGAAATTTTCACCCCTGGGTCTGATGGCTTTTGAAATGATCACTGTGAATGAGGTCGTGTTCATTTGGTAGGGTTGGTATTTCTGATTGTGTGATCCACTGTGTAACAAATGTGATACACTGTACAATACTGTATCTTGTATATCACATACAGTATATACAAGATAGAGAAATTAACAAGAATACATAGAAGACCTTAATGAGAAGACATTACCCGTATATCAATACAGTCTATACTACAATGTATTACCCACATAAGAAATGTCTTTGACCATAGGAAATGAGTTGCTGTATAGGAATTTCAGATATGAGATGAAGCGAAGTTCTGTAACTCCTCGGTATTATAACTTATACTGTATTTAATTTATAGTAACAATATTGGATGAAATATAAAACCTCACCCAAGAGAGAGAACAATATAGATTACATTACTACGTTTTGTAAGCCATAGAGCACAGTATTTCACATTAGGGGATGAGTTGCTGTAAAGAATTAAATGCATTATGAAAGGAGCTTACGAAACCTCTTATTATATCACCTACATTTGCCAATGTAGCAATGAATTTAACCAGAAGGAATGAGTTGCCATAAAGGAATACAGTATAATGAATCAGTTTAAAATAGAACAATTTTAATCATCATATGGCAGAAACCCAGAGCGTTTGTCAGAATTCTTGGTCCGGTGCGTCATATTGTATAACACTGAAATGGTGCAGATAATTTTTTTGTTGACTGTACATGATATGGAGGTGGTTACAAACTCCAACATACCTTTAGTTGTCCTTGAAGAAAATATGAGATGTTTGAAACCTATATATTGATTCATGCCCAAACCCAGTAACATAATAATTTGTAGTATTGTTTTGTGTAGAGTAGTAAGATATTAATAAACATAAAGTTGTACTGTACAGTATACTGTAGTGCTTTATATTAGTTCTGTATATTTGCCCAGCTTCTTTCGTTGGTCAGACTTGTGCTTTTAGGATAGCATCTTAATCAATATTTCACAAACAAAACCTTCAGACACCCCAACACCAAGCAAAACTGTAATTATATTTATTACCTTGTTATTAGTAGTTGGGGCAAACTAATTTGGATTTTTATCTTGCAGTTTTTGTGCCTTGTAACTGAGTAAACCCAAGCTAATTGGAGATATTTTTGTTGCAGTGTTGTGTCCATCATGAGTCTGTGCTGTATTGAGAACAGCCAGGCACACTGGTGGTTGGCAGCTGGGGGAAGATCAATGCTAATGACCCTTTAGACAGCTGAAGCCGAGACATTCCGCACACACTCCTATATGTAGTCTCAGTCAGAGTTGACTGTACATACAGTGCATGTCATTATTTTAGGGTGACATATAAATGAACCTTGTCCATTTGTTTATATTTTTAGATTATAAATGAACTTTTAAATAGTTAATCATCAAACTGGAGTGATTTAATAAACAGACTATATAGGAATTCCTATAGCAGCTAGTCATCTGTGCCAATGGCCTAATGTATTATGATATAAAAAGATATTGGATGGAAAATGAAAATGGTTTAATAACTTAAGAAATGCATTTTACTATACTCTACTTGAATACCATTAGGTAAACAGGAAAATGACTTAACTAGTCACAGCTAATTAGATACATTACCAGAAGGATGTGTATGTTACCATAGTATTCTGATGTTCTATTTCTATAGCCTTTATTCTTGTGAATTTTCTGTGATTACATATCTCAAAATATACTACTTAATTAAGGTACCTTTCAATAGGAGTCACAATGTGTAAATTTAATCTAAATGAAAAAAAAAGGAGTAAAATTTTAAACAGCTTAATATTGGATAACCAAAGAGCCTTTTCCACCTGTATCTGTTATTTTCTTTACTGCTGAACTTTCTAAGCAAAATACTGATTTAGAAAAATAAAGTAAGGATATTCAAGACATAACCATAATATCTAACAAATGCTTTGGAATCCTTATGAAAAAAAATACTCATTGTCACAAAATACCCTCCAGAATTTAAACATGTATTCATTTAAACTTCAAGTCTATAATGTTGAGAATTTGCTATGCTTGAAGTGCGAAGATCTGCTGACAGTTGTATTTCGCTATTTCCTGAAGCCCAAGTGCAATTGCTGTATTAAATGTATATGTGTGTGTGTGAGTGTGTGTGTGGCTTGAACTATTGTATAAGTAAGATAAATGAATTGAAAACTTTAGCTGCTGTGACTCATAAGCTTAGGGTAGGTTTTGCAAGAATTATAAAATCATGCAAGAAGAAGTTCAACTCTCACTGGCACCTTCAACTATTCAATAGCTATCTACCATGGACAGACAAGCAGCTTCAGCTATGCCCTGTTGTATTCCCCCCAAAATTCAGGATATCTCTTACCAAAATCTTCATAGGTAAGATGTCCCTCAAATACACAATTTATATTAATTTAAACAAGAGAATAAACTTGCTTCAGTACATACATACATTACACATTATTTATCATCACTAATCTTCAACCATTGCCTCCATGGGTATGCAGACCAGAAATTCATCCTCCTTGTTTCTGGACTTGGATGAGGGTGGGACCTATCTCTCCTTATAGTGCTTTGTTCCATTGTAAATGTTAGATATGCATGCACTGCCGTTCAAGGATTCAATTAACAAAACTGGAATAGAATAAAACAAAATATGAAAACTTGATTGTACTTTTCCAAACATTTTCATATTAATTGTCACTGCCATTATTTGATAACACATTAAAGTGGCATGAAGAGGAATATAGCTGGGCAGTTTGAACTTCATATTACACAGCTTCTCCACAAATATGCCTAAGATATAAATTTCCTTCTATATTTATAAGGAATCCTGGGCAGTTTTGACCAAGTAGTGGTGTACATAATTCTTCAATGTGTATTGTAACACTGTCTGTGCTCTGTCTACAGTGCAGTACCAGTACCCAATAGTTCATGCAATTAATTTACTGTACCCAGGTGTCACTGTGTTAAAACTTTTGTTGAGTAAATAGTTTTAACCTTTTGTAAACAGGTTCAGTAGTTGTTTTTATGATCATTAAAAATTACTTTGGCTACCCTATGGCATGAATGAAGATAATTTTACCCTATGGATCACTACAAAAAGTTTCACTGCTTGTATGAATGTTTGCTTGTTAATATTGAATTTTATTGATACAGTACAGTACAGTATATGTACAGTATTTCAACTTTTCATCTGTGATGCTTATTTCTGCATTGTATATTATTTTGAATCTTTACAATGTTATTTTGATGTCAAAAACCTATTTATAAAATAAAATCTCTGTTCTTGTATATGACTTTGCATTATCACATGCCAAATGTTACATGTTTGAGAGCAAAACACACTTAAAAGAAAAGAAGACCCTTACTGGTCGTACATAGGTGAAGGTTGATTAAAATAGTAACTCTTAACTGCTCTACTGCCTATCTCCTTGGAATTGGACCCACTAGGGGAACCCTAAATGGTTAGCAGTAAAACACGAAATTGCAATCATTGGTTCTGTGAGTAAGTGCTGGGAATATATTGTATATATTGTATGAGTACAGGAGGTCCCTGGGTTAGAAACGGGTTCTATTCCTGAGGACGTTCTTAAGTCGGATTTGTATATAAGTCGGAACACATGCTACGTTCAATACCGTACTTTCAGAACAATGTTTAAAATCCCACTATATCATAGCCCAAGTCCTTATATACATCTAAAATCACTTAATTTAAGAGGAAAAAGAAACAATGACAAAATACAGGAAATGAAAGTAAAAAATAAGTCCTCGGGTAAATAAAATACTGTACTGTAAATTTTAAGTTTAACCCCGTTCGTATCGGCGGGCATTCGTAAATCTGACGTCCAAAAGTTGGGGACCCCCCTGTATTTTACTTCGGCATCACAAGTTACAGAATATGTCTTCCTCAGGAAAAGATGACTCAACCACTGATTAACGTGGTTGGTACTGTCAACCATGCTGACCAAGCATCAACCCCCTCCTTTCCAAAGAACAGAATCAAGAAAAAGACTCAACAACTGACACACTTACGAAGTGCCTCACCTTTCTCTACAGTGCATTTACTCAAACATTCAAGAATCCAGTAAACTGCTTATCTGGATTGGCAGAAACATTAAATTATTTTTAAACAGTTAATAACTACAAGTTATTTGTTAAAAATGTAATGGTCAAAATATTGGCCTTTATAGGCAATAAATCCACTTGATTGTTAACCCACAAACAAAAGAGAGAGACTGAAGGATGTTTTTAGAGTGTGAGGATTTTTAAGCAGTTGAGAGAAAGGGCAAAAATTTAGACAGAAGCAGGCAACATGTAATCTTCCCACCAAATTTGTTCCACCTTGGATATTGTCTCCTGGAAGGCTCAGAGAGACCTACAAGGCCACTAACAGGCTTATGAGTTGATAAGTGATGAAGAATCTAATAAAGTCTGCAGGAAAAATTAAAAAAAAAGTAAGTCGAGTGTAGAGTTTGCAAGGGAGAGTGAAGAATCCTGACATTGCCCAGTGGGACATACGAGAGTTCTACTGGCCACTGGTCATATTGTTTTGATTTGCGATTAATAGAGAATCTGATGACTTTATTGATATTCTTGTCAGTTTTGTACAGTATTTATGAATGTCATTAATCATTTGATAGAAACCTGTCAACTGCTCAAGGCCTGAAACTCTAACGGCAGGACGTCAATAGGCCTCTGTGGGTCTTTTGCTGACTCTGCCCAAAGTGCAAATGCCAGTCTAAGCATTTTTTGCACTTTAATTATTTCATTGCAAGCTTGAACACCATTTAGATTGGAAGCAATAGCCTTAAGAAATTGATATGCACCTCGGCTGTGAGTATACATTGATGGTTTATTCAACTCATTCAACTCTACTACTGGCATTAGCAATATTTTATGATTTCAGGACTCAGCCTGGGACAATTATATTCCTGCTAATTATTCCCAATCATGTACAAGAATACTACTTAACACATAAAATCGAGATCAGTACACCAGGCTCACACCGCTGTTTTCAAACACATGCACTCGGTGGTAGTCTCGCTAAACTCCGCCGCGCAGTGTCAGGGAGTTAAAGTCCTCCATGATAAGGAGGTGGCTAGGGTTGAGCATTGCCGCATTGTCTATTAAGGCTCTTAAGTTCCTTTGATTTAGTGGGCCACAGTTTGAGGATCTGTAGATACACCTGACAATAAGTAAGTCCCTTCCCTTTAGTTTAATTTTACACCACTTGGACTCTTCAAAAACATCCTATACCCTCATCTGGCTGGCTCCAAGATCTTGCCTAGCATAGAAAACCACACTCCTCTTGCAAGTTTCTTGAGAAAGGTTTGTAAATGAGTCATATCCAGCAATACTGAACTCACATTCCTCTGGGTCGATTCTCCTGTTCTTGTACAACAGTTAGACGACTCCTACAATATCTGGTTGGTGTACCTTCAGTAGTGTTTCAAACTCCTCTCTCTTATCAAGGAACGTGTCAGTATTAGTGTACATGGAATTGTACATGACATTCACCTTGACTACACAGTCAGGGCAATACCAGCAACAGCCTTCATGCTTTACGGCAGTTTGCAACATCCTAAACGCTGTAAGGGTAGGCCTGTCTCCTCCATATCTGACGTCCCCCTGCAGTAATCACATATCATACTCATGGTTGTTGTTGTTGTTGTGGGGACTGTGTATAAATCTACCTATCTAAGAATAAAGAGGAAAAAAAAGAACAGTACTTAGCTGCCCTCTGCTCTTGCTTTAAACCTGCCCCGTTGCCTTTAGAGTTGTCTTCTGTTTCCTTTTCAGTTCACTTCGGCGTTTGTCGGTATGTATGTGCTACATCTATGTACACTGCATTTTGCTATGAATAACAGATTTTATACACCCACTCAGTCCTTACGAAACACAGAAAAATAAAATAAAACTTTCTTTGGGGCGGTAATTGAATGCCTTTAAGGATAGCCAAGCTTGTTGATTTCATTTATATATTTATTTTTATTTCAACTAGTATTTCCTTACACTTTCTTTTCCTGTTCTCATAGACGACTATATCTATTTGTGCTATCACTGTGTACACTGTATCTCCCTGTGTATTGTAGGCACAGTTTCAGTCCATGAGAATGAAAAAAAAAAGAAAAAAAAGATAAGAGCACTGTGGGGTATGAGATGTTTGGTTCACACTCAGGATGGGTTGGAGAAAGGAAACTCACGACGTGCTCTCTATATACAAGTTGTATTGGATGTACAATGTAGCTTGGTGCTGGGAAGGCAGCATGGTTACAAGCGTGATGTAGAGAGAGCTGGTTGGTGAGGGTGCTCAGAGAAGGACAGCTTGTGGGTCGCCATGCTCGCCGGCGGGAGAGAGGACCGCCAGGCAGCGGCGGAGGAGGAGGTGTTGCTGGCTCGTAGGTGGAGGAAGAAAGAGGTCAGGTCTTCAATAGCAGGGGGTAGGCGTGGCTTAGTAGTTGACCCCCGCTCCGTGATGTATGGCGGCGCTGGTTGACCTAGACCACGAGGCATACACTGGGGAATTGGTGGGGTCGACTACTCAGCGACAAACAGCGTTTGTAGGGGAGAATTCCACTACAGCACCTTCAATTGCCTAACTTTTACTACATACGGGCAAAGGGTAACCTAATTGAGGTATTTAAACACCTCAAAGGGCACTACTCAGTCGAGTGTCCGTACCTGGAACTGGTGGATGCCCGTCGCCCGTCTCACAATGGGTCACAGTTCAAGGTTGAAGAAGTCCCAAGTCCAGAAAGCTGTGAGGCAAACTTTTTCGGTGTGAGAATTGTGAACTCTTGGAACAACCTGCCAGAGAGTGTTGTGACGGCACCGAGTGTGAGCTATTTCAAGACAAGACTTGACCAACACTGGAGCGGGTTCAGGTACATTCAGGAGCCGGTGCATGCCCAGTACTTACCAACAGTGAGTGACAGAGACGTCACCGATCAGTGGCCAAGAGGATAAAAACGAAACCAAAGACCAACTGGAAGAAAACGTTTGTGTTGACACCCTGGCCCGGGGAACAACCGACTTACAGCTGCTGGTACCAATAATACTACGTGTTGTATATGGTGGTGCTACAAACTTCATGCTCCCTGCCCAGACATTACTAGAAATACGGGAAAAACTTGTGTAGTAATCAAAATAAAGAAGCCTTGATGGAAACTACACATATACAGTAACTCAACTTTACATTGAAGTGTAACGATGCCTGTTGGAGCTGGAGGATTGTTAAGCTCCAAACCGTAAGTAGATTGTACACAGTAAATAATAAGGTGTTTACACTAAATACAATCTAAAGTTTTGGGTTAATATTTGTCCATTGGCTGTCCACAGGTTCCCGCCATGGTTATTTGAGGCTATACTGTACTCACTTTGAGTCACTTGTCTCCTGCCCTCTTTGTAGGTTATGTTGGTTCCTTTGGTAGACAATAGTTTTTGTGTGTGTTTGTGTCTGGTGTTTTGCTAAAAAAAATACCTCCATTCTTGTGCAAATTAACGGGTCCGACTAATTACCCAAATGTACCCAAATGTACCCAAATATAGCCGGAATGAAGTCAAATAATGGTCCTAGATGAATAAATCGGACTGCCAATCACTTCTCGACTAGTATTTGGTGTCACAAAGTCACAAAAAATTGGTAAACTTAATTTAATCTGAGTTAATAGATCGAGTGCATGTACCTAACCTAACCTAACCTCGACTAGTATTTGGTGTCACGAAGTCAAAAAAAATTGGTAAACTTAATTTAATCTGAGTTAATAGATCAAGTGCATGTACCTAACCTAACCTAATCTAACCTAACCTAACCTAACACAACACAACTCAGATTAAATTAAGTTTTCCAATTTTTTGTGACTTTCTGACACCAAATACTAGTCGAGAAGTGATTGGCAGTCCGATTTATTCATCTAGGACCATTATTTGACTTCATTCTGGCTATATTTGGCTACATTTGGGTAATTAGTCGGACCGCAAATTAACTGTTTGTTAAAAATGAAAATGTTAATTTTTTTGCAAAAAAAAACCCCACTTGTTTGCACAAGAAATAAAGGTCAGATTTGAATAATACACACCAAGAAACACCAAATGAACAATGAGTGGGTGCGTGAGGAGCGGAGATTTTAATTTTCAGTACAAGATATGGCCAGACAGGTTGAAGAGCTGTGCCGACATTGTGATAGAGATTATTTTACGTCAATTGGCCAGTTTCACCAGAAAAATAGTGAGGCAATTTCATTTTTTAGAAAATGCTGTGTATAACTGAACAACGTTACTTGTCCAATGTGTAATAATCAGTGTACACTGCGTGAAGAACAACACATTTGGCCTGATTCTTCTTCAGATTAAGATGTGGGGGCATAAACAAAGGGGGGTCTAGGGGGCTCTGCCCCCCTGGTTAGGTTAGGTTTGTTTTTTTATTGTTTTTTTTATAAAGGGGTAGGTTAAGTTAGGTTACATTTCTTTCAGTATTAGAAATATGTTTATTCCTTTAGTTTTTATGGGTTTTGAACGATTTTTGCCTTGTTCTCCATTGGAAATTATGTGTTTCTGTGCTTTACCCTACAAAAAACTCCAATTTCCTAACATCTTCCCTTGTTGGAGGGAGGAGGATCTCAAAAACGGGTGATTTCCGGTGGAAATGAATATCAAATTCGTTCGAAACTCATCAAAAACCATAGGAAAAACATTTTTGTACTATCCAAAGAAAGAACGGTGCTTTTCTATAAATTTACCCTGAACCCTACTTTTCCATGTTGAAAAAAAAAACATCGGAAAAACACATTGCTCGGTATTATTTCGCTTATTGCTACTTAATGAATCTTGGGAATTTATAGTTGCAATCAGTAATTTTGACAATTCTAAGACACTTTTCTTCAATGGCATTTCTAGTACTAATTACATATGAGCGAGAAAAGTTAACATTTTATTTTATATATTCGTATGTGGCGGTTCACACCCAGAACATCGAACGACTGTGGAGGTCCCCGGTTAGGTTAGGTTTGATTGGTTAGGTTAAATCAGTGTTATTCACTGATTTTAGCAAGAGAGCCACTTTGGCAAAGAACATTCCTTTAGAGAGCCACACTTACTCCTAATTACGATAATTTACATATATTTAATGTTATTCTTTCCTCATGTATTATATTCTTTAAAAATAATAATGCATAAACTATACTATTAAAGAAAAACTTATCTATTATTGTTCCTTAACTGTTTTCATTCAATACTGTACTTGTAGTTGTCACTGCAATCCTTGTAAGACAATCCAGATGGGCATTGGTCAATCTGTTCCTTTGTTTTCACTTCATTATGTTCATTGTTGAAAATGTCATTTTACCAGTATATGTACTGACAAAGAAGGACATCACTTTTTGCACACACACATCTTCAAAGCAGGGTAGTGTGTGTGTCAGGGACCACATTCCAAAAGTGGTAGACACCTGTTGTAATTTTAGCTTTCAGGGTGTCATTTGTCTGCAGTTCAATGATCTCACATTCCATACAGGTATGGTATGGAAGGGTTGCTGGGAAATGTTTGTCACTAGTTGAAGCACAGGCATGGCACACCTCAGGTGGATAGAGTGTACTGTATTTACTTATACTGTACTGTAACAAGAACTAGGGAAAAAACAAAAAATCACAAAAATTACAATTCCTCCATGTGTTCTCAGATATTCTTGATGTAAGAAAGAAATTATTTTCTATGGAGATTTTTTTCTAAAAATTTTTGTGTTTATATGGGACCATGTTCCAGACTTTTAACTTTTGTTATTCTTTTGTTTTTCTCACTACGTACATTATGAATACTGTACCGGTGTGTTCAGCGGCATTCTTTATTTTTTACATGAAAATGCTACCAGCAACTGAACACTTCCAGCCAGTGCTACAGTAATGTGATTTATATGACAAAAAGGTGAACCAACCTCACCTTCGGTTAAGATAGGTAGATTGTTTGATCACTTTATAAATTATAAATCATATGATGTAGCATTTGATATGATTTGCATTTTCATGAAGGTAAGAGAAAACTTGTCTTCAATGTTCTCTTGGAGGTGTTAACATCACTTAACTGCCCTTGTTATTGATGTGAATATATATGATAATGGCAGTTATATTTCTTGCAGAAAGCCATCAGCTGAAGGAGTACGATGCCAAAAGTGCTTGGAAATTGGTCATTGGATGTATCAGTGTAAGGGCAAGAGGAAATATGTTCACCGAGAGTCTCGCACATCCATGCTCAACAAGAGAGTTAAGCAGGAACAGCAAGAACAACAGATAGACCAAATGTAATAAGCTTTTTTCTCTTGTTACACCCATGTTACAGCTATGATGTTATTTGATTACTGGATAAATATGATAATTTAATAATCAATTTGAACAATTAAGGATTACTGAAGTAATTCTAGCATATAGAGAATTATGTGTGAATCATACATGGTTCCAAAGCCAAAGCCATTGGAAAGTCACAAAGCCAAAGCAGCCAATTAAAAAGTCATGAAGCTATATAACACCATTAATTATTTAATAGGTTTATGCCAACTTTGTCTACTGCCAAATTTCCATTTTGTGTATTCTGTTTCAGTCTACTCTGAAAATGTCACATGTTATCAGAATGTCTACTACTCTGTATCAATCAATGATCAGAAAAAGTTATTTTACACATGTATTGTTACTGTGTCTCAGCATTACAATATAGTACAGCATATCATTGTGAAAATTATCAGGCAGATGTATAATATTGTACTGTAGTTGTTGACATTTAGTGAGATGAATTTCATATCAACAGTATGTTCTTATTACTTGATACTGTATAAGATCATTTTAGAATAAATTATGATTGTCATCATGAATACATCTTATGTATTCATAATATTAAGCAGCATTTCAAAAGAACCGCCAAGTTGAAAGGTATTAGGCTTAAGGTGACAGAAGGTATAACCTCACATGACAAGGGTTACTGCCACTGACACCAAATTACTGTAGTACAGTATAAGGGGAGGGGGGTCTCATACAGTTATTTCGACTGACCTGGTTACCATTGAAACTAACTCTTCATTTATTGGCCTCAAGGGAAAGAATTTCAGAAATTCATGCTTACAGTATGGTGTGTACCTGTTTTCATTTATTTTTCCAATATTTATAGTTTAAATTGATATCTCGGGTTTAAACTTTTAATTGGTGATCAATACCCAAAATTCAGACTCACGTGTAAACAATTTCAGTTTGGAAGGCAATATATGCATAGTTACCGTCAAACAATTTTGGTGTACAGTATTCTAGCAAGATATTAAGTGCTTATAAATTTTGAAGGACAAAAGCTTCAACTGCATGTGGTTATACTTTAATGAATGATGTAGAATACTCTAACATACACTCATCTACTGTTTATTATTTCTCTAGGAGGAAGATGGCATCACACAAAGAGAAATCACAAAAACGAGAGAAGAAGAAGAAATACGACTCAAGTGATTCAGATTCATCATCATCATCTTCTTCCTCTTCTTCCTCATCATCATCATCCTCATCCTCATCATCATCATCATCATCATCATCATCATCTGATTCATCTGACTCAGATTCCTCAACAGACTCTTCTTCCAGTTCCTCCAAGTCATCATCCTCAGAGTCATCATTGTCATCAAAAGTTTCCGGTTCAGATGACCAAAAAAAGAAGAAGAAAAGGAAAAAAAGTTCCAAGAAATGATACCAGGTATTCAATTGTTATTTTGGGGTTATGAGCTACCATTGCCAACATAATATTAAAGAATATGTTTAATAATTGAGTTCCACAAAGTTATTCAGATTTTCTGTGAGTCTCGGTGACCGTATGATAGATGTGGATGTTGTACCTGCCAAAGTTTCTTTTCTCTCACTAAATTTTATCCAAAATTTTATGATTTATACTCTTTCAGGCTGAGGTTCTTTTCTAGAACTAGTTTATTGGGTGTTTATGTTATATAATAAACAAATACTGTACTGGTATCTTTTTACATATTTTGCAGAATTTTTTAAACTAAACATTTTGTGTGATTATATTTTATTAATGATTTTTTTGTATTCATAGTTACAACGTAAATTACAAAATATGTAATTTTATTTATTTTTCTAATTAATATTAGTGATGTTGAATGTTGTGTAATTAAGTGAGGTAGGTCTTAACCCTTTCATGAGTGAGTGCTCTACTGTTCTGTGAATATTGGCTGACCTCACCAGTGGCATTTTTTTTATGTCAGTAAGATAAATTAATTCAACCATATGAAGCTAGTAATATATATATATATATATATATATATATATATATATATATATATATATATATATATATATATATATATATATATATATATATATATATATATATATATATATATATATATATATATATAACAGATCCATTATGGTTTGTTATCAATTTTGACAACTCAAAAATAAATAGTGAAAATGCACTGAATTACCAAAGTGCAAAAACTAACACAATTGACAACTAAATAATACATTGTAAAATTTCAGATAACAACAAATGTGCAAAATTACTTTACAATTGCTAGTACGTACTTTGCATGGTATGTTGCGGACGAAACTGATTGATTATGCTTGCGCATGAAAATCAGTAACTTTTTTGCTGGTGTTTGTCCTCCATGATGGTATCGAACCTTGGCGTCCTGGTGCTGAGCGCTACTCGCATGTCGTGTTGAGGATCCAACCGATTCCTGCACTTGGTTTTGATGTGAAGCAGACACTAAAATCCAGTTTCACACAGATATGTGGTTGCGAACGGCACCAGCACAGCAAGGGTCTTCCTTGCTAGTACAGGAAATGTTTCAAGCTGAGAAGCCCAGAAGTGTTCCAAATGACCCTCAGCGAACTCCATTTGGATTCCATGATTGTTCCTCAAATCAATGAGATCATCTTTGATGTCGCTGTCATTATCAATGTCTTCCAAATTCAACTGGAAAGGGTGCCGGATCCAATTATCACAGATTTGCAGCTCTCCACACGAGAAGTAGCCAGTGAATGAAGTACGCAGCATCTGCAAATGTTCGACAATGTCAGAAACAAAGTCTGGATGCAAGGAAGCATCCTCATTAACAGTTCCTTCAAAAGAGGGGAAATTTGCCAAATTCCCCTTCTCTACACACCTAATCCACAAAGGAAATTTTATGCTCAGTTTTTTACGCCACTCCCCTAATATGAGCCACGTTTGATCACAGCATCCTCGCACCCCTAAGAAACCGGTCTCACACCCCAGCACCCTCGGTTAAGAACCCCTGTCTTAGTTGCTTAGCTATTCTGTTTTGTGCCCCATACGTAGTGAAAATTCTCAGAGGGCTACCCAATATTTTTTCTTTTCTTTTATTTATTATTAATATTTTTTTATGAAGCGAGTAGAATACTGTATTTGTACACTAGTGAAAATAATGTACACAGTACAGGTAAACTGTTTACAATATTCCAATCTATGATAATTCATGTGAACAATGCTGATATATTAAGACCACTCCCCTAATGTGATGTAAACAAACTTGCATTGACGATATTCGTCATTCTGCCAAGTCGGCATATAGAACACATCACTCACCTCATTTGTCAGTTGAGGCATCATCTACCCAAACTCTGCCTCATGGCCATCTTTCTGGTGAACTACAGTTTAGATATTGTTTCTTCTTGATTATATGTGTATAAGAAATGGAACTCAATGTTCATTGATCATCATTGGTGTTGTTGTTTTTACCTTACAGTGAGAGGGCATCACTAAAGTTCACATTGTACTGTATACATACTCTGTTTTAGTGATTGAAGTTTTTTCACTCTCACTATGTAAGTACTGGAGGAAACCTGGTAGGATTGTGAGGTCATGATTTGTGGTGGCAGAAAGTAGTGTAAGTACATTAATTGTTCTGTACTTACTCTATTGTTATACACTTTCTCTACATATAAGATAACTTTAAATTTAAGCATTTACTCCTGAAAGGGTTATCATATACAAATTCATATACCTGTACTGTACTAATTTTTTTTTTTTCGTACTGTAAGCTGAAGGTAGTTTCACTTTTATGAGATAAACCAACTTGCATAATTTACCATTAAGTGTTTAAAGTATTAAGGTTCATAAATCCATCTTTAAGAGATGATTATATTAACCTTCCTCCATATCTCTGTATGTCAGATGGAACTTATTTGCTCAGCCTCATGAAATATGTTTCAAAATACAGTGTATAGAATTTTTTATAAGAATGGCTCAATTGTTTGATTGCTTGTTGTAAAAAATAAGTAAAAACTTAGGTTTCAGATAGGGATACCATTATTGGTAAAGTGTAATCCACAATTGGGTCATGAAGATTTAGTTCTCATCAGATCATCTAGATAAAATTCTATATTTTACAATAATCAAATTATTTTGATGCAGATAGTGTGTTAAATGTTGGCTGTGGTTTAATTAGATATTTTCATAGATAGCTAGCAGAATTGAAAAAAAAATTTCCTTGGCAGAATGAAATTATATGTATTTTGCATTATATACAGTATTGCAAGAGCAGGTTTTGCAATGTTTCAGTTCCATAAATATATTTGGAATGGAGTGGGGTAGGTAGATAGGTTTTATAAATATCTTTAGAAATGAAGAAGAATTTTTGTAATATCTATTTGTACTGTACTGGGTAATAAGGCTCTCTTAAGTCTGAAATAGCTTTATTTTCTTCCATAATTTACCATTAAGTTGCTTTCAGTTTGCTTATTTGTCTACAATTACTCAGAAGGCATTTTTTACAGGTTAACCATTTGTGTTTAAAATTCCATTGTCCCAGACACTGGATAGATGTGTGATTCCTCCCCAGAAGATAATAATCTCCTTTTCCCTCACTCTTGCTGGCAAATTTAATGTTGATCAGTTTTGTACAAACTAAGACTGGATACAAATCCACCACTGCCCTTTAACATGTTACCCTCGTGTTGGTTCACTGGTGTACCAAATATGGTACTTCAATTATTGTTTGTTGTTACATCCAGGACCAAAGAGTGAAATAAAACTACCCTGGAAAATAACATAATTTCAATAATTTAGTGTCTAATTAATAAATAGGGATATATTTTTCAAATCATAAAGGTTTAAAGAAAACAATTATGGATTGCTATCACTCAAAACTTGTTTACCAAAAAACATAAAATTTTCCTTACAAATTTCTCATGCCTGTAATTGTTATTTTTCAACAAAATATGCCTTTTACTGTAATATACTGTACAAGGGTTATTTTACACATATACATTATGAATTATTAAAGGTCTTTCAAACCTGTAAGAAAAATTATTATAATTGATCAAAACATTAAACAAAATGGTCCCTGGTTCTGTAGGGCAACTAAATACTTGTATGACATCCCTTAATTTGGGTTTTTATTTTTAAGTCAAGGTAAGGATTGCAGATTTGTAAAAAAAAATGTGTACAGTAGAACCTCGATAAATCGGACTAATTGGTGCAAACCCCAGTCCGAAAAAACGAATGTATGGGGGGGGGGTTGATAACACTGCTCATCTGAACTATTTAAAGAAAATTGGTTATGTTATTACAGGTACTGCACTTCAACAACTAAGGTCTTTAAGTGTATACCAAGGTTATTAAAAGAATATTACATCAACAATAAAAAACTATGAAACAGAACTCTCTGGGTTGAAAGTCAGACATGTAAGTCTGGTTGTCAACGAATCTGTTGTCACTGAGACGATTGTTATTTACTGTAACGTGTTACAAGAAAGCAACCACAGAATTTGTCTTAGGAATAAAGAGAAAACTGTACAGTAATATAAAGATAAAAATAAGAACAAATAAGTGTAGGAGTATATCGTATGTGGAAGAGGATTGGAATGGAGAGTAGATTAGGGTCTAATGAATTTATATGGACATATTATTGAAAGAATGAAAAGTATAAGATTGCTAAAACGAGTGCATGTACCTGTACTGTATAAGGGTAAAGCTAAAGGAAACAGCAGTGCACATAAATGAACAGAGATTATGGATCTACCGGTAAGTAATTTTTACGGAAAGGTGTTTTGCTGCTGTATGTGTGAAGTGATGTGTAAACCAGATACAGTGGTCCCTCGGTTAACGAACACAATTCGTGTTTGTCGTAAGGATTTTGTTAATCGAAGTTTTGTTCGTTAATCGAACTGAAAATCCTTATGGGAGCTAATTTGTTAACCAAAATTTCGTTAATTGAACCGTTCGTTAACCGAAGGACCATTATAAAAGGATTGTGATATATTATAGGGTGGCACTCAATAAAAATAATTCCACTATTTACTTCCTATACGGGTGTTGACCATTCCTGTATATGTATGGGATTAGGGACATCGAAAAGCCACTGTAAGGTGACTGATTGTATACTTATACTGTATTCATAACTTATGGGGAATTTGGTGTTAATTTCTTAACATCGTAAAACTGATCAATCATATACTGTATCAATCAATTGTATAATGGTCAGCACCTATATAATACTGTATACTCACAATGAAAGTAGAGCTTTATATCAATACACTGCACTAAAGTAACCACAAACAAGAAAAAAATATCTTGATAAATACACACCTGAACTGATGCCATGGCAATTAATATTTTTATGTGGCAGCTTTGAACTCTGCATATCTGTAGATTTCACTTTTTGTGTGTGTGTGTGATATAAAGTTGCTGTATTTTAGTACAATACCTGTACTGTGACTTGGCTGGTACAGGCTGACAAAAGTATTATAATGTTAAATACTTAATGAAACAGTTGTTATAAATTATGTTGATTGCTTTTACAATTTTACTCTTTAATTTGAAAATGAGGCACACATCAAATTCATAAATCTGTACTAGACCTTGTCTAGCACCTTCAACATATGCTGAGTAATAAGCAAAGTAGGTGTTACACATTCATAGAATGACTTGCACCCACCCCATTTTTCACTGTACAGTGCAGCTGTACAGGTGATTTTTTTTTTTGTTAAATGATGTCTTAAGTAATCTCTTGTTGTCCAAAAATGAGGCTGGAGTTATGTAAAGTTGGTGAGAAGTTGGCTACAAAGTTACAAAATGATAAATTAAAAACTTAAACAAGCTGCTTATTTCCACTAGCCTGAGCAGAACTTTTTTTAATTTGCTTATTTTTTATATACATTTCAGTGAATGTATTTGCTATAAAAATAAGTTGTGTTAAAAATGCTCCAATATTATCAAATAGATAAATAAATATGTAAAAGTGGTAACATATTTGAGAGGCAGTGTGTCATCTTGTATGATTTCAAGTGCAATAACTGAAACTCAAACTTCATTCTCATTTTTCTGAATATGGAGTAGTGACAAAAGTAAAATGACTTGTTGGGTGATTCATTGAGCACAGAATTTTTTTTTACAAAAATGGTCTGAAGGATTGTAGCCGACACCCTACAAAATCTCTGGAGCAAGCACTCTCCTAATCCACATGCTAATTGGGCATCAGCATTTAGCCAACTATAGGCTGCTGTTCTTGATCCCAGCACGCTGATTGACTATCGAACCACCCAAACACAAAACCCCGCTGAACCAATCACAGACCACCACTTGGGTATACTGTATAAGGCGGTGCCAACAATCAACTACACATTCTTTCTCTCTAGCCACAGAAGCAACAACACCTCTCTCCCAGCATCAGGCTATTCTAGACTTAACTGCAGCTTCCAGCACTCTGCTGATTATTCTATAGAATAAACTTTAGATTTGTACAATAGAAATTATCTTAACCCCATCTCCTAGTACTTAAGCATTACTAAACTGTAGTGTATGTTTATAAAGAGAATGGACAAACATTCTAAAAGATTACACTATCCTCACAAGATACTGGGGAGGGTGTCGAAAATACAGTATTCAATATTCAAACTACTGAACGGTACAGTGTACAGCAAGTCCTCGCTTAATGTCGGGGTTACCTTCCTAAAACGTGACTTTATACAAAACAACGTTAAGCGGAACAATTTTCCTCATAAGAAATAGATAAAATACAGGAGTTATGTTCCTAAGCCTCCCTATGCCCCATGAAAAACATTACATATACAGAAAATCATTGCCATTTCTACAGAAAATAGTATAGTACAGTAGTGTACTGTATTAAGTTTGTATTGTTACTCACCGATGGGCGGAGGTGGTGGGTAGTGAAGTGGAGGAGGAGGGCAGGAAAAGAAAAGGATAGTGAGTCACTGAGACTGCGGCTGCCTTGTCCTCCTGCTCCGACTGGGGTTCCTCCACCGCTGTTTGCTCCTTTTCCGTTGAAGTTTGCTCCTCCTCCGTTGTTGTTTGCTCCTCCTCAGCTGCTTTGTGCTCCTCCTCAGCTGCTTTGTGCTCCTCCTTGGCTGCCAGCTGTTGTGAAGAAGCTGCTTCTGCCATACTGCGATGAACAAATGAATCCAGTGTTGACTGCTTGGTGTTACTCTTCTTCTCCTTATAGATCTCAGTGTAATAACCAAGACTGTCATCAATTCTGCATTGAACCTTTGAGCTATGTTCTCTGTTTGGGTCGTCATCTATAAGGATTTGCATTGCTTGCTGGAACATGTTGAGCGATTCTGCCATCCTCCTGGAAGTTGGCATTTGTTGAGGTTCTTCTTCGTTGTTGTCGTCGTCTTCAACTGGACTGTGTTCTGTTAGTTGTTACAGATCTTCGTTGGCGAGCTCTTCTGTATGAGATGCCAGGATGTCCTCAATATCCTCTGACTCCAGCTCATCAAAGCCTGCCTGTGTAGCCAAGCTGGGGATATCCCTATTTACAGCTGGGACTAAGTCCGTGAATCCCATAAAACTGTTGACGCACTCAGGCCACAATTTACCCCACACACCATTCAGACATCTTTCTGAAACCTCTTCCCATGCCTTGCCAATGTTGTCAATTGCATGAAGAATGTTGAAGCCATGCCAATATTCTCGGATCGTGGGTTTGTTTTCTCCGTCTGCAGCCTTGAGCAGCTGGGCCATGGTACGGCGTAAATAATAAGCCTTGAATGCGGCGATGACGCCTTGGTCCATAGGCTGCATCAGTGCTGTCGTGTTGGAAGGCAGAAGTACAACTTTTACACTGTCATGCAAGTCGTCGAGATTGGGAGGATGAGCTGGAGCATTGTCAACAATCAGAAGAATTTTGAAGTCAAGGTTCTCCTTGGCATAGTATTCTGTCATTGCAGGGTCGGCGTACACATTTAACCACTGGCTAAATATGGCGCCGGTTATCCATGCCTTTTTGTTTGCCTTGTAAATGACAGGAAGATGATCCTTATAGTCTGCTTTATACTACAGATGGGCAAGGGAGAACCTAATTGAGGCACTACTCAGTAAAGTGTCCATACCTGGAGCTGGCAGATGCCAGCCCCACAAAGGGTCACAGCTCGAGGTTGAAGAAGCCACAAGTCCAAAAAACTGTGACTGCAAACTTTTTCAGAGCTAGGCAATTTCAGGTGCTCTAATCTCTCAGGGTAACTGAGGTGCTGTAGTGCAGGTACCATTCTGGTGGGCCCCCCCATTGGACATTTTCAATCAATTGACAGTCCCTGGCATATCTCGGGGACCAGACGAGGTGACAGCACTCCAGACGGGGAAGCACTTCACTCTTGAAGGTCGTTACGAGGGACAGACCATCAAGATCAGGGGTTCTCAAACTTTTTTCAACCAAGGACCCCTTATATACCATGACGCATACAAATATTGTCAATAATCAAAGAATAAATCATAGTCCAAAGCATTTGTTCATTTCAACCCAAATCCAAAATATCCTGCGAACTGGAATTGCCAAATCTCTCACAAACATTAAACTCACTCCCGGGTATTTCTCAAAAACTTTTCATGGACCCCAGATTGAGAATCGCTGGTCTAGATATCTAAACAACCTTCTTATAAGACCTAATAATTTAGTTGCCTGATTCACCTTCTTCTCGCAATGACCTGAGAACTTCAGCTCAATGTCAACATACATACCCAGGTCCTTTTCACATTGTCTCAATTAATGCAGTTTCTTCGTCCCTTGGGACATATGATACGCCACCTTACCGTAAGTATGTTCCAGGTACAGCCTCTTACGCTTCGTGACATTGAATCTTTGCAGCCATTTCTTCGACCATTCTTGAAGCTCACAGAGATCCTTCTGCAGTTCTTCACAGTCTGCTTGGTTCTTAATTTCCCGAAATAACTTAACACCATCCGCAAACATTTGTATGGAGGAATGTACAGCGTTAGGCATGTCATTTATGAAGCAAACACACAACAGCAGGCCCAATACACTGCCCGGTGGTACCCTGCTTGTGATGGGTACACATGATGATTTCGTGCCATTAATCACCACACACTGCTTGTGGTCCTGGAGAAAATCTAGGTACTGTACATATTGTCTATATTACCACCTTGTTCCAGAATTTGGGTCCAAACATCCAATACCTTGAGTAATTGTGTTAAGCAGGAGTGCCCCAGGTCACAGATCAGGGTTGAACAGGCCACAAGTCAAAAAAACTGTGAGAGCAAACTTATTCGAAGTGAAAGTTGTGAACTCTCGGAACAATCTGCCAGAGAGTGTTGTGACGGTACCGAGTGTGAGCTCTTTCAAGACCAGACTTGACCAACAGTCACTGGAGCAGATTCAGATGCATTCAGGAGCCAGTGCATGCCCAGTACTTGCCAGCAGTGCAGAACAAAGATGGTACCAACCACCCAAGTGGCCAATGAGCGATCAGTGGCGACGGGCGAAGAGGATGAAAGTAAAAGTAGAGTTAGCGGTGGTGAGGGTGAAAACAATTTCAAAAGTTGCATTATTTATGATTTAATAAGGTGCCAATTGAAAAGTTGTTTGAGCTATTTTAAATGTTTGATTTTTTCTAATCTAGAAAGATGGTGAATAATAATTTTTGACACCTTTGCCCAGTACACTCAAATAAGAGAAATTATAAACCAAACAGACTGTGAAGAGCTACAGAAAGATCTCTATGAGCTTCAAGAATGGTCGAAGAAATGGCTGCTGAGATTCAAGTCACGAAGTGCAAGAGGATACACCTGGGTCACATTAACAGTAAGGAGGCACATCACCTGTCCCAACGTGACGAAGAAACTGCATTAATTGAGCCAGAACGTGAAGAGGTAAATAAATTATTGGGTCTTATAAGAAGGTCGTTCAGATATCTAGGCGGTCTGTCCCTCATAACGATCTTCCAGAGTGAAGTGCTTCCCTATCTCGAGTACTGTCACCCCATCTGGTCCCCGATATATGCTAGGGACTGTCAGTTGGTTGAAAATGTTCATAGGAGGGCCATCAGACTGGTGCCTGCACTTCGGCACCTCAACTACCCTGAGAGATTGGAGTGCTTGAACTTTCCTAGTTCATACTACAGACGGGCAAGGGGCGACCTAATTGAGGTGTATAAGCATCTCAAAGGGTTCTACTCAGTCAAGTGTTCTTATTTGGAGCTGGCGGACGCTCGCCCCACAAGGGTCACAGCTCAAGATTGAAGAAGCTGCAAGTCCAGAAAACTGTGAGGGCAAACTTTTTCGGAGTGACAGTTGTGAACACTTGGAACAATCTACCAGAAAGTGTTGTGACGGCACCGAGTGTGAGCTCTTTCAAGACCAGACTTGACCAACACTGGAGCGGGTTCAGGTACATTCAGGAGCCTGTGCATGCCCAGTATTTGCCAACAGTGCGTAACAGAGACGTGACCGATCGCCCAAGCGGCTAACAAGCCGATCAGTGGTGAAGAGGATAAAGGTAAAAGTGTGTATGTCGACAATGAACTTAAGTTCTTGGGCCTTTGTGAGAAGAAGGTGAATCAGGCAACTAAACTAGTAGTCTTATAAGAAAGTTGTATAGATATCTGGATGGTCTGTCGCTTGTCATTATCTTCACGAGTGAGGTGCTTTCCCGCCTGGAGTACTGTCACCCCGTCTGGTCCTGGTCCTCGAGATATGCTGGGCTGTCAATTGATTGAAAATGTCCAAAGGAGGGCCACCAGAATGGTGCCTGTTGTACGGAACCTCAGCTACCTAAAGAGAATAAAACGCCTGCAACTGCCTAGATTATACTACAGACGGGCAAGGGGCGACCTAGTCGAAGTATAAACATCTCAGAGGGGCACAACTCGGGTATACATACCTGGAGCTGGCGTGGACGTGTAGTGGATACCTCCCCTACAAACGCTGTTTGTCGCTGAGTAGCCGACCCCGCGAATTCCCCAGTGTATGCCTCGTGGTCTAGATCAACCAGCGCCACCATACATCACGGAGGTCATCTATTAAGCCACGCCTACCTCCGCTATATAAGACCTGACCTCGTGGTGACCTATCTCTCTCTTCTTCTAGCTACAGCCGCAGCAAGCAACACCACCTCCTCCGCCGCTGCCTGGCGGCCCTCGCTCCCGCCGGCGAGCATGGCTACCCACAAGCTGTCCTCCTTTGAGCACCCTCACCAACCAGCTCTCTCTACATCACGCTTGTAACCACGCTGCCACTTCCCAGTACCAAGCTGCATTGCACGTCCAATACAACATGTATACAGAGAGCACATTGTGAGTTTCCTTTCTCCATCCCATCCTGAGTGAGAACCCAAAAATATCGTACCCCACAGACGTCCGTCCTACAAGAGGTCACAGCTCAAGGTTGAAGAAGCCACAAGTACAGAAAACTGTGAAGGAAAACTTTTTCTAGGTGAGAGTTGTGAGCTCTTGTAACAATCTGCCAGAGAGTGCTGGGACGGCATCGAGTGAGCTCATTCAAGGCCAGATTTGACCAACAGTGCAACACTGGACTAACTGGAGCAGGTTCTGATATATTCAGGAGCCAGTGCATGGCCCTGTCTCAGTACCTGCTAACAGTGCGTAACAGAAACGTGACCGATCAATAGCGAAGAGGATAAAAGTAAAAAAAAAAATAGATAAAATGAAAAAATATATAAGCAAGCTGGAATATGTAGAAAGGGGGTTCTGCGCCGCTGGTGGATATCCCTAAGGATAAAAGATAAATTAGAAAATAAAAATAATTAAATTTGTGAAAAATAATTAAGATTACAGTATCTTTCATGTTTCCTGTATATTATTAGCACTGCCATTGAAAGACGGTTAAGCCTGATACTTTACTGCTTACCTTGTGGGGTATGGGATATTTTGGGTTCACACTCAGGATGGAATGGAGAAAGGAAACTCACAATGTGCTCTTTGTATACATGTTGTATTGGATGTACAATGCAGCTTGGTGCTGGGAAGGCAGCATGGTTACAAGCGTGATGTAGAGAGAGCTGGTTGGTGAGAGTGTAGTGGATTTCTCCCCTACAAACGCTGTTTGTCGCTGAGTAGCCGACCCCACCAATTCCCCAGTGTTTGCCTCGTGGTCTAGGTCAACCAGCGCCGCCATACATCACGGAGCGGGGATCAACTACTAAGCCACGCCTACCCCCCGCTATTTAAGACCTGACCTCTTTCTACCTCCACCTACGAGCCAGCAACACCTCCTCCTCCGCCGCTGCCTGGCGGCCCTCGCTCCCGCCGGCGAGCGTGGCGACCCACAAGCTGTCCTCCTCTGAGCACCCTCACCAACCAGCTCTCTCTACATCACGCTTGTAACCATGCTGCCTTCCCAGCACCAAGCTACATTGTACATCCAATACAACTTGTATATAGAGAGCACATTGTGAGTTTCCTTTCTCCATTCCATCCTGAGTGTGGACACAAACATCTCATCCCCACAATTGGTGACCCCCGGAGATTTGCACTCACACAGGATGGAGGAGAAACTGGTCACGCTCCCAGTCTTCAAGCAACATGGAAGACTGGCTTATCCACACAGAAGCAGCTCTCATCGGCTCTACAACTACTGTCTCTACACCGCAGGTTAGACACCCTAGAGCAGCACTGCTACTCTAAGCACACAGTCGCTCCTCTTCCGACCCCAGCACACCCGTCCTGCCTCAGACGCCGACCCCGGCCCAGCAGTAACCCCTGCCGCCCCTGATGCGGCCCCTGTTCCTGAGTGCGGACCCACACACCCCTCTTTTCTCCCTCAGGTACTCCCTGCTAATGTCCTGCACCCTGCTGCTGTCGTGGACCCAGCTGCTGTCACGAGCCCTCATCCGCTTCTGCTGACGCAGCCCCTGCTCCTGACCCAGGCGCACACACCCCAGCAGGCGCATCTGACCAAACAACACATACCCCACAAGAGTGCTCAGAGGAGGACAGCTTGTGGCTCTTCATGCTCGCCGGCGGGAGCGAGGACCGCCAGGCAGGCGGAGGAGGAGGTGGTGTTGCTGGCTGGTTGGTGTAGGTAGAAAGAGAAAGATCACCACGAGGTCTGGTCTTAAATAGCGGGGATAGGCTTGGCTTAGTAGTTGACCTCCGTGATGTATGGCGGCGCTGGTTGACCCAGACCACGAGGCATACACTGTGGAATTCGCGGGGTCGGCTACTCGGCGACAAACAGCGTTTGTAGGGGAGAAATCCACTACAACCTATCCTTTTCGCCACTGATCGGCTCATTATCCGCTTGGGGTTATTTTATATCTATATAAACAGTATAACAATTACTTTGTATGCTGATTTTGTTAACGCGTCATATTTACTTTTTGTAAAATGTGCTGACGGTTTCGATAAAATTACCTCTGATTGTATGTAAGGCACTGTATTTGTCGATTCTTAATTTCCTTGATGTTTTGTGTATCACCTAATATTATATCTATATCTATGCTATGTATAATATTATATTAAGATATATATATATATATATATATATATATATATATATATATATATATATATATATATATATATATATATATATATATATATATATCATAAGTGATGCCATATTACAAGCTCTGAAGGAGACTGTGCTCGGGGGTGTCTTTATTATGTTATTATGATAGAACAGAATAGTTTTACTCTATCCTAGGGCTTATTATTTATTATAAAGTAGTGGTACCCATCCAAATTTTCATTTTTGCACAAGTCTATATACTGAGGCTGAAGACCATCACGCATCTCGGCCGGGACTTGTTAGTGGTGGACCAATAGCACATTGCCACCGGCGGCAGCGTCAGCCGGGGTTTGTTTACATCCAGTACAAGTGTGTCAGCTCAACCCCCATGGCACTCATGACTAGTTAATATTCTCCTTCAAACACAAAGGCGAGCTAACAAGACGCAAACGGGTGATTGAGAGTTGTAGTTGAGGGCGACGCGTCACCTTCCATGTTGGGTCACTGAGACAGCTTCAGGTCACACACCACCACTACCATGGGTCGGACACAAGCTAAGACCATGTCTAGCATGTCCAGTCCATTAGGGGTGAAGAGTTTGTTAGTGTTCACGGTGCTGATGCTGGCTTGGTTGGCTGGCTTCCTCTCCAGGCTGTTTGCAGTTATACGTTTTGAGAGCATCATCCACGAATTTGATCCTTGGTGAGTGTGTTACTCACCTTCCTGGTTTATGAAATGGCTCTCCACAACTAATTATTATTAAATACACCTTTCCCAACAATAGTTATGTTACTGTGACCTACAAGATGTTTCCTTATGCAGCTGTAGTAGCAGTGTTTGCTGGTAAGTTAATATCAGCAACGACCCAACACCAGATGTATGTTATTTCAATAATGCTTATGGTTATAAACGTAATGTTGGACCATCACGTAATAGCTAATTGGTTGAATTTGTGAGAAAGGAAATTGGAGGTAAATTAGCAAATGATACAAGATGGTAAATATTGACAACTGACCCACGGTCAACTTTTCTTAGAAAACTCTTAGGTTTATATTCGTCCATTGGCTATCCGCATGTTTCCAGTTTTCAATATAAAGACAATAAAAAACCAAACATACAACTTCATATCATTTCTTGCGTAAATTTCTGTACCCGCCATGTTGCCAAAGTCACTTCTCTCCTCCCCTCCTCCTCTTTGCGACATGGCAACCTTTAACTATCATATCATGTGACTTGGCTGGCCAATCATTTTGAACCAGCCTTCCACTGCGTAATTTCAAATTTTTAATGCTCCTGATGGCGTGTGATAAGTGTTCCCTCCCTTATCTAGCTGTAATTCAGCGAGTTTATGAGAACGGCAGTGAAGCAATCCAAATATTACAAGATCACGGTGTCTTACCAACATCAAAACTGTGTCCTAAGTGAGATAATTTTTTACTTTTAAGAAAAGACAGAAAATCTTTTGTCTGTAACTATAAGCATACCAGATCGCCCAGCTGTATCCTCCATTACAGTAGCAGGTAAGTTGAAAAAAATTGGTAGGTTAGGTTTGTTATTTTTGTGTGTTTTACATAAACCCGACTGCCATTTTTTTGTAAATCGGCAATTTCTGTTACAAATGAAAAAGTTAATAAAAAAAAATGCTATTTTGCACAAGAAATAAAGGTCAGATTTGACTAAAACACAATGGCATTTCTGATGTAAATTACGTTTAAGCAAGATATTTTACATTTTATTTAACATTTTATTATGTAAGTTCGTATGTGGCAGTACACGCCCAGAACATCGAACAACGTGGCGATACCCAGAACATTGAACGACTGTGGAGTTCCCCGGTTCGGTCAGATTCAAAACTTTTCCGATGGTTATCGATATGTTTTGAACACTACCTTGATTTTTATAGAAAATCTCTAGATTCTTAGATGGGAGGGGAGCTTTTTTAGAAACTACTGATTTGTGCCAGAAATGGTCAAATTATTTCATGTCAGATCAAAACCATTGGAAAAATGCAGTTTCAACATAGATTTCATATGGTGGCAACAAGTGAAAATTTACCGCAGAAGCATTATTAGACCTCGCCAACCTAAGCAAACAAACCTACCTAACTTTCGGAGCCCCCGGGCCCTCCAGTATAGTATATTAAACAGAAAGAACTTACAATAATATGGTGTAATTTTATGTTTTATTTTCGGGGGGGGGGGGGTTGAGATAAGTTGCCCGTACCAAATGGTTCTTAAGCATGCACTGAGCATCGGTGTTGATCCATCCCGCGGTGGCAGTGTTTTGAATAAATAACCGGTATACAGTGCAGTATTTACATAGGAAATGGCAAGTAAGTAGCTACAGTATGTCTCTTCTTTACAAGGCTTCAGCAAATTTGAATAGGAATGAACCACTGAGTAACTCAATCAAACATAGTTCAGTCGTTTTTTAATTTGCAAGAACACTGTAGGCATGGATCTACACAACCTCTTTACACTAAGAGAAATATCTCTGGAAAAATCTGAATATGAACTTAAAATATGGTAATTTACAAAAACTGCAAGGAATCAGGAATCACCCCCTTAAGTTATTACATAACGTAATGTGTAGTACAGTAATCTCCCCGTTAAACGGAATCTATGGTCCCCAGATTTCTCCAATAGCTGGAATGATTTTTTAGCATTATGCTACGATGCGTTCCCATGTGCCGGGTGCATGGGTGGGCTTGCTGCTTGATTAAGTTAGTCTGTAGGCTCTCGTGCAAGGTTGTTCCCTTCTTGCTGTTGTTTTCGCATACAATTTATGTTGTGTAGTACAGTACTGTACATTACTGTACCTGAGCACAATCAGCCAAGAATGCAGTGTTGATGTAAACATAGATTAAAATTACAGTACTGTACATAACACATTATATGTAGAGAATACAGTGCCTGTACAGTAGCTAAAAAAAACTATCTGTGCATACTTTGTGGGAAACAATATGAGACCATGGACGATAAATTTTGGTATATGAGGGGTATCACTAGTCACACGTAAAATTTCGGAGCATATCGACCCCCACCTCCACAGATAGTTGTTTTAGCTACTGAACAATCATGAGGCACTAACAGAATTACTTGACTTTCTCTAATACAGTTTAACCTAACTTTAAATCTTTCACATACCCCTATGAATAGTCTCAGCCCAAGGGAGGGTGTACTGGTGCTCCTTCAGCTATAAGAGGTCTTACTGTGTTTGATGTAATCAAATCCCTATACTATCAGTGAGTTGATAAAATTTCTTGGGTCATCCAATTTCATTTCCAGGTTCAACTATAGAGCAACTGCCCATATGGTCAAGAATGGGTTTTACAATTTCCTTAACTGGTTTGATGAGAGGGCGTGGTATCCCCTGGGAAGGATAGTAGGAGGCACAGTGTACCCGGGACTCATGGTCACCTCCGGCAGTATACACTATATACTCAATCTTCTTAACATCCCAGTACATATTCGGGATATATGCGTCTTTTTAGCACCAATTTTCAGGTAAGAGGAGTTGCACTTTTAGGGTGTCATGGAGATTCTTGTGTGAATATGTTTTTGTGCTTGAATATATAATTATGACTTAAAAATAGTGTCAATATATGGTTATAATAGATGTGACTGGAATGGTATAATAATTTTTAATACAGTACCCCTCCACAACAAGGTCCCAGTGTTCATCAGGTTCACATTTGTCTTTTCACTCCGTCTTAAATCAAACCATCAACAGCTTGTACTTTCCTAAAAATGAATATACTGTACAATGTTCTTCACTCATTCATTCCATTCGTTCCTTGATGTCCACCCCCCTCTCTTAAGTCTTTCGTTCTTCACTCCATCCTGCCATTTCTTTCCTTGTCCTACCCACTTCCTCCTATGAATTATACAGTACTTTCTTTTTATCAATCGTTCACTTCCCATATTCTCTTCACTGACATTTTTATCTGCTTTATCCACTTCACACAGACACACCTACATACAGTATTGCACAAATGATAAAAAGATGTAGGACTGCACAGTTTGACAATTTTGTCTTACCATAAATTCTGAAAAAATATTTAGTACAATCACTGATGCATATATTTGTCCCTTGCAGTGGCTTAACAGCAATTGCCACCTATTTGTTAACCAAAGAGATCTGGTCAGCTGGAGCTGGTCTGTTTGCTGCCTGTTTTATTGCTGTTGTCCCAGGGTACATCAGTCGATCAGTGGCAGGGAGTTATGACAATGAGGGTATTGCTATCTTTGCCTTGATGTTTACATACTTCCTGTGGGTAAGTTTGGAGCAGTGTGTGTTTTATTTTTAATCTGTTGCCACCAAGATTAACTGATTCAACTGAGTCTTTGGATCAGTTGAAAAAATACTATGTAAAAAGTAATAAAACAAAATCATAAACTAGAAATACATGAAGTACTTTTCCAGCTGTTGTTACAGAATGTTGATATGTTTTTCAGGGGTAATTACATAATGTTGGATAGACCTTTTATACTGTATAATACAATGGTAAGGTAATTTTGTTTTAAAAGTCATGCATAATGTACAGTACTGTACTGTATTATGGCTTAGAAGCAGCCAAAAATTTTACCCCCAAAGTACAGTATCTCATATACTAATGCTACACTTTAAGCCTAAAGAAAGCACTTGTTCTTTCTGATAAGTTTCTTATGTTTCCACTTCTTGCCTCGTGCATTTTATAATTTTAACTCAAACTGCCTAATTATCATACTGGAAATATACAGTATGTATGCTGTAAGAAATGCCATGATACAATATACAGCACCCGAACCATCGTGGCATCATCATCAACCGGGAGCTGTGTTAGAATACTCTTGTCTACAGTGAAACCTCTATTTAACGGAATATATGGAGAGAGGAGTCAGTTATATCGAGAGTGTGTAGATGTGGTACCCCCATCTAAAGAATTATATATAGACGAGTCTGTTATATCGAGGGTCCATTAGATGTGAAACCCCCTATGTCACCGATTATATGGAGAGAGTTGTTGTTTATATGGAGATTTCACTGTACAGTATAAAAGTCTTTTCCTTGTACTGTTTTGTCCTGCATTTTCACAATATCAAGTGTCAGATATTAAATAAACATTCAGTTGTTTGTTTATACAGTACTGTAGTGTTTGTGTTACATACAATTCTTTCAAGAAAAGAGTAATCACTGCAAAAAATGAAAAGGTTGACTGGCTAAGAATATAACCTTCCTCTTACTGTGGAAAGCAATCATTCTCTCTGTTTATCTTATACCTGACTTTCCTAATAATGCAGTCCTGGTATAAATGAGGACAACCTGTACTTCAGCAGAGTTTAAACTAATTGAGTAATGGGGTTAGTTGGATGATTATAAATTATTAATGACAGCACTAAACATTAGTTGCAATTTAGCTAGTATAGTAATGCTAAAAAGTTTTCAAGTTAATGTCAATAACATTTCTCCTCTTTTTCTGTTTAACAGGTAAAGTCTGTGAAGACGGGTAGTTTATTTTGGTCTTCAATGGCTTCCCTTTCATATTTCTATATGGTGAGCGCGTGGGGTGGTTATGTCTACATCATCAACCTCATCCCCCTGCACGTATTTGCCCTCTTACTTATGGGACGTTTCTCCCACCGCCTCTACACTGCATATACAACCTTCTATATCTTGGGGTTAATTTGCTCAATGCAGATCCCATTTGTTGGTTTCCAGCCGATAAGGACCTCAGAACACATGGCAGCAGCTGGTGAGGACCTTTATATTTTGTGTGAACTCTTGCTGTCCTCATTTAGCTCTTGACTTCAATTAATCATTTTGTTTTAAGCATGTATTTCATCCCCTCATCTCCAGTGTACATTGTGGTAGAATTGTTTTATTTTCACTGTTTATCCAATGGGGTATATAGTTTTGTTCCTGTCCATGTGTGTACTGCACCTACTTCCAAGGTAGTTTTGTCAACAGGATGACAAACAAAAAGTGTTCCGTGTAGAGTAATAATATTTTGTAGTCATAACACAGTTAAACTGACAACAGGACCCTATGAACACACAAGTATTTATTTCTTTAGTTATAAATACTTTTATGTTCACATGTCTTCCCTACTTTCCTTGCTTGACTAATTACTTTCCTACCTTGAAGAAAATGCCAACTACTTCATGCAAAGATCAAGTATGTACATATTTATTTCTTAAGAATGCCAGTGATGTAATTTGTAGACTCTCTCCACTTAGCCTATCACTATGGGGATGCCACTTTAAATATTTTATTTGGCTAGCGCTTGATGATTTTTTCAGCTCAGAGGCGACCTTGTACACAAGGGGTTAAACAGACATTGTAATACCTCATAAATTTTAAGAACTAAAATATTTATGGGCCAAAATATTCAAGTCCTCTTACACATGAGAACACTATAGTTAAGAAGCTTATCCTTTTCAAGGTGTAGCTAACTTGTACCTCATGTGTACAAGTTCCCCTCTGATCTGAATAAAATTGAAATATTAAAAGTGGCATTCCTACAGTGAAGGGGTTAGATAGTGACAGTATTTGAAAGTAAATAAAGTAGAAATTGAAAATAAGAGTACAGTACTATACAGTATCTTCATTGTTAATATAAAAGTTACTAAACATTTCTATAGCTTCTCTAGCTTGTTTTGGTCATCAGATATAACAGCATTGCAGGTGTTGGCTGGTATGCCCAGTAACTGTGGCCTTGGGAATTACAGTACTGCACCATAATAACATCTTTGAGGAAACAATGTACAGGTGGTGCATAGCTACTCTTACAATAAATAAATTTTTCATGATTTAGTTATCAATATTGTCAGTGACTGGAATGCTGGTTAATTGAACAGCTTTTGGAAAGAGAGTAAGAGCTGCATTGAGCAATGTCTAAGGGAGGAAAGTTTATCTCATTGGGGAAAAATGAGAACATATAATGGAATACAGTACGATAAAAGTTTTCCTGACTGAGGAAGGTGGGAAAAATTTAGAAAGATATCTTTGGATGGGTAAATGTGCATTGCCGTAGTTGGCAGATGTATTTTAACAAAACTAAAAAAAAAGAAAATTTAATCAGACTTAACTTTCCTGCTTTATTTAAATCTCAGTTGGATTGAGCTAGAGAATCCTCAGACCAAACTTGTATATTTGACAAAAATTACCATTGTGGTATATAAAGTTTGTGTTATAAAGAATTTGCACACTTGAATAATATTCATTTCCTTTTCTCGTTGAGCATACCACTCGCTACACTGTGGATGGTCAGAGTATTACCTGGAAAGCATCTCTCAGCAAAATTACTGATGTCCTGCTGAATGCATGAGATGTAACTGTTGCATCTGTGCTTAGTCATTATATAGTCAATGATTTGAAAAATAATTAGGTTTTTAACAGTTTCCAATTTTTTAAAGAGCAATACTACATAAAAAATTAGGTGGTTTCAATCAGTTTGTCTTGAATTTCAGAAGTGAAACCAATTGGTACCCAAAACAGTTGCATGTATCCATTATTAGTTTGAATAAATTTAAGATTTTGGGGTACTTTTTTAAGTTTTACACATGCTGAATCAGAAAAACTGGTTGATGAATCATTCTTAAATCGTGAAACATTATAAACTTACTTTTAATTTTGGGTTATGTCTTATTTTATTATTACTCTATTATTATCTTGTATGATTTTGATAAAATGTCATTTAATGAATTCCCATGGTGGTGTAGCTCAAGATGGGTGCAATTATATAGTTGGTATACCAATGTACATGTGATTAGATTACTTTATTCAGATTAGTTAACTGTTTCTTAGAAATTCCATGCTCCTGGTATAGTAGTTCTAAACCAGCTGAGCAATACAGACTCTTGGCTGCCCTTTTGTAAGATTAGATTTGTGGTGAGCACTATGTATGCCAGTGTAACGGTATATTGTTTGCTTGTGAACATGTATGAACACAAACCATACTTCATTAGCATGAAGTGAAAGAGGCTCATCAAGCATTTTTGGATTGATGTGTACATTTACTGTACAATATTTGTAAAACTGTACTGTACAGGGGATATTAATGGGAGTATTGAAGCTACTTACTCTTCCTCCTTATAGGGGTGTTTGCTCTACTGAATGCCGTCGCTGTACTCAAGTATTTGCAGAGTGTCATGACCCGGGCAGAATTTAGACATTTCTTCCTCGTGGCTGCTGGGACGGCTGCTGGTGCTGTGTTCCTGGCTGTGGTGGGGCTCACGTGGATGGGTATTGTTGCTCCGTGGAGTGGCAGGTATGTGTGTCATTTTTAACACTTACCCCCATAATTATGAAGTTGTCCTTCTTGTCAAATCTTTACCTTCAGTGGATTTATGTTTCTTTGTGCTTTAGCTAAATATTGGTTGTCATTAGACCAATGATGTTTTACATAATGATTGGAAAGGTCCAGAACTCTTGCCCCATTTGCTCATATTGTGAGATTCTTAACCCCTTGTGTACAGGTCCCCCTCTGAGCTGAATAAAATCAACTGGTGTTAGCCAAATAAAATATTAAAATGTGTATGCTTGCAGTGAAGGGGTTAATTATCATAAGTGCGAAGTCCTATGCTATAAATTAAGTGGGAAGAGGTTTGAAAGAGTAAAAAGAAATTGTATAATAAAGTACTGTACATTATAATCAGATCTATTGGTACATGTATCCATTTTTCCTGGTTGAGGTGGCCTGCTGTCGTAGCAGTAAAAGGTTGGAAGGAGGGGAAAGGTAAAAAATACAGGCAAAAAGTTTTGTTTGTTTAATCATAACCATGATTTCTAGAAGTCGGTGAATTATATGGGATTTTAATGTATGGAGGCTTCATAGTTAAGCTTTGCTTTGGTATGGGAAAAATTTAGCTCTTGCATATTGTTACTTTGGGAGAAAAGAAGGCAGTCATAAACTTAAAAGAATAGTATAATACTTGGAATGTAAAAAGAGCAACTTTGAAAGGATGTGAAAGATGTAATGCTGGTGTATGCATGTGACTAAAAGAAAGAATATTACTACTATATATGTAAATAAAGTGTGGTTATTGTGGTCACAGGAAAGATCCAGGTAAGGAAAGGTGTATTCAGAATATCTGTATTTATTTATTTTATTTTTAAGTAAACAATCTATATGAGAAGGAAATTACATATGGTGTATTTGACAGATTTTACTCTCTATGGGACACGGGCTATGCCAAGATTCACATTCCCATCATCGCATCTGTGTCCGAGCATCAGCCCACCACATGGTTCAGCTTTTTCTTTGACCTACACATCCTTGTTGCTACCTTCCCGGTAGGACTGTGGTACTGCATCAAAAATATCAATGATGAGAGAGTTTTCAGTAAGTATCATTGATTCTAGTATTTATCAGTAAAATCCTCTTAATTCAGACTAATTGGGGGTATCCAGTCCATATTAAGCAAATTTTTGGATAAAGTAATTTGCAAAGGGGTTTATTTAATCCAGAAAAGGACTGGAGTAACCGAGAAAAATCCAGAGTTTTGATGGAGAAATGTGACTTGAAAAAATCAACCATCTACAGCATCACCAACTTTATGGTAAATACTGTATGTCTAATATGTACAAGAATTACATATATATTATCCTGTAGGTTAATGGTACAAAAGTTTATTCTTTATTCTTTATTTTTGCCACCACGTGGGTAGGTCCGAACAATTTCATGTTAATTCGGGCATCATCCAGATTAACAAAAATTAGACTGGAGTGGTTTGCCGTTCTGGATAAAGCAGAAATCCAGATAAAAAGTTTGGAGTAAGAGGGTTTTACTCTACTTTGTTCCTTCTTATATCTGTATATTAGAAATAGACTGAAGGTTTAGTATTAAGATTTACACCAGCAAAGATATGGAATATTGTAAGAGAAAGTGTATACTATGTTATTTTACCCTCACATTTCTTTTCAAATCTATGCCTGTCTTGTATTTTGCTTTAATATGAACATGTCTTTTGCAGTTGTGTTGTTTGCTGTCAGTGCAGTTTACTTTGCTGGTGTGATGGTGCGTCTGATGTTGACACTCACACCTGTTGTCTGTGTTCTTGGTGGCATTGCCTTCTCACGGCTCTTTGAAGTCTATTTGAAGGTACGATCTGGGTAATTTGAGACATTGAGATGATGCAAAATAGAACTGCATGCTTAAAGGTACATGAACTAAATATTTATTAGTCAACAAGCAGGATGAAGTCATTTGCTGTTTATTTTAATACTAGAATATAGACAAATTATTGAGAATATAATTAAAATTTGAATAAAATTTTGCTGGATGCGGTGTGGTTTGTCTATTTAGATATGTGTTCAACCAGAGCCTTAATTTGTTGTAAATGACCACATCCTATATGAGGAGGTAATGTCTTTTACTTGATAGCTGCTGTTGTTCATATTAACAGGAAGAGGAGCAGTCCCGTCCACAGAGTGGAGACTCCAGTGATGATGATGAAGATGGAGAGAAAAATAACAAATATGATAAGGCTGGAAAGTTACGTAAGATGAAGCACGAGCAGCAGGTATTGTGTAACCTAGATTTGTTTTCGCTCATAGACAATGTTATAGGGAGATAAGCTGCATCTTGAGAGGGAAGGAAAACATTACAGTACATGTAGAAGAGATCAGGAAGGGAATGAAGGGAATAGAGAGGGCAAAGGAAATACTGTACTTTGTGGTAGGTTACACTGGTTGCTTTACTTTTGTGGTTACCCCATCAAAGGGAAGCTCTCAGAGGAAGTGAGGTTTCATAAATAGTCTGAAGAAAATCTTTTGTATTTAAATATATGCTATTGAAAGACAATTAAATGATTTATATTGTGCATTACCATAATACAGACTGTTCCACTTTGGAAGTAGAAATACCTCTAGGTCACAGTATATATTTTATTATTACAGGCAATCCCTGAGTTACGAATGGTTTAGGTTCCTGGACCCTGTTCATAAGTCAGAACAGAGTTAGATCTTGTCTTGTCTACAGTCAAATAACCATAAGTAAAAAAAAATAATTTCTGACTTAGGATTGACCTTAGTTTGTTTCCATCTCCCCTCAGTCCAGCAATGATGGACTTGGTGTCAACATCCGTAGTATGGTGATTGTGGCTGTACTGATGATCCTCATGATGTTCTCCGTCCACTGTACATGGGTCACCTCCAATGCATATTCCTCACCTTCAATAGTCCTAGCGTCGTACAGCCAAGATGGGTCAGTCATTTTTATTTTCAGGTTTCCTAGTTTTTTAATTGATATTTTTCATCATTTTACAATAACTTCCAAGAATGTTAATGAAACTTTGTTTACTGCTGTACTTTTTATTAGGTATGAACTCGAGTTTCTTGCTGTGCTAACATTTGACAGATTTGATTGTTTATCCTGTAGCTATTATCAACTATAAATTGTCCATTGCAAATGTTTTCCATTCTTTGCATAAATGCAGTGTCTCAAATATATATATATATATATATATATATATATATATATATATATATATATATATATATATATATATATATATATATATATATATATATATATATATATATATATATATATATATATATATATATATATATATATATCCTGTACATACATACATTCATACATCATGCCCTGACAATTCGCGGATGACACCCTGAATGTACCCAAGAATGTCTGCAGTTAGTTTTAAAGTTGCTGGCATTTTTGCAGCCGGGACAGAGCCATTCGTTCTGGAGACAATATTTTTATAAGGAAAAAATTGCCGTAGGGCAACCCAAGCAACTCAACTTTGATAACAAAGCATGGAGTTGACTTGAGGGTAGACTCACATTTTTTCTACATTTCAATACATTTTATTGTCTTGTTTCCGAGTATTTGTGAGAGGATTTTAACATTATTATCTATTTGCATGTGTTTTGTGTGTTTGTGCACACACACACACATACATATACAATACAGGTAAAAGAAATAATTGTCCTAAGGGCAAACACATAATGGGAATACAGTAAACCCTTGTTATTCGCGAGGGATAGGTTCCAAGGAATGGCATGAATAGCCAAAACTGTGAATAGCAACTTGTACTACCTTAGTGCACTACTGTATACCAAACAACTGACCAGCCAAGGTAACACTCTTCCCCTCTTTAACTTATCTAATAATTTAAATTTCTTTGTCAGGGTCATCACTGACACCTGTCTTTTACATTTTGCTCCACTAGCACTGACACTAGGCAGTCTTTTAGGGGCCATTGCAACATGAGGTGCTGCGTGGGGTGACCCGTTGTGCTGCGGGAAAAAGGCTCGCAAGCTAGCCACCATGGCTACCATCTGCTTACTGCGAATTGTCGAAATCACGAATGGCAAGGGTCTCTTGTGTACATTTCTTTGCACATGAGCAAAAATGTAACCCCTCCCCCCCCCGGTCAGCCAATTATATTCGCGGACTTGGCTATTTGTGGCCATTTTGAGACCCAAATCCCCGTGAATTTTAAGGGCATGGTGTGTGTGTGTGTGCGCGCGCACACAGAAATAAAGTTGCTCATCCTTTACAGGAGTCGCCAGATTTTAGACGACTTCCGTGAAGCTTATTACTGGCTGGCACAGAACACTGACACAGATGCACGAGTAATGTCCTGGTGGGATTATGGGTACCAGATAGCTGGCATGGCAAATAGAACTACTCTAGTCGACAACAATACTTGGAATAATTCTCACATAGCCCTGGTAGGGAAGGCCATGTCCTCTAATGAAACTGCAGCCTATGACATCATGACTGCACTGGATGTTGATTATGTGCTTGTTATATTTGGTGGTGTCATTGGCTACTCAGGGGATGACATCAACAAGTTCCTGTGGATGGTGAGGATTGCTGAAGGTGAACACCCTAAGGATATCAAAGTAAGTGATGGCTGTAGAGAAATAATAAATTATTTCACGAAAGTGCATAAGTTGTGTTTGTTGTGTGTGAAAACAGATTGGCATCTTGAATATTTAAGAGAGAAATTTGTATTGATGTCATGTTTAAAAAAAAAAATCCTTTTTTATTGGCTAAAAATGAAGATCATTTTTTGTGAGGAAGACAGAGATGGCCTTGGGATCTGGTATTAGTAAATTTTCCATTATACAGGGTGTCTCAAAATAATGTATATCCACTGCCTTTCAGATATTCTTAGAGATTTATAAATGCTTGTACTGTACTGTTAAAACAGCAACATTGTCCTCCCTTATTGATGTTTGAAGTCTGCCATAAGTGATGACAATGCTGCTTTTTTAATACAAGCATTCTCATAATCTACACAAAAATATGTAAGGCAGGGTTTATACCGGTACTTGCGTTTTGTGTTTTTTAGACACTGTATAGTTTCATGGAATGATGGTGAAATTTTTTACGTTTAAAATGAAAATTTTTAAGGGTATTTATCATTAACCTTTGGCTAGTTCTCTACTTGTAGTGTTATTAATATACATACAAATTTTTTTTTTTTTTTTGTCATAGAATTCAAGTGATCATGGATGTATTTTCCTATGTTTTATTGTGTGCGAGTCAACTTATATCCTAATTTACCTTTGTGCAGGAAAGTGATTATTTCACTGACCGAGGAGAGTTCAGAGTGGATGCCCAGGGTTCATCAACTCTACTGAACTGCCTGATGTACAAGTTATCTTATTATCGATTTGGAGAGTTAAAGGTGAGATTAATTATAGGCCATTGTTGAGGTGTGAGTAGAAAGGCAAAATCTGCATATGCTTCAGTGTTTATTTGGTGACCATAGATAGTACTTTGATTACCACTAAAATTCACAATTTGATACAGTAGTTCTTTTATGATATTAAATCCATGTTTAACATTTTCAGATAAATTACCTAACATTATACCTTCAGGAGATGGAAAAAGTAATGAAGTTTCAAATGTCTCCTGTAACTGAAGTTTTTTAGATTTGGTTTTGGTCACTTTGACAAACTAATATAGATTCAGAAGATAATCTTTTAGACATTCTCTGTATATGTTGGGAAAATTCAGTTTGCACTAATTTGTATGGACAAATATATGCATTTTGCATATTTTTCTCAATCAAATTTGTCTGCAAGAATACTAAAAAGTTTCATATCTGAAGCAGTCAAGTTTTGCAGCTTTTATGTAGATTCTTTATGTACCTGGTTAGATTTTTCAAGACGTTTGATTTGTTTTTGTATGAATTTGGGTTATGTTTGTTTCACAATGATTATGCCTTTGTATTTAGCTTTAAAAAAAACATTGCATCTTTGAATATACAGTACTGTAAACCTAGGAAGCAGTTGTGTGTGCACAGTACATGGCTGGAGAATAGGGTAGTTGATTTTTTATTTATTTGTTTATTTTTTAAATCGGATTTGTTTTATTTAAGTCAATTTTTAAAAAAATTTAATCAGATTCCCTTGTTGACTGACTGACAACTGTTCCCAGTCTTTTCCTCCTCTGGACTTGTTTATTGGTATAGAAAAATCAGCAAAACTTTTCTTTTTATTAAGTTTTTGAATGCAGACACTGGTGATTAATTAAATCAGATTTTTTTTTGCAATATGTGATGTAGCAAACACTAAGAGACATTAGAATTTTATTTTTACAAATATTGAATGCCACGATGTATCCAAAAGTGTTGTGATTTAGTTGGTTTTGCGTTGATTTACTATTTTCAACTCTGAAGTACAGTACTGTGCTGTAATCCTAAAACAAGTTATCAGTGCCTACACATTTGAAGTAGAAGAACAGTACAATAATACATGCAAAGTGAAGTTATTTATCTTGAACTTGTGTAATTTCTGTGGTGAGAACATTGAATAGTGAATATTACAAAAATAAAGGTTTCTTGTGCTTAATTATGTGGGCTACTGTGATAAAGGCATAAAATAATTAATTTCTTTGGCTGATTAGTTATAACAATACAGCATATAAGCATTTGTTAAACTTTTACTACCTTCTTTTTACATTTAGCAAATAAAACCAAACTGATTTAAAAAAAATCTTGATTTAAATCAAATAATCCTGCTGGAGAACTTACCTTGGAGGATTTTAGGGATGACATTGTTGTAAATGGGTAATGCTAAGTTGTTTGAAGTGACAGGGATGGGTGAGGTAAACATTTTGAGGCGCTGTTATGGAAAGGAGCACCACAGCAGAATACATTTCTTACAGCTGTGGGAGTGAATGAATGACATTAATGAAAGGAAGAAATATTTTTTTTAATAGTGGCCATCCTCCATTGTAATAGCTAAAGGCTTTTTTTTTCTCCATTAATGATTTGCATATTATGTAATATGTTAATGACCACAAATTCCTCTCTAGCTGGATTTTAGAACTCCTCATGGCTTTGATCGCACTCGTAACACTGTGATTGGCAACAAGGACTTCAAGTTGACCTACTTGGAGGAGGCCTACACTACAGAGCACTGGTTGGTGCGAGTCTACAGGTGAGGAACTTTAAGATGGTCGAGGTGTTGCATCTAGGTTATTCCCAGTAGGCAGTCTCCCACCCATCACCAGCACTGTCAAGCTTCTCTGTCTCTGAACAAACCAATACTTTATTCCAAACTGACAATACTAATTGAGCAACTTCACAAAAAGTGCATTTTTATATGTAGTTCCAATGAAAACATTACATGAACTAAAGAAAACACAAAATGTTTATTTTTGTTATTATTACTATTATCTTTACCCTCTAGGTATAACTCGAGGGGTGTCTCTGTGCTGAATATAATCGTCTAGTATTAGCCAAATAAAAAACTAAAAGTGGCATCCCACCCATAGTGTAGGGGTGCACTAAAACCTAAGTTATTGAGGTGTAAAGTTCATCACCAATTAACTATTTGGGCCAAGTATATCAGTATAACTCATCTTTACCATTTTCCTGTAATGCCACATTTCAAAGAGCTCTAACTTCCTTCAGGTTTTTGATGAAAGTGTCCATGCCTCTGACTCAGACAGTAGTACTACTAATTATACATATATTTCAGCTGCCTTTATTGCAAATTTAAGTTTCTGGCCCTCTTCAAAGTCTTAGTTTATTTAATGCTGATTTTAATTGACTTAAGATATTTATTTATTTAATTTATTTATTTATTTTATTTATTTATTTTATTTATTTATTTTTTATTTTTATTTTTTTGCCATCACAACTAATGTTGCTTAGCAAGTACACAAATAAGTTTTCTGTAGGCTACCATAATTTTTATTTTAGAATTTATTTCTAATTTGGAAATAACTATGTATCACTGTCTTTACTGGTACAGTATTCTAACCTACTTTCTGCTAATTCAGTAACCAGTTTTTTGCAATGCTTCTTCACTACTTGTAATTACAGCAGTTTCATCTGCATACCAACTATTAATATTGTTATATCATTAACTGTAATTCCTCCATCATTACTGACAATTTATCGAGATATTCTGAAGAGATATTATTACATTGGAGCACTGGAGATGGCACACAGTTATGTCTAACTCCCAGTACTGTATAACTCAAAACCTTCTGTGAAATAAATTTTTACAAGCACTTTATTAAAGATATATTAGAATTTTAATATATCCTTCATTAATGCCCTTTTTTCTTTTTCTTTTTTTCAAAATCTTCTATTATTGCCGAGTATGGTTTTACATTATCGGAAGCTTCAAAATCAGCAGAAGATATGCAAATATTTTTGGATCATGAAAGCCCTTTTACTAAATACAGGTATTCTTGAACCATACAGTACATACCTTCTCCAGTTCCTCCTCCCTCTCTAAATACATTTTGCTTTTTAGATAAAAATTTTCTATTCTAGTGTATTTTTTTATTAACAGAGTAAAAAAACCAGACGAGTTTAACCGCCCACGTATCCCAGTGTCACAGAGGAAGGTGAAGAGGAGGAATGTCTACCTCACTAAAAAGGTATAACTCATTGTGTTTGGCTTTTACTAGGATGATGTGATAGAGAATTATCAATAAATACTCCTTCAAGATTTTACTCATACAGTACTTATATTACCAGTGTATCGGAATCTTGTTTCTCTATCAGTAAAACTTTCAGTATCATTTGAGACTCCTTTGTATTTGAACAAAGTTATGTGTTGAAATAGTTGTGAAGTAAAAGGAAAAGAACATCCCAATTATTTGTTTATGGTTCTTTAAGTATTCTCAGATTTTGTACATGTTGATACGTGTTGGACTCGTTGGGAACATATCCTATTGAAATCCTTGTTATAATGATCCCGATGTACTATATTTCACATAGCGATCAGCTTTTGAGAAACCTAATCCCATCTTAAAGAGGAGGATCCCTGTATATTAAGCTGAAGAGGTTCAAAGTAGGCATGACGCTGAGAGTATTTAAAAACTGTTGAGTCTTCCCCCGCCTTCAGAAAAATTTCTTGTTTTGCAACCAGGTTCATCCTTTAGCTAATTGAATTATGGAAATTTCATACAGTTCATGGTACATAAGTTGATGAATACCTGTACTGTACTTTGTTTTATGTAAAGAAAAGGTATATGTAGTTTTGGTTGATGTGACATCACCTACTTGATGAAGTAACACCTTGTCCAGTTTCTCTTTAATATTCATCTGGCTGTGGTTAAAGATTCTGATACACTGTTCAGTACACACATTTAACTCATTCTTTGTAAACCCAGGAAAGTGCAAACTGTTCATATGATAATGGATGTCTGTCTTACATATTCATCATAAGAAAGATATTTGGAAGTATAATATGGATGTTTATCAGTATATTTGATAATGTGTGTGTTCCAGAAGTACATCATGTAAGTACAGGCCTCTAGTGTAGTACATGCGCTGTTTGTGTGCTCAGTTATGTATTTATTATTTACTTAATTTGGATGGCTTTATGCGATAATAATCTTCATTTTCGTCAGTATCTTAGACGTACTCTAGTTCTTACAGTTCAAATACAGAATATCATGCCTTACTTTTTGTGTATATCATGCCATACAGTTCGGGGATGTCTTGCCTCACAATTTGAGTGTTTATCATGCCTTACAGTTTAGGTATATCACGCCTTATGGTTCAAGTATATCATCTCTTAATGGTGGCAAACAACCTCCCCAACAATATTATGTTTGTGTAATATTTTTCTGGGCTAGTTCACATTGAATGACTTTGCATTACTGGCCTAGCTGAATCTCCCTAATAGGTAATTTTCTCATTCCCATATTGACCAGGAGCTGTATAGTGATCATGACGTAAGTAAAGTAACCAAGTTCCAGATGCAACAGATTTATTTTCATTAGAGAATTTGTAGTTAACCAATATCTCAAGAGTTTTAAGGCTGCTTTTTTGTTTTTAGTTTTTATTTAACTTCTAATTAGAATTTATTTGAACAATGGCTCTGCTCTATAGATTATTGCCTGTTACTTTTGTTTTGATGTGAAGGTAAGTAACCATTTCACTCTAACCACAGTGCATAAATCAAACCCTGTGAGAGGCATGCTTTTAGAACAGTGGTGTGTTAATGCTAAAGTTTTTCTATGAAGGAAGATGTTATTACAGAGAAGAAGGCTTTGTAGGTGTATAGTTGGTACACTATGTAGTTGGCAATGTAGTATGGTAGATGTTTTGCTTGAATGTGCAGTATTGAATTTCCCAAGAGATTTTTACTCTTTTTGATTCAGTATAATTGTTATTTAGAATTAGTGACAGGGAGGGTATTCACAAAAATTTTATGTATGAATGCACTGTATAGAAACTGAAAATAAAGCCGCTAATTAGGTTGGCTATGCTATTTACTTGTGGCTCTTGGATGGTTGAATAATTAGTAACCCATAGTGTGGAGGGAGTCAAGAGACGAGATGAAGTTATGAAAGCACTACACTCAAAATATAGATTGTACTATAATCAGGATGATAAAGTAAAAAATAATATGCAGTATTTTTATTGTGCCATAAGATCATATTGACAATAGATAGCTAAAATGAATTACGTACAGTAAAACCTCGATAAATCGGACTTCAATATATCGGAATTCACTTTTTTTAACTCATGAGATGCGCTGGTCACCAGAAATACTAATTTAGGGACAGTGGTCATTACCAATAGAAGTTAGCTGTAGGAACAACAGCCATTATCGATGAAAGTTAGGTGTAGGTGACAGTGGCCATTACCAATAGAAGTTTGCTGTAGGGACTGCAGCCATTATCAATGGAAGTTAGCTGTAGGGACTGTAGCCATTACCAATGGAAGTTTGCTGTAGGAACAGCAGCCATTACCAATGGAATTTAGTTTTAAGGACAGCAGTTTTCAGTGGAAGTTTCATGTTCCTTGCATTTCATTTTTGTTCATATAGGATGGAGTAGGGAATCCTCAGCTGCCGGTTAAGGATTGAATTGTAAACTTAAGTGTTGTTTGATTGAAATATTGTTAGCTTCTTCACAAATTAACTGGATATTCATCTAAATATACTATATATTGGTTATTATTCAGAAAATGAAGGAGAGTTGGTGGAAAGTGGTATGACTGAAAACAACTTGTAATTACCTTAGCAGGACATACAGTAGTTATAAAATGTCTTTTACTACATTTCTTTAGGTTTGACATTATTTATATTTTAAAACAGCTGTAGTTTTGTCTCGCTAGCATAGTGTAGGTTAATATTAAAGTACAGGTATCTCAGTAACCATTTTCAGGTTTGTTTTCATACCCTTCAGGCTTTTTAAAGGGTTTTTGAAGTAAAAAAAAAAGATATGAGGCCTTCCCATTTACACACATACAGTACAGTACGTAATTATAAAATATATCCCTATGTATTGGAACACTGGAATTTTCCCAAGTGAGCTTGAAATACTTTGCCAGTTTACTGTGTGCAGGAAAATTATCATTCATACTTACCATAAATTTCCATAAATATAATTTACTTTCTTATTGCCAGTTTTTAATCACTGTTGTGTTCTTATATATTAAGTATGTCATACACTATGAGATGCCATTAATGTGTACAATAAGTATGATATCCTTATGGAACCTAGAAAACTTTTAACCTAATTTTTGGAACAAAATAACACTATGATTGTTACAAAGACAAAGTTTGGCATTGTTTCTCTCTGTGACACAGGCAGTAGATGACTAACAAGACAAAAGTTCTCATCTGCTTGTGTTGGGGTGAAAAGAAATAAAATTCAGGTAAGTTTAACCCTCAGTGAGAGACTCTGATCTACTGTGATAGTATGATATTTCAGATGATTTTTATGCATTGTGATTAACAGATCTGTACTATACAGTACTTTTATTGTCACTTAAGAAGGCCTTTAAGTGCAAAGTCATAACAGATTTTACAGAAAAATTTAATTTTTATTACTATTCCCCACTCAGTAAAATAGGTGGGGGATATAGAAGTGTATTCTGTCAGTCCAAGTAACCACCTAATCTTCATATCGTCAATATAACTGATTTTTTATTTTTTTATTTATTTTCTTTAACCAAATTAATGTTCTAATTTTTATAATTATTGTCTGTGTATATATTTGCTGATCACATAGTTGTTGTATTCCTAATGAATATCTTTGAAAGTACAAGATGCATAATATTTCCTGGAATTCAAAGGGTACGGTAATTTGCTTTTGGCATTAATGGGCTTTAAGCTTATTCTGTACAGGCTCAGTTTGTGTTGTAATTTTTCTATGTGTTTGTTATATATATATATATATATATATATATATATATATATATATATATATATATATATATATATATATATATATATATATATATATATATATATATATATATGTGTACACATATATATATATATAATATATATATATATATATATATATATATATATATTAATATATATATATATATATATATATATATATATATATATATATATATATATATATATATATATATTTTACACACACACACACAGTAGACCCTTGCCATTCGCAAGGGATAGGTTACAATAAATGGCGCGAATTGGCAGAATTGTGAATAGCAATGAACACTACCTTAGTGCACTACTGTCTACCTACAGTATACCAAACAACCGAGCAGCCACGGCACCACTCGTCCCCTTCTTTAACTTGTCTAATAATAAAAAAACCTTTCTTTGTCAGGGTCATCACTGACAATGCCTTTTACATTTCACTCCACTAGCACTGATACTAGGCAGTCTTTTAAGGGCCATTTCACACAGAAACACTAAATTTTGAGAGTACAACACGAGATGCTGTGTGGGGTGACTCGTTGTGTTGCAGGAAAAGGCTCACACGCTAGCCAACATCTGCTTACCGCAAATCGTCGAAATCACGAATTGCAAGGGTATACTGTATGTGTGTGTATATATATATATATATATATATATATATATATATATATATATATATATATATATATATATATATATATATATATATATATATATATATATATATATATATATATATATATATATTGTGTGTGTGTACAAAGACAATGAAACTGTTCTTACATAAGATTCAAGGAAAACATCCTTTTTTCATTTCATATGCATAATGTTAAGATGGGTTGAATAAGGTCAAGTTAGAAAGCTTGGATGGTTTAAGATTGTATTTTTTTTTCAAAGTCGTACGTTTTTAGTGACGTTGCCAACATAACTTACCTTTTGCAGTAGTATCATCATTGTCCCTGTCATCATAGTATCCCAGTTGATATTATGTTTGCAGGAATTTCTGGCAAGCTTCCTGTTATTACATGTTGATTTAGGAACATTATTTTATTTGGGTAATCTTGCATCAAACACTACAGTGACCCCCCTCCCCTCCCACACACACCAATCTGTCTGTGTCACCATTTTCCTGTCTGATCTGTGACTTAGTAACCAGTTCAGACATTGCAGTTGAACTTGGTACAGTATTATTTCATGAGTGAAACTTGTCTTACTTGTACAGTATATAGTTAAAGACATTAATTGGTACTGCATACAGTATTAGTAGTAGATAATAGCTCTTAACACATACAGTTTGCTTGTGTAATTGATTTGTGTCAACTGGAAGTCAGATAAATGTACAGTATATTTAGTGGAGAAATAATTTATTGTTCTCCTTAGTTTTACTGTAATACATATTTTTTTCTTTTCCTCGGCACAGGATTCGTACTGTTGTTTTTTTATTTTTGTGGCAACTGGAACTTAAATAAGAATGTGCAAGGTTCTCCTTAGTGCTTCTGCAGTAGACGTTTAGTGTTGCTTTATGTTAAGTGTTGCATCTGTTTAGAGTATTTTAGCATTAGAATGTTTAATGGAATAAAAGGTTCACATTTGTTTAGGAGTCCTCAATCAATCAATCTGAATACTGTTCTCATATCTGAAGGTTGGTGACCACAGTCCTCGACCCTAAACGTTCTCGGGTTGTTAATCCTCCCAATATTTTGTATCTCACCAGGGACCTAGTTTTTATTTTCATTCATCCATCTATCCCAATCTCTGCCTTCCTCTGGCCCACCTATCCTCAACTTTGCCCATTAATATTTCTTATATTATCCCCACATCTCTAATTATATGATAAAAGTATCTCAATTTTCTTTTCTGTACATTTTAAGTATCTCGCTTGAGGTTTTTGCTAACCTTTGTACTTCATTTGTTTCCCAGTGTAGCTTATTCTTACCTCTACTGAAAGTGTCCACCCATCTGACCCATACAGCGGTCCTTTCCATATAAAGTCTTTCTCTCAAATTGAAGTATTGTCCCATTTTATTAGGTTTTTTGGATACTAAATGCTGTTTTTGCTTGCCCTAATCTTGTTTTGATTTCATTTGTACATCTACCATCACAGCTAATGTTACTTCCAATTACACATTTTTCACTTGTTTAAGTTCCCTGTTGCATAAATGCTCTGTAAATAATACATAAACAATTTGTAAGAGATGTTAATGTTTTTTGTTGTGTTTACATTAAGGAAATAGAAAAACAGGACTACCATGTGAGCATTAGATTTGTTTGTTATCGTAGTCCGAAAATATTAGTCATTCATTGTGAATATAAATTGTCATAAGAAAGGGTTTGAATAGTATGTGATATACTGTATGTAAATATTTTAAACTAATCATTATATACACTTTGATCTTTATATTAGTGCACATTGAATATTTACAATATATGGAAGGTACAGGGGGTTCCTGCTTATTATTAAATATGCATTCCTGGAAATTTACTGTAAAGAAGGATAAATTACTTCCATTTTTTTTTTCTTGGTGTTAGGCATTGTACATTTGCTTGTTGCATTTTTTGACAGCACAGAGATGCTCTAAATTATGTTAAGTGGGAATTCTGCTTGGGTCCTCAGTGTGGTCTTGCATTCTATGTCACAGTAATTCCATGCTAGCTGACTGGCCAACATAATAACAAAACAGTGATAAATGGACTAAGTTTGACCGGGGATCCTCTGTACTTTATTTTTCTTCTGTATTTTGGGAGATACATATATGGAAATAAATACATGATTCCTTTTAAATTTATTTACAGGACAAGTTTTAACTTTACACTTTCTCTAACAGACAAGCAAGAGGCGCCGGGGCTCCATCAAGAACAGGCCAGTGGTTGTCAAGGGTCACCGACCAAAGACCAAGCTCACTTAGGGTTTGGAGGTGATTTAGCTTGTAGTTGATTGGTAACATTCTTCTTTTTCCCCACTTTTTACACTATTTTGTTACTAATTCTATCTGTCCATTTCACTTTTCACCCCTTGATGTGTGTGCTTGGGTGTGAATTTAGGTGTGTGAAAGAATGTAATGTACTTCCACAGTACTATACTGAGAAGGATGTAGCATATTTGCAAAAAGAAAAAGAAAAAAATATTCACGGGTGTTTGATAGGAAGTTGTATTAGAAGGATCACAAGTTATTTAATAAAAAATCCAAGTGGTATTTATGATAAAATGTCTTAAATCTTCTTCAAGCAACAAGGCTTCCAGATATTACTAGCTAGATGAAAGTTGACAATTTACTGGCTAGCAAATTTTGTGAAGCCAGCTCATGCCTTAGCTTTGCTGTGAAATGAATCTTGCTGAAGCGTAAGGGTAATTCACTCATTAGTAGCTCCAAAGTTTCGCTTATATAACTGTTATTTATGAGATAATAAGCGAGTGGCTGAAACACTTGAGATTGTAATATCAAATTTTTTTATTGAACATACACGAAACACTAATACTGTTCTATAGCTTTGACAAATAACGGATATATTAGAGATACACTTGGGCTACCCATGTGTAAATCATCCTATAGATAATTTCACAGAAGTTTTTTATATCATAATGCCTATTTTTGGCTTCATGTTTTGGAAATCAACCAGTACCTTTATTAAGTTTGACTTGATTACAACATGTTCTTTATCCTGGCCCCTAAAATGTTGTTATATACATTTCCAGAAATGTATCCCTAATGTTAAATAATTTGAAAAATGGTGACTATTTCAAATTTTTTGTGCTATGGATAATAAATATTGTTGGTAAGGGGGTCATAGATAATGTAGGTAATGGTAGGAACAATCTTACGGTGCAATGAACTGTAACAGCCAGGATCCATCTGATTAATTTACATCCTTATACTTCACACTTTTGTTTCAACATCATCTGTCAATTTATCAAACCACTTATAAGAAACTTTTTGTGGAACATTAAGATGGCAGAATTTGAATGTAGGAAAATATGTACATAAAGTTTTTTACACAATTTAACAGTGGAAATATTGATATTTTCTGTTGTGGAAACCCTTTTCATTCCAATCATGAAAAAAAAATGCAGTAATCTTGGAAAGAATGGAGTGTAGAGTATTAAGTTCATTGCATAATACTTCATGATTATTGTTTGCAAAAGCTACATTCATCGATAGATAAATGGCAGTAAATATTTATTACAGAAATACATTAAATACAGGCTCATGGTAATATTTTCTTGGTTGGGGCTACAGTATTTATAATGTAGATTGCTATATTCAAGTTTTTTGCAAGTTTATCTTGTGAAATTTAGCTAAACTGTTATTAATTTGGGGACTTATTAGTATTATACAAGGAATTAAAAAAAATCTTGATTTTATATGGACGCATTTAGTTTAAGCAATTTTTTCATTTCTTGCAGTATGTCTTGGGTTTATTTATATCTGTGGGCAATAATGAATTGAATTTGGACGGTGATAGAAGGAAATTGGTACATACAGTACCTATATTTTTGTGTCCAAATAAAGTTTTGGAATATTTGTTATAAGGTAATATAGTTTTAGACTCCCTTTTTAGGGGAATCTATACCTATGTAATGAGAGAATTACAGAGGTAGTTTTTGGTAGTTATGCTTATAAAGTCACATTCCTATGAAATGTAGTACAGTATAAAAATAATTATTTGAAAGTACAGTACAGTCAGACGGAAGAGTTTTACATATTTATGGATTATCCATAATGCCTAAACAAGAAGTTCAGTGAGACAAGTCTTCAAAGCTCAGTGACCACAGTTATGCATTACATTTTCATACTTGGGGTGCTATAAAACATTGCTGAAGAGATGTTTAAAAGTCAATTTTGATAGTTTAGCATCAGTGACCAATCTAAACTGTGTTGTCGTAATTTTAATTCATTCTGTATTGTATGGTATGAAAATTATCAAAGTCAAGAAACTTGACTTATCCAACTGTTAAACTTCAGAGCTTTTTGCTTGACCTGTAAAACATTTTTGTATGAAATTTTTGAAGATATCGTGTGAACAAATGCTATACAGGGTATTTATTTTCTGTTACTATACCATAAGTATTTGTTGAAATCATTTGAAATGCTACACTATTAACATCATATTTAATTTAATTAAAAACAGTGATAAAGAAGAGCAACTAAATCAGAGTAAAGTTGGATGCAAGTGTCAAAATGAAAAAAATAAATAGGAAACTGTTGATGCTGCAATCTAGTCCTTGTAAAATATTTTGTTCTGTGAAAATAAGTTGACTGACATGGGATTCTTGCCACAAAAACTGTGTCCAGTGGCTCAATGTAAATAATGCTGTTCTTATGCTTGTGAATATCATAGCTCTAGTATTCTATTGGGGATGTGCATACTTGCTCTCCTTTAAATATTGGGTTCTGGCACATCTATTAAAAATGGCAGAGGAACAAGGACTTGGTTTATGAAGCCAAATAGTAATGCTTGTACTGTATAAGAAAGGTGGATAAGTCAATAAATTTTCTAGAAGAGAAAGTATGTTTACTTTTGTACACCATCTAAATTTTATTGATGTACTGTAATTACAAGGTTGAAATCTTTTCTTATGAATAATATTCTCATTCATATCATTCAGAAATCTTTTTGTAGGGGATGAAATTTTTTTTTACACACACACACACACACATATATATATATATATACACACACTTAGTACTGTAATTACAACTCTTGAAGCATTTTTTAAATTTATTAAAAGTACAGTACTGTACTGTACTTAAAAAGTCTTGTGGGGAGTTTTCTGCAGTGACGTATTTTTTAAACAGGTGGAAATTTGTTTTGTCAAAGCCACAAATGGATATTATAGCAAAATTTTCAAAATCTTGAGGAGAAATGGTTGTAAAGACATTAGATGTCATCCTTTGTTTGTTTTTGTAATGGGTAACAGGCTTTTTGTACCAGTGTTTTTTTTTATTATTATTGGACATACTTTTATTGAAATTTTATATTAAGTTCACAACTTGTGCTAGTGATATTTTTTTTCTAATTTGTGGAATGTGTGCCACTTCCTATGCACTCGCCACTGTCTAGGATGAATCATGTTGTTATCACAGTGTTATTGTATTTATAAAAATGCCTAAGGATCCAACATGTTATGTTTCATTTTAAATCCTTGGGTGATTTGGACTTTCTTACTTTACAAAGTTAGGAAAATATTCTCCATCATCTGTACACATCTCACGTACGTCCCTGTCTGGATTGCTATATACTGTACAAGCATGGAAACCTTAACTCCTGAAAGACCTAACATCCCTAGAAAAGGTGCAACACAGAGCGACAAAGATGAGTCCGTAACTGTCATTTCGATTATCTAAATAGACTGAAAGCCTTAGGACTAACAACCCTTCAAACAAGGCACAATATGGCAGATCTCACAGAAACATTCAAAATCTTTCAAGGGATGGAAAACGTGAACCCGGGACATTTTTTTGTGAGGTGACCACCAACACAAGAGTGCATAACTACAAGCTGGCCAAGTTATGCAGAACGAATATCAGGGAATACTTCCCACAGAGGGTGGTTGACCTATTGGAACGGTGTACCAGCTCAAGCTGTGGAATCAAGAACAGTAATGTAACCCTTGACAAAATTATCAAGAACAATGGAGGGATCCTACACAGGCCACTGACCTTCCCTCCTCGTGGACCAGACGGGGTGACAGGACCAGAAGGTCGGGAACTTCGGGAAGCACCTTGCTCTTGAAGATATATGAACGACCTTCTTATAAAATCTATTACTAGTTGAGCTATAACACATCGCTGTGGAATATATATATATAAACTTTTTATTCAATGTTTACTTTCTCCATGAAGGTAAACAGCATTGTCAAAGTAGAAAAAATACAGTACTGTACTGTATTAGATTTTTTGCGGTATTTGTCTAAAATAATTCGTCCGGAAAATGGCGCATTTTTCTTACACCTGCCCCGCCCGAGACCTAAGTCGGCCACAAAAAAAATTGTTTTATCCTTAGGTAAACAAGATAATTGTATTTTAATATTACCACACTAATGCATATTAATTTTAATTCACTCGTTCTAATTATAAATTGGTTAATTTACATCAAACAATAGTTATTTCTTCACGTACAGGTGTTATGTTCTCTTCTCTTTCTTCATAGGACAAAAATTCCTTTGGCAGCCTCTCTTCCTGTATGCGATTCTATGCTCAAAACGCACATTTTAAAATCATTGTCGTTTAAAGTAATATATATTTTAAAATTGGTACCATTATATTTTATTATATTTTTAATATCCATATTTTGAGTCAAGGTTTAAAAAGAGCGTAAGGAAGATAAAACATTAGTGGTAGGTTGTGGTGATAGACTCGGACACATTGTTGTTGTGGCGGGCGGCTGAGGGAACACTGAGACCAGAGCTGAGGCAAATACTGTCACTGTATGGGTGGTAAGGCAGCCTAGCCCCTCTCTGTGTTTAACTTGCACGGTAGTTAAGGTTGTTTTAAGTTAGAATTTATATATATTATAGGTTTGCTTAAATGCCGCTTACTCCTGTCATAGTCATCAGAAAATGGTTGGTTTTTGTTAATGAGTATCACCAGAAATATGAAAACAAAACTAAAGGTAATACCGGAGCAGATTGCTAACACCAGAAGTTGTTCGATTTCTTTCATCTGGTCAATTTATGTTAGTAGTCACGTTTCGATTTTTCCATAAAAATACGTTTTTCCTCTGGTTCTTGTGATTGGAACAAATCTGACCTTTGTTTCTGGTGTTAACCGCCCTAACCTAACCAGTTAACATTGACGACTGACCTGCAGACGAGTTATTTGTTTTACTGTTTATTTTCTTACTTTATTCATCAGTGAGTTCTGATATGATAATCATTCTTGTGCATATGCTTTGTTTGGTAGATAATTAGGCGCCCAGGCGCACAATACTTTGTCTTCTCGGCGGTAATGTGGTGATGACGTCTCACCCCAGGATGTAAACAGCCAATCATATTGACGTATTTCAAAACATAAGAACATAAGAAAATAAGGAGCCTGCAATAGGCCTGTTGGCCTGTACATGGCAGCTCCTGTCGAGAGTTACTACCACTCTCTATCATCCATGAATCTATCTAGCCTCCTTTTAAAACTTTCCAGCGTTCCCGCACTTACTACAAAGTTGCTAAGCTTGTTCCACTCGTCCACCACCCTATTTGTGAACCAGTTCCTTCCTATCTCCCGCCTAAACCTAAACTTATCCAACTTAAATCCGTTGCTCCGAGTCCTATCCTGCTCTGATATTATAAGAACTTTATCTATATCTCCTCTGTTGATTCCTTTCATCCACTTAAATACTTCTATTACATCTCTCCGCACTCTTCATCTCTCTAGGGAATGCAAGTTTAGTTTCTTTAATCTATCTTGATATGGAAGGTTTCTAAGTCCCGGAAAATTTTTCGTCATTCTTCACTGCACCGACTCCAGTGCATTGATATCCATTCTATAATAAGGGCACCAGAACTGAACAGCATAATCGAGGTGCGGCCTGACTAGCGCAAGATATAGTTGCAATAAGACCTCTGCACTCTTATTACTTAAACTTCTAAATATAAAACCTAATACTCCGTTTGCCTTATTTCGAACATTAACACACTGTTTTCTAGGCCTTGGGTCCGGGCTTACAAGTACCCCTAAGTATCTTTCACAAGTCGACTGCTCTAGGTTGATGTTGTTAAGGCTGTATACATTGACAGTATTTGTTCTTCCAATATTAAGTACGCTGCACTTGCTGGTATTGAATTTCATTTGCCATTTCTCTGACCACTCCTTCAGTTTATTTAAAGCCTCCTGTAGTGCATTTGCATCCTGCCCTGAATTAATCTGCCGCCCTATTTTGGTGTCATCTGCAAACTTGCTTATGTCACTGCTGATCCCAGTATCTAGAGCGTTTATGTAGATTATGAACAAGAGTGGGCCCAGTACTCACCCCTGGGGAACCCCACTGGTTACACAGCCCCACTCCGATTTAAGACCATCTACGCTGACCCTCTGTGTTCTATTGGTGAGCCCTGATTTTATCCAATTTAAAAATTTCCCTGCTATACCATAAGCCTTATATTTTCTCAGAAGCCTCTGATGCGGTACTCTGTCAAACGCTTTGCTAAAGTCTAAGTAAATAACATGGTAATTTTCGTCATTATCTACTACCTCGAAGACTTTCCTAAAAAACGTCAGCAGATTTGTTAGACAAGAGTTTCCCTTTGTAAACCCATGTTGAGAGTCGTAGATTAATTTGCTTTTCTCTAAATGCGATCGGATACTATTTGCTATAATTGAGTCAGAAATTTCCCCACTACTGACTTCAAACTAATAAGCCGGTAATTTGACGCTGATGCTCTGTCTCCCTTTTTGAATATGGGTACTACATTTGCCTGTTTCCACAAGTCTGGCACAACTCCCGTGTTTAATGATTTGTAAATAAATTTACGAGGGGTCCGCTAATCTCTTCCTAACACTTTCAAAACTCGAGGGAAAGTTTCATCCGGCCCTGGGGATTTTGTCTTCTCTAATTTATTGATCTTCTCAAGAACATCCTCTTTTCAGATAGTGATATTCTTCAATTTCTCTTCTTCATATCCCCTAAATATCAGTTCCACCTCTGGAATTTCCTCGTGGATTTCTTCTGTGAAAACTAATAAGAAGTGGCTGTTTAATGCTTTGCTTATTTTCTCACTTTCATCGATCACTTCCCCTCTCTCTGACTTTAAAGGCCCCACTTTGTCTTTGGCCTTTGTCCTATATACCTGGAAAAATCCCTTGGGATTCGCCTTGGATTCTCTTGCTATCCTGATTTCGTAGTCCCTCTTTGCCTTCCTTACATTTTTCTTAACATTCCTAGATAGTTCATTATACCTATTTCTGAGCTGCTCCTCCCCTCCCTTTAATTTCTTATAAATTCCTTTCTTTATTCTTATGTCGTGTTTAAGTTTTTTGGTCATCCACCTTGGCTCATTTTATTTGACTTAATTTTTCTGTATGGCATATTTTGTTCTTGTGCTTTACATAGTATACAAGTGAATATATTATAGTCATGTTGTGTCACCTGTGACCTCACCCGTTCCTACTGGGGACTGACCTGACTGTTCCCAGGCGACCTCACCTAGGTACCTTCCTAACCGAAATATGAGATCTTAGTGTAGTTTGTTTTCATAATACTGTACTGTGCAGTATATTAACTCTCCCCTCATACCTTCATATTGAACCAGGATGAATGAACATTATCCAGGATGGGAGCCGGGTGGAGTGAAGTGGGAGTGGAAGGTGTGCCTCTAGAACTGGTGTATCGTGTCCTTCGTCATGTATCTCTGCGTGACCTAACAACTCTCTCAGCCACCAGTAAATATCTTCGAAACCTTATTGACGAATCTCCTCTCCTATGGTCTCATGTGCATACAAAGGTATGTGATAAAAGTTTTGTATATGTGCATCTTTGTCTTACTGTATATTATTTTGCTGCTAAGAGATTGATAATTCTATGTTAGAAGAAGCATGTTTGTACAGTACTGTACAGTATTAGGTATGCTGAGTATTATTATACAGTACTGGTTTCAGTATTTTAGGTTTTTTAAAGATTTGCTGTTGTTTATGATCATTGTTTGTTTGCTCTTTCATGTATACAGTACAAGAAGCCTGGAATTTCTCGGAATGCTAAAAAAGTCGTTATGTTTAACCATAAGTGATCCAGAATAACAAACTACAAGGGTTAGGTTTCTACAGGGGATAGCTGGAGGTCTACCATGCCTAGTTTATATTTACACTACAGTGAAATCCCTAGTAGCCGGGATTGAGAGATTTCTGGGTATGAAGGTGAATTTTCTCATCCACAGAAAAGGATCACACATCCCCAGAATTTGTCCAAGTATGGTACTGAGGAAAGATTTTCAAGTCGAAACTATGCATCTCACATTGGTAGACACTATTGCACTTCACCAGAATGTTTCTGGGTGTTGGGGAAAGTTTTCTGAGTCTAAACTATGCATCTCATCTTGCACGGACAAACATTCTCCCATTACATTTAGGCTGCAGTAACGAGCGAAAGTAATTATGGATAGCGAAAAGTGTATAAACTTTAATCCACCGAATCTGTTCTAATTGTACAGGTACTTGAAAGATGAATTTGGTACCATAATGATCCTGAATAAATTCTCTTCAAGCTTGTTTCAATAAATGATTCTTGAACAAAATATTTTAACATGATACAGTGATGGAGACTCAATTATTTTATGAAAAATCTAAAAAAAAATAATTATACCAGTCTACTGTATAAAATCACTACATATTAAGATAAAAGTTCCATTTTTACCCAAATAATCTTGAATGATTTATTGTAAGTTAGATAAATATTTATATAGGGCCATTAAATGGAGGTCTTTTTGGGGTGCAAGGCATGAGTGTGTCACACCCTTCTGCCAGGTGTATGAGAGTTCTCACCAACATCAGCAACTATGTGGCGATGACTTGCAGAGGTGCCGAAGCATATGAGAGACCAAGGAAAAATTTTATTTTTGTTCAACAGAGGTTAAAAAACCCAAAGCAGCAAAAACAAAAGAAGAAACATTCGTACGGCATACAAAAACCCTGAGTGTTAACTCTAGGTTAAAAATTACAGTAAGTTCTGTGTTCTTAGGCAGCTTGACTTGAAAATCACCCCACTTTCTGGAATTTTCCACCCTGTATTGGGGAAAGTTTTTTGAGAGCCTAAATTAAGCATCTCACAGGGACAGACACAGAGCTGATATATTTTATGCAAACACTACTGTCCACATACAATATACAGTACAGGTATTGTAAATAAACAAAATACAGGTATACAGTACTTCAGTACTGTATACACTATATTGTACTGTACTCACTTGAACTTGTGATGCAGACAGGCCAAATGGTTTTATGATGATACAATATGGCGTGCATTTAACCTGTAGCAGGTGTTAATAGCTGTCGCTCTCCTTTCCCTCCATGAAGGAAGGATTATACATACATCCACTACACACTAGTATATACTGTCCACTGTGTTATGTAATGTACATACGGTACTTTTGCACTTGCTGAATGTACAGTACATACTGTACAGTGTTCATAACTGTACAGTAATCACTTTTTACATCTTAACACTGCATTAACAACTGCTTTAACAGTAGCCTTGGCTAATTATATGCTGGTACAGTAACATACTGTACAATACTGTGCTACACAACACACACTGTATGCAAACAAGCTTGTATAATGGCAGCAGACAATAAACTAAGAGTCATGTTGCAAGAATTTGAGGAAATAAGCTGCGAGATATATCAACCAATCATAGGCAAGCTATGCAGTCACATAACAGTAGTGACCAATCATAGCTCACAAGCACTCTGAGCTTACCCACCCAAGCACCCGGCACATATCCCCACATCAGAAACTTGATGCAATCTCTTGGAAATTTATTCCCATACCTGGAACTGAAATATTTTCTCTGAATTTTCTGGAAATTTGCACCATGCAATCCTCAGAAATTCATTCCCATGCCTGGAATGGGCAGATTTTCCCTGGAATTTCTCGGAATGCTAAAAAATGTCCAGCTATTGGAGAGTTCTGGAGATTGGACGTTCTGGCTAATGGAGAGAGCACTTGTGGAGAAACTAAGAGATTCTAGTGAAATTAGAAAAGTGTGAGTATATATGTTATCAGAGTATAGTATGTATCATACAATGCAAGTAACAACACACACAGCCACCACAACAGTTTACCATAATTTCTCAGCTTGTCTATTGAATACCCGAGTTGATTTTGTTTTTTTAAATACAGTATTTGCATATTTTGGGATAAAATGGCTTAATTTAATGGAATAGCTTCAATAGGTACTTTAAATTTTTCGAAACCAAGTTGGGCTACTGAATTCGAGGAGTTTTAGTTTGTGTGTGTTGTTGAATAGTTATACTGTATTTGTTATTATTAGGTAATTATGGTAATTTAGTTTGATCATATGTTTGCTTTGTAGGATAGAGAATTTATAATTATTTTGGTTTTTCCTTGTGGTTGGGGGGCCTGACTGTACTGTATTTATTCCTCTGTAATGATAATAGTTAGGCTGATACTATACATAAATGATATACTACTGTATACTTTTACACAGGAGCTGTGGCCTAATAAGGACACATGGCACTGGTTTGAGAGAGCAGCCCACTGTGGCAATGTAGGAGCCAGCATCAAGCTAGCTGTGGCCCTCCTCTACAGTGAAGGAGGTGAGGCTTCATGTTTCAGAGTACAGTACAGTATATTTTTCCCTTTTAAATATGCATCTTCTGCGATGATGCAGAGTGACCAGGGAGGTTACCTTGACCCCTTGGTAAAAGGCTGAATAATAGTCAACTGAAAGGTTGTTGCACCTTCAGCTTTTAATAAATTTCTATTAACTAACATTATTATACATTAGCACAATTTAAATATTTTATTATCCCCTGGCCTGAGTGGGCTGGAGATAATGGAATATATATAATTTTTGTTTGTGTGCCTGTCTGTGTCGGAAAATGAGTTGTCTGTAATCTAAGATTGCTTGTCTGTACATGTATTTTTTTTGCTATATCATCTCAATTACAGTCTTTTATGTTTTCTCTTTATTGTTTCCAGTCAATACCATTTTTGTGCCTCAGTTTTCTTAGTTTAGTCTACTTAAAAAAAATTGCCCATTTTATTTCATTATATACCACATTATTCCATGTCTTTTCCTTTCTATGGTATTTTATATACAGTACTGTATGTGTGTAGTGTATACAGTAAATTATATGTAGTAACCTTATATTTGAAAAACTTAAAGACATGTAACAAAGAAATATATTATTATTAAAGATAGCCCCAAAGTTTGAAAATTCAAAATAACAATTTGTGTAACTATTAAAAATTATAAGAAATGACTAACCTTTGATTTAGAGAGGCAAGACCCTGAGGAAATTTTCTCGCCTCACAGATAAAGAACCGTATTTTACAGCATATAAGACGCACTTTTTTGGTCTGAAAAAGTCTAAAAAAATCAGCGAGTCCTATATGTGAAGTTGTGGCATCCCGTAAGCTAATGAATCCCCCAGTTGCTGTCTCCAGTCGGCTAAATTCTACCTAACCCAACTCCAGAATTTAAAATATGGTATTGCTTACTTAAACACATTATTATTATTATTTTTGATTAATTAAAAAAATAATTATTGTAAATATAAAAGCTTGATTTATAACTCCAGGCAGTCCCCGACTTAGGACGGGGTTAGGGACCCAAATCCAGGCCTTAAGTCGAAAATGCGAAAATAATACATAGAAAATCTAAAATGGGTGTCTCTTTTTCTTCTCAGCATCACAAAACTCTCACTTTTAAGCTTGCCAGCCATTTCAAAGGGAATTACAAACGAAAATTTTGTCAGTACACAGCGCAATCACTAACGTTGGGACTCGAAAATACGTAAATTGAAAAAAAAATTTTACGACTGCGGCGGTCATATGTCCAGGTGGTCGTAAGTCGAGGAGTATCTGTACTGTACTGGTGATGATAACCTGAGACAATTAATGTCAGAGGTAGTAACCATTTCTGAACTCTTACAAACATTACAATCTATGAATGCCAAACCTGCAGCATTTATTTTTAAGTTTACAAATACTTGATACAAATGAAGATTTACAAATAACTTGGGTACTGGGCCAAGCTGTGAGGTGTTAAGGTGGTTTTTAATCTCATATTTTCGGGAAGATTTATGTAACTTACTTTATTTATTTTTACTCGGTTACATGCACACTGAATCCTACATACATATTGTGAAAAAAAGTAAAAGAAATAATTGTCCTCAGGGTAAACACATAAAGCAAATATACATTTCTTTGTACACCAGTTAGCTGGCTCAGTGGGGGAGCGGGAGGAGGCAAGGCATGTGGGGGGAGTGTTGCTAGGAATCGGCGGAGGTAGCGTCTCCGTTGCTATGGTGAATCAGGGAGTACTGTACAGTATATGCAAATGGCAACTTTGTTAAACATTCATTTGCCTTTTATTTACTGGCTTGGCAATACAGTATTTTTGTTGTAACTTCTTTATTGATATTATTTTTATTTATTCCTCACATTTACTGGTACTGTACTGTAGTTTATATTATTTTAAGAAAGCAAATGGCTACAGGAGGAAAATTTACACAAAAGTTTTTTCCTAAATGCTCCCTGCAAAAATGGTATGTGTGTCTTATATGGCTGTGCGTCTTTTATGCTGTAAAATACGGTACTTATTGGCATCATATTTATTTTTAATAACAATGATTTTGACCTGTGACCCAGTGATCACAAAGTCTGTTGGAAACTTCTCACAATGGCCAAAATACCTATTCATTACTGCATAGTGTTATTTGGTGGGTGAAGGAAAATCCATAGTTTAGGTCTGCAAAGCAAAAAGTTGAACAATATAAAAAAAATATGTTTGGGCAACAATAATAACACTTTTGGCTAAATATTCCCAGTACAGTACAGTACATTAAGAATTCTGGATATCTAATATATATTATTATTTTTTTTTTTAATACTTAGGAAGTTTAAAATTATCGTTTTAAATTTTCAGTGATTTTGGGCAAACCAGTCCTCAATGGAGAACTTGCTGTAAGAGTATTTGAACGCCTTGAAACTAGTGGAACATTGGGACCTCGGTTACAGCTGTGGCTGTTATACCGTCCGCCATGGGGCAGTCAACCACTGTGCTGTAAGCGCTATGTACACATACGGGTCTCACACATTGCTCAAGTAAGATACTATAATATTGCTTTAATCTCCTGAGTTTTTTGTTGTACTGTATAGTAAATACTGTGTATTATTAAATATACTGTATGCTGATGTCAGTTCCCATTTTATTTCTATTTCAATTCAGTTGGGTGAGTTACAGTGTCTCCATGTCATCACTCCTGATACTGCTGTGTTGTCTCTCACGTGGTCCTTGGCTTTCCTCTCCACACTCATTGACCTCATCATTCTTTGCACATCCAATTTATCATAGGAGTGTATCATTTTATAAAAGTTATTTAGTACAGGGTATTTATATAATAGGTACTTAATCCTTCCTGGAAGGAGTGACAAGACCAGAAAAGCCTCCAGACTGCCTCTTGAACATGACCCATTCCCCGTATGAGACCTGCCCTTCATGTCATTTTCCACTTTCTTCCATTTTGTTTCTGCCAACCCATCACTCCATGTTCTTATTCCTCACACCTGTATTCAGTGTGGCCAAAGAGAAGTGCTGTCCCAGGGAAGGGCAAAAATGGCAGGACTGGGGGGGGGGGGGACATCACCAAGAGCTCCAACATCTAACAACATGTAAAATACATAAATTATTTTATTTTTGTAAAAAACAAAAACAAAAAATAATAATATTTTCATGCATTATATTTAATCAGTAATTTACAATTATTATTTAATATGAATTTCGAAAATAATAAGCATATATAAACACATTATGTTTAATTTATGAAAAAAAATAGAGAAACTTGGAGCGAGCAATATTTGCATTTGGGAGTCTGAGTGACAACCGTGCACTACAATTTGTGTTTTACTCGCATTTATATATAGATTTAATAATTTTATTGTGATTACCTGTATAAAACTATTTGTAGATAAGGTATTTACAATGCTAATGTAATTAATTAGGTCATGTACTCACCCTTTCATTGGTACTGTTTTGTGCTTGTTGGTTATTTATATGAATATCTAGGACTTCTATATTTATTCATAAGTTTTTAACTAAATTCTCAAACTTCCTATATATACCATGTGTTATGCATAAAATTGACCTCTTTCTTGAGTTTTACTATTTGGCTTTTTCCTTTTCTGCTTTTATTTATCCAACTGTCATTATTCTAGGTAACTCAGCTTTTAATCTTCAAAATTGATAAATGTTGGTTTTTGCTCTATTTTCAGATGACAGGCTGTCCGTGGGCCATTAGAGTTTTAAGTCGTATATCAGAAGTTGTTGGAGATGGTAGGAACCTTGCAAATCCTCCTGATGTCAACTGGATCAAGATTGCTGCACAGGGAGGAGACACACATGCAAGACTCCTACAGTGGCGTTCTCGGTATGAGAGACGACACCTTGAAGGGGTACTGGATCCTGGAACAGAACTGCAGGCGAGTCGTGAGCTTCGAGAGCTTTGTCTCACGGGATACTATCCTGCTGTGCTTTTGCTCTCCCACTTCCTTGCAACTTCTAGGTAAGATGTTAGTGGTATTGAAATGAGGGAAATATGCATAAGAGTGCAATAATCTCAAGAAAATTTAGGGATTTTTAAAGTGAAGAATGTAACTAGGATACTAGTTTTAAGTTCTTTAGACTTTGATAGACATTACCAAAGCGGTAAATACAGCAGTCCTCTCTATATACACTAATAGTTTACATATTTTCTCTTATACAAAATGTGTAATTTAGTGGACACTTTTCATTGCACAACATATTTTTTCCTGTTTTGTTTAAATTTTGAAAGCTACTTTTTGGATTGCACCACTATAATACAACCTGCATCACTCCCTAGATAAGGATCACTGTGCAAGTGCTATTCTATTACCAACCCAGGGACCTTCCCTTCGTATTGATTAATTTCTCTAATAGTAATTTTATTCTGTGTATCATCAGATGCTGAGGTGCTGACACAGTCATCTGGGAGCATCATTATGTCATTGGTTTGGGTTGTTCATATTTTAGGGAGGTGTTGTGCATGGAAGCTTCGCCTGTCGAAGGTTGGCTTCTGCATGTTTCTTTCCCTGTATGAGGGGAACCTAAGGGAAGTTTCTGGAGCGAGATAAATTATACCGTAAATGTGTCAAAATCCTTTTTCACAATATTTAAATTTTCTACTTGTTCTTTTATTAATGTACAGTATTTATGGTGAGTACTAATTTATTGAGTTCTTACCATATATCTTTTGTGAGAATAGGTGGGTAATCTTTTATTACTTCGGGGAGTAGCAAACCTGCCTTGCCAGCTAAGAGGACACTTGGAAACCCTACACATAATGCCCAGTTCTCACTTCGTAAAAGTGGGTTAGTGATGGGAAAGTCATTCAGCCATGAACTTGCTTCTAATTTGCCTGATGGTAACTGGGAGACCATGCCATCAGGTAATCATGGCTAACCCAGCTATAAAATGGCCATGTTGATTATATCTTTTGTATTTTAGTTTGATTAGTTTTAGTTGTACATGATGCATGAAAAACAGCCCCCAACAACACTTCCTCCCTGTGTAACACTGTGTCCATGGAAAAATTGCTTTCATGATACAAATTTTCACTTTACATATGACTTCTTTAGAACACAGCCTTTTAGTTCAGTATAGCAAGGACTGCTAATTTTGTTTTTGATAAGAGAAATGGATTTTTTATAACAGTGGAGAGCTGTATCGCTGCTCCCTCCCCTCCCCCTAGCCAGCCTGTATGCCTTGGGGGAGGGGGGGGGGGGCTGGGTTATAACACTTCAATATTTTCTTTAGGAGAATCAATTAAATTAAATTTAATCAGTTAATTCAGAGAAATGAGACTTAAGTTAGCCTGTATTTTAGAATTTAAATTGTTAATCAAATTAATAAGTCAATTAGCAAAAAATAAGTTAATTAACTCAACCTGGTAGTTATCAGTTTACTCCATTTTGTAGCATTTATATTCTTTATGATCTTCCTTGTAAGGATCTTTTACGCATTCATTTTTCCTGACTTTTGTTTAGGCATCCGAGCAACCAATGTTTCCCTGAGATACGAGAGTTCCTACAAAACAGCCCACCATCTCGCACTTGGTATGCTCTTAATTACCAGCGGCACGTGAGACCACACATGCATCATGTATTGGTGGATTGGCTTTGTGAAGTTGCCACCATGAAGCTTCACACCTCTCAAGTTTTACATGCTGCAACACAGGTACTTATTGATCCAAGCCCCCATCTGTCAAGTCTTTTCTAACCATAATGTAGAATATTCAGAAACAACACACACACACACACACACACAAAAGTTAGTATTATACGGGGATTATAATGAAATTGACACCACTGATATCCAGAACCAGCTGTCACTATCACAAGTTGTGAACTTCCCCACACACGGTCAAAATACCCTTGACCTTATCTTAACCGACTTAGCGGACCAGTACCAACCATCTCAACCAATGCCTCCTATCGGGTGTAGCACACACCTATCAGTGCTCTGGTCCCCAGCTGCTACTCCCACTCAAGTACAGAGACCCTACATCAAGACCTACAGGCCGATTACTGACTCTGCAGTGCGTCTCTTCGGGCAGTGGATAGTTCACCATCCCTGGACTGAAGTACTTAGTGTGGATGACGTGGACACTAAATGGATAAATTATACCAACACCACCACGGAAGCTCACCACCACTTCTCCGAGAAGTCCGTCAGATCTCACCCAGCTGATTTGCCCTGGATCACACCTCTGATCAAAGACTTATGCAACAGAGAGGCAAAGCCTTTTATCTCAGTGACCACAACCACTACAGGTCCCTTCGGAACCGAGTCATCCGCGAAATATACACTGCAAAGAAGTTGCACTACCCAACCAAATTGCAACTCCTGAAGCAGACCAACATCAGTCAGTGGTACGGTAAGCTTAAAGAACTCTGTGGACTAAACAATAAGACACACCCCTTCCCCTTCCTTAGACATCTCACTAATGTTGACGCAGCTGAGCAATCAAATAACCATTTCGCTACTGTATGCCGGACGCTCCCCCGGCTTGACACAACCAATCTCCATGCTTATCTACCAGCTGCCTTTCCCACTGACTTAGTAGAAGAATTTGAAGTAGCAAAACTTCTGGACAAACTGAAGTTAAAGCGCTCCACGACCCCCATTGGCTTACCAATGAAACTCTTCAAAGAGTTCTCCCTGGAGCTTGCTAAACCCCTCTGCTCCATCATCAATGCCAGATGCCCAGCTGACTGGAAGACTTCATATGTGTTACCAGTGCCCAAGTCAACCAGCCCACACTCCTTAAATCAGCTACGACCTATTGCAATCACCCCAATACCCAGCTTAATCTGTGAAAGTTTTGTGTTTGACTGGGCTTATGCTGAAATTGCAGGAGCCGTAGATCCCCAGCAATTTGGTAATATGAAAACTTCCACCACTCACTGTCTTGTCAGCTTTCTTGACTACATATACCGGCATCTGGAGAAACGAAAAACATCTGTAGCTGCCGCCTTCATTGACTTCACTAAGGCATTCGACCTGGTCGACCACAATTTAATCATCAACAAAGCTATCGACCTCCGGTTTCGAAGAAGTCTTATACCATGGCTTGCAGACTTCCTCAGTAACCGATGCCAAGCTGTACGCTTCCGAGGGGCTGTTTCCACCTTTCAGTCACTCACCTGTGGCGTCCCCCAAGGCATCAAGATGGGACCACTATGCTTCCTTATGCTTATCAATGATGCCCTAATAGAAACCCCAGGTCGCTGGAAATATGTCGACGACTCCACCATTGGGATCAGCGTCAACAATTCTGCTACCAACTGTACTGCCCTTCAGGATTTATTGAACTGTCTCCAAAACTGGGCCACCAACAACCACGTCACCATCAACCATACCAAGACCATGGTTATGCACATCAACCTCTCCTCCGACGTTGTCCCACCCCCTTCCATTACTTTAGGGCCCAACACACTCCAGGTTGTAGATTCCACTAAGCTCCTTGGTGTCACCATAGACAACAAACTAAATTGGAAACCACACGTCAGTGAAGTTGTCAAATCCTCCAGTTTCTGTCTCCACCTCCTCTGACTCAAGTCCCTCGGAGTTCCTGCCCCCGAGCTCCTCAGTGTTTACTCAACATTCATACTTCCCAAGCTCACCTATGCCTCCCCTACCTGGTCTTCCTTCTTAAATGCCATACAACGTAAACACCTAGAAAAAGTGCAAAAGAGGGCATGCAAGATTATTCTCTCCCCTTCCTACTCCACATATCAAGAAGCGCTCAACACACTGACCCTCTTGGCTCTCACTGACCACCACCACGACCTCATCTGCAAATTTGGTGAGAAGCTTCTGCACCATCCTCGACACCGGCTCCTACTACCACCCGAGATCCCTTGCCCGACAATTGCTGTTCAACACCACAACCGCATCCAGCCCATATGACCACGAACTGATCGCTATAAGAACAGCCCAGTCCCAACCATTGTAAAAATTATCAATAACTTGTAATCAACCAGTTTTTTCACTCCTAGTCAATCTTACTTTTTGCACTGTCACTATGTTGAAATGCCCTGTAGTTTGAGCTTCTCCCCACCTAGTTATTATATAACATATTTGTATCACTTATGTCACTTGTGTTTTATTTGTAAATCAAGAGACCCATTCCCCTATTATGTAACTGTATATTTTCAGCCTTCTGGCTGCCATGCTCTTTCAATAAACCGTTAATTATTATTACACGCGCGCACACACACACACACACACACACACACACACACACACACACACTCACTCTTGGATGAGCTGAAATGACAATGGTGATTAGGGTGTGTAGTATGATGTTGAGAGATAGGAAGGCCATTTCAGAGCTAAGAGGGTGGTTAGATATTGAGAATACAAGGGAGGTTTTGCATAGAGGTAGACTGAGATGTTTTAGGCATGTGGAGAGAATGGAGGAGATCAACTGGATCAAGAGATGCATGAGTTTGAATGTGAAGGTTGAAGAGAGCTCGGGGAACGTCAAGAATGACATGGGTAGAGGTTGTGAGAAAAGGTCATAAAACATTGATTGATAATGAGGGTGATGAAGGGGCTCCTTTATATAGTAATATGTTGAGTTGTATAAAGATAAACAAACATTGATTAGACTTGCTGTGAACCAGTGAGATGAGTATTGGAAGATGGTTTATGGGGAATTAGTTATAAAACTTGTCCCTTTGTACTACTTCTAAGGCCACTTAAGCCTATCATTATTTTCAATAATAATTTTTTTTTACAATTTAAATAGGTCATTAAGACTTTTTATAATATGCTGCTTATGTTTTACAGATTGTGGAGGCCTACTTGAGTGTGGAACAAGTCGAGTGTAATCAGCTACAACTTGTTGGCATCACTGCCATTCTTCTGGCCACCAGGTTAATAGTCTTGCAGTATATTACCAAAGATTTTAAGATTAATAGAGGAACACATCAATGAATTCTTGTCATCTTTCCAGGGTTTCATAAATGTCTTCAAGAGAATATAAAGAGTAAAAACTATTGTATTATGATGAAATAAACAAAACTAAATGTAAATAAATATGTTGAAATACCCCACGAGTTCCTCCATCTGTACTTACTAGTCTTCAGAGATGTCCACATAACAAAAATGCCCACACAATAAATTTTCCAGATAACAGAAAAGCTACACTAAATATGTCCACTCAACAAATTATCCACACACCACAAGACAGTACAGGTTTATTGTTGTAGTTGCTAAATCCACATGTAGTACAGTATATTATAGGTTGCTATGTTCAGAGTATTCAACCATCTATAACACATTTCATGTTCCTGAGTGATAATACAGTACAGCAGGTTTTTGTCAATAATCCCTTCACTACAGGAATGTCACTTTTGATATATAGCAACATCAGATGTTTTTAGTCTTCTCAGAGGGGGTCTCATGCACAAGGGGTTACGTGCCAGAAGTGTGGTTTTGATATGAATATCTGAAGGTAAAGTGATTGATGTTATTTGGATCTGTGATTGGCCAGCTGATCTGTAGGGAGCAGGGATAAGGGATGTCAAGATCAAAATGTAAATTATCTTGACTATTTTTAATATATATATATATATATATATATATATACATACACTGTACAGTGCAGTATAAGAATAACTAACTCACATATCAGGTACTAGTTTGCATCATCTTGTAGCCCAACTCAAACACTTTCTTAACATAGTTGGTCTAAGAACCTCTGACTGATATTCAATTTCAGTCCAGATTCTCAGGAGAGATGTAACGATGCCAATATTCTGGCCAATACCAAGATTTTGGCCAATACCGATACTCCAATACAGTACTTAGAAATGGCCGATACTGATATTATTACCAAAATGCACAATTGGAATAATATTGATAAATAAACAATACCAGTATGCTATTTCATATGATACACAAGCTCCCTAACAAAACCTTTAATTTGTTGCAATAAAAGTACAGTATTTTCTCGATTTAATAAAATAATTTGAGCCACCCCTTTCCGTTTAATAAAAATGTTTGCTAAATTGAATGTCCATTATTTTCGCTCAGTTTAGCGAGCTTGTTCACTAAATCATTTTAGGTGCACTGTACTACTTTTGTGTTGATGTGAATTACATATTTAATCATATATTTGAAATGAGAATTTCCCATTGTTTTAGGTTCATCCCAGGTGCATCAATGTTAACTATCCGTGAAGCTTCCTGGATCACTGACAACACTTATTCTTATAACCATGTTGTACGTACCATTGGGCACATCATGGCAGCTCTCAAGGCTAATCTTGCCCTTCCCACCAGTGAGTAATCAATGCTATACTGTACTGTATATATTATTATGCATGATATAGTTGTAGTAATCATGAATAGTCTGAGGAGTGTCCAAAACAAGTTGGTATAATTATTTGCTAATTGTCTTTATTTTTCTGTATTAGTTCTAGACTATGCAACAGTATTGCTGGAAAGTGTAAAAGCCCCAACAATAACTCAAGAGTGGACTCGATTCTTGTGTGACTTGGCCACAACTTGTTCCTTCCCTCCAAGAACCACAGTGGCACAGGTGAACAAAGACACCTCTCAAGTACAGTGTAGTACATTAGTGTGAAGTACTGATATCTAACATTTTACAATTGCATATTATTCTATATTTTTACATTCTTCTATATTTTGCAAACAAATTTGGGATTATTGTTGATTTTCAGATTGGCAGCTCTTGTGTCTTGCTTGGTTACATCTTATCACGATCGCCATGGCCCAATCTGCCCATTATATCCGGCTTCACACAGTTCCAGTTACTCCAGCCTGCCTTAATACTATATTGTAAAAAGTGAGCTTGCTTTGAGAATTATCCATGTTGCAAAGCTACCTATGTTTTTTTTTGTCTGTTAATCATAGTCCATTCTCAAAGTACTGGGTAGGAGCAGGTGCATTAGACCACACTCTTTAGCACTTGCACACTGTCTTAATCACCTTCTACTGTCTGGGATAAGAAATATATTTTATAAAGCCAAGCCTTAGAAACCTTTAAGTTACTTACACAAATAATTTCTGCCTGTATAACCGGACAATTTCAAGCGGTCATTGGTCGAAGGTCTGAGATTTTAATATTGAGAAATAGAAAAACTGAAGATAGAAGATTTAAAAAGGACCTCACAGTACAGTATGTTAGGGAAATAAAGAGGATTATAATGAAAGTTGAATACAGTAGACAGTTACAGTCATCTTCCTTTCTCCCCACACTGAAAGCTCTCATGTTATGATGCAGGGTAGTTAGACTTATGATTATACACAGTATTTTGTTATTTGCTTTCTCATATTTTTTCCCCATAATAGATGTGTTTTGTTGTGATGTAGCCTATCCCCCCCCCTCTCTATCCATTTTATTTATCTCTTGTTTCACCACCAACATTATCTCCACTTGTATCCCCCAAAACCAGTCTATGCCATAATTTTCCATCACTTCCTTGCACTGCTACTTACTATATGTCTAACCTCCCCTCATTTCGTGTCTTCCTCAATGCATCCTTCCGTCATTCCTGAGCACATCACCATATTTGTCTCCTGTGACTTGGTTTTCTATCTCCATATAATCCACAGTGCACTTGTCCTCCCTCAGCTGTTCTCCTAGTCATCACTTATTTTTCTATTTGCTGACACATCTACTTCCAGATACATCAAACGTCTCAATTCCTTTCAGACTAATAGCTATTTATGCCATCTCCCTTCTCTACTTAATTTTATAAATTTTGTACACATTTGTTGTTTTACCTAGTTTACATTCTTCCAAAATCATTCAATAACATTTGCAACATCTCGCAATTTCATCTGGAAACAGTAACTGACTTATCTGTCTTCCTTATTAATTACAATTACACCCCATTTCCATCACTCTTGCTTTCACCCTTCTTACTGCTCCAGTGTCACTGTAATGAGGAGAAAAATTTGTATATGAAGTTGCATGTCTCTTACTGATAGCAAAAATTTCATGTTATTGAAGAATGGTAGTGATACTCGCCAGTGAAAAGGTTCTTGATAGTGGGCTGAGGGTATACACATTCATCATTAAAATGTCTTAGAAACTACAAGTACTTGAGGTTGAGGTTTTATTAAGTATGCTTGAAATGACTTTACTGTGCAGCAGAAGTCATTGATGGCAAGAAAATGGGCAGTCTTGTCAGCATTATTAGTAGTGGAACCTCACTATATCAGACTAATAGGGATGAAGGCCACTCCAGTGAAGGCAATACTGAACCTTTTACTTGACATATCGGACATATTCTGAAATATCAGATGGTATTCTGAAACCAACTGATACCAGATTTTCATTAGATATGTATCCTGTCTCAAGCTAACTGGTGTTTTGGTTACTGTTTTTACTGTGTAATTACTACTGATACTACTGTATTCTTATTCAACTGTAATAGTTCAAGTAAAAGTACATTAAACTTTACATACATAAATGCTTTACAAGAAACTTGGCAGATCAATTGTTGTTGATATAGATGAGACAGGTGATGGTGAAAGTAGTGGTGGTGGTGGAGGTAGTGGTGGTAGTGGAGGTAGTGGTGATGGTGGAGGTAGTGGTGATGGTGGAGGTAGTGTTGGTGGCAGAGGTAGTGTTGGTGGTGGTGGAGGTAGTGGTCACTTAATACAGTACAGTAATATTATAGTGTAAATAGGCACACACTGTATTTACTAACTCTAAGCACTTCACAATACACAACAGTATATGTAATGATGTACAGTGTCATCATTTAATGGGGGCGGGTATAAAGTGTAAACAGGCATATGCTCTTTATCTACAAGTATCCCAGTCTCATTTACCACTGTAAGTTGAAAATGATGCAGGTCATTCTCAACCAATGATTTCCTTTAATTTGTCCACAAAAGGTACATAATGAACTGGAACACCTTCATCCTTTTTCTGGGTATATCAACATATTTTAGCTTAATTTGCACTTGTATCCAGTATTTCAGATAATTTTCTGATATTTTTCCATTGTGCACTATGTCATATAATGTTGCTTTCTTTATATTAGACTTCTCCATTAAAAACTGAGCAGACACCTTAGTTGTTTTTTGAAAAGTTTCAGTTTCACTTTCTTTGATAAATTCTGCTTCTTCCACCTTGGAATAGATAAACAACTTCCTCCTGAGGTCATGTTCACAATCACTTTAAACACTGGTGTAATTTTAAAAGAATTATAGTGTGACTGTGGAGTACAGACCACAATGTGGCTTCTTATATTTAACCTGTGTGTGTACACCATGGGTAAACTGACACGACTCATACTGACTAACGCTACCTGATATATTGCGCACAGCTAAGGAGGCCAACATATGGCAAAAAACATGGATGGCAAGTAGTACAGTATCATGGTGGGTGAATAATGTCCGATAGTGCCAGTTTCCATTATATTGAGTATCTGCCTTAGTGAGGTTCCACTGTACTAGGATGCTACTCCTACTTTGAGTTACAGTACAAGTTTTATATGTTTAAAACCATAACTTAACCTGACATTTTATGTGGGAATGTTAATATGGACCTGGGCTCTTGTTCCTCTTATCAGAACCTAACACAACATTACTTCTTTAGTGTTTTGGTGATGAGTTTATTAAAGAATTATATGATGAAATACTTCTCTTGCAGTTTTGACATAGAGGATAGTAAATGCCAACGTCATGGAATTATTGATCGATACAGCTTGGCAGCCTTTAGCACTGAACAAGTTGGTCTACTACCAGTGCTGCCCCTTGAAGACTTGTTAGCCTCTCTCTCCCTCTCTGAGAGTGATTACCTCCGATTGGTGACTTTGCCACCCAATGTTCGAGGTGAGTGGAAAATGCTCAACTTCTGTTTTGATATGTAAAATTTTCTTTTTATTTAGATTTTGTTCAATAAATCGTGTATTTAGGATAGATTCGGTAAGTTGTAGATGTGCTGTAAGGTGCCATCACAAGTTCTGGTGTGGAGATAATAAAAGGATTTTAACATAGAAAACTGGGCCTTCAGTTGCCATAGGTTGATCCTTGTTCATTTGTTTTGTTATTATGTAGCTTAATCTAGTGATGCTTCATTTATGGTTACAGTTCCTATCATATTCTGCCATTATTATTTTTATATACCTTGGAAACCTTACTTGTTTATGTAAATATTATTTTTTACAGGTTGTAGTTTTATTTTCATTAATTCAAGGAAAAGGCTTCTATTTCTGAATTCCCCCGCAGAATTTTAATGTGTTGTTGTTGAGTCTTCCGTACCGGGATGTGTGAGGTATGTGACAATGTGTTCACAGAAATTCTGCCTTTTTTAATTTGCATTTTGTGATGAAGGTACAGTATATGTTTATATATTAGTAAATATTTTATTTTTTTCCCAGATGATATAAGAACTTCAAAGATGGATGCTGATACTGCAAGTGCTACTGTAATGTGTAGTGAAAGAATGTACAGACCACAGCAGTTGCAAGTTGAAAAGCCACTTCAGCGACTTTTCTGCCAACAAGATGAGCCTCTACATCAGGAGCTAAAACCTTGTTTCAAGGGAACAAATAAAGAGATGGACTTTGTATCAGTAGGAAATAGCAGTGTGTGTGCCAGTGATTGCTGGGCCGTCATTGGAGGTACAGCTGAAGCATCTTCGGGTGCACATATTAAGCCAGATGACAGCAGGATGGAGTACAGTAATTGTGATTTGACTCAGGAACCTGTAAGTGGTGAAATTTCTCTTATGAAGGAAACCTCATCCTTGAGGACAGGTGTTTGTTCAGCTTTTGCAGGTGAGAGAGTATCTTCCAGACCTTATTCATTAAATGAGAATAACTGTGGTAATCTTGCAGCAGCAGTTCATGCACAGGAACAAACAAGTAGTAATGAAATGAACCCTAAGCACAGACACTTTGAATCTCCAGATGATAAAATGACACCAAGTGATGTGATGCTTGACAGCCTTAGTGAAACTACAGATAGTGAAGAAAATTCAGACATTTTACCCCCGACATGTGAAGGCGGGGGGGCTAAGTACACGAGAGTCAATCTTAAAAGAAAACTTGAAAATGCGTCTGGGAGTGAAAGATCAGAAAAATGTCTAATTTTGGATGTTGGGAATTTACAGTTGAGCTAATCACAGTTTTTATGGTTATTAAACATTATTCCATACCGTTTAGAAAATTAGGGTCTTCCAGATACTGTGTACAGTTTAATGCCATCCTTTTGGTCCATGGTTTTCTTCTACTTAATTTATAAGTTGAGCCATTCATAGATGTATTTTCTGTCGAGTGATTTCACTACCAGGAGGAAAAAATTATTCTTCTCTCTCTGCATAATAATTGGAATGTCATTATGTATATCAGTTGTTCTGGTATTGTATGCCATGAAAGTCTGAAGGTGATTTTTTATATGTAAGTTTGGGGTACTGTAAGGGGTGGTAATAGATGAAATTCAATTAATACAGTAATTAGATTCCATATGCAGTTGATGTTCATTTTACTAGTTGTGGAGTAGATAAACAACTCATAAAACACCAGTGAATTAAGTATAGATGGGAACAGTGGGTCAGCGAAACAATAATTGAAATTTAAGATCTATATTTAAAAACTCAGTTAATGATTGTAGAAAAAGGGTGAACCAAGTACAGAAGTTCTCGAGGGAAATAAAGGAAAGTAATAATACAGTACGAAATATGAAGGGAAAGAGATGATTACAACCTTTTTCAATTTGGCTATTAAAATTAATGAAACAAAAAACAAATTTTGTATTTCTCATATTTTGTATAATAAAATGGATCAAATAAGGGTGTCTCAGAAAAATTTATATACACTGTCTTACAGATTTTCATGGTGATCTCGTGAATTTTTATATTACAGTAGCAACATTATCCTCGTGTGTTGGTGTTTGAGGATATCTACAAGTGAGGCCTTTATTGCTGTTGTGATACAAGCATTCATGTGATCTATGATGTATATACCTTTTTTTAAGATACCCTGTATACAGTTTTGCATTGTTCAACTGTGTGTATCTATTCACTATAAAAGTTAAAATAATGCGAGTGAAATTTGTACCTAATTTTTCTCTTTCATAAAAAGATTGTTTGTGTGCACGATCTCTGGTCATTCCTCTGGTAACACGTGTTCCTATCCTTCTTGACTGTAGCAATTGGTTTTTTTACTATGTGTCCATTTTGAGCAGTTTACTTTTCTCCAATCTTACTTTAACTTCGTAATTCTTCACTATATTCTTACACTAATTTCAACATATTGTATTCATCATACTCTCTCATACTTTCACCCGAGAGATTATCAATTGACATTTTCAGTTCTCATGCCTTTTATCATATTATTTTTATTCTTTACACTGATACTTGTCTTGATTTTGCTAATATAGTTTAGATTTTTCATACCTGCTTCTTTTTTCCCCTACTTTATGCACTTTGGTCTGAAGCAAGAGTACATACTGTAAATACACACACACACAATTTCACTTCATTTGTTGTCATTCATTCATTCTTATTGCTTTAAAAGATGTGGTACACCACTTTCACAATAAGGTCCTAAATATCCATCTGATTTACTCCAGTCACTTCATACAAGCCAGCATCATGCATTAACACCATGTCCTCCCCCAAAATCACCTTTTCTATACTCTCTGCAGTCTTTGCTCTTTTACTCATGTTTCTGGTTCCTGGATTTCTATCTCCCTTAGGTGTCTCACTTCAATTGCATTCTTCACCCCAGCCATTCATCTCATTCTCATTGCACTCTATCTCTCATATCATTCACCTCAAACAGGCACATATTTTATTAATCTTTCTTTCACTTCCCATCTTCTATGTATGTCCATAACACTAGAGCAGTTCCTAATCTGTTCACTGCTTAACACCCCGTTTACTTGCACATCTCCATATTTCTTGTTGTTTGCATCCTGTTTACTTCACATGTTGCTCTCAAGCATGTTATATTTGTCTTCTAATCTTTCTCTCTCATTCTCTTACTTTAGACATCACTCCCAGATATTTGAAAAATTCATCTTCCAGTCTATCTCCATTTAAACTAACAAATTTCTCCTTGTATTCCTTCCCTACTTATTTTTAGGATCAATGTGGATACACTACATACTGAGCCTTTGGTACACAAGGAGGCAATGTTGGGGGCACTGCACTCGACCACCTTAACTTCACCAACCCATAAAGTTAGGTACCCATTTATAGCTGGGGGGACTGGGAGTGCCCTTGGATGAAATCAGCAACCCTAAGACAGGAGCTGAGCACTGTATCAACTCAGGTACCATTCTCCTTATTGTACACATAAGCACATTCAGAAAGATTTGTAGTGTCACCTGTAAACAACAGCTCACACACTTGTCAACATTTTTTATCATTATTTACTAGAACTATACATGAGCCTATAACTCGTGCTGTCACCTCATTTACTACCTCATCCATGAATGTATTATATAATCCTGGTGTAATTATATACTTTTCATGTACAGGACTCATTCTAATTTCACTGGGAACCATTTTCTCTCTTCTGGACAAACTTTACCACAGACTTCTTTTTTAAACTTTTTTCTTTGCATTCTTTAAAATATCAGTGAGGAAGTGTTTTTAGATTATTGGAACATCATAAAACAACTTGTTCAATGAGTAGATAATCAAGATTTGGGTGTGTTGCTGCTGGTAGATTATTATGGTGTTGACCTGGTAAAGAAATGTGAATGTGGTTTAAATGAAAGAAGAATTTATTTTGCTACATAAGAGAGTAATGACATTATATTTGAAAAATGAATTGTTGGAACCTGTATTAGAACTTGAGTCACTTATGGGTAATCGTTTCAAAAACAAGTACAGTACAGGTAATTTAGTAAGATTGTGTAGTACTCTAGTACTAAACCATTGGTGTAGAGGAAGGAACTTCTCTTACTTCCCTATGGTGAAAATTTTAGATTTAAATTTTATCTGTTGATTGGAAATATGTTTGGATTAGTGCACAATAGCAACATATTTTATAGAGCATGTGTGATTAGGAATGAGCAGAATTCACACACAGCAATGATCATGAGATGCAAGTTTAGATATTTTATTGGGTGAAAGACTGCTGTGCTAAGTTGGTTTAGTTACATGTAGGTACTGCAGTAGATGCAGAAAATCTTCCCCCTAAAATTAGTTAGGTCATCAAAAACTACCCGAGAGGATTGATAATAATGATATACTGTACACACAAGGAGTGTAATAATTTATAAAAGTGCAATGTGCTGTATGAAATGAAGTGCAAGATTTTGAATTAGATACATAGCCCAATATAACTAACATAGTAGTATACAATTTTTGGTTGTGTTAATCAGCTTTGTAGATGACTGAAAGGACTAAATAACGTACATGAGAGAATTTTACTCCCACACCTCTGGCCTAGTTATAACTTGTGCCCCTCTCTGTACATCAGGTCTCTACATGCAATACACCTCAGTAATGCAACTTGTGACCAATGCAACCATGAGATATTGTGTCTGGGTAACTAATTTAGTGAGGATTGAATTATCATTTCTATTTAGTCTGTGTGGTCCACTTCTCTTATTGAGAGATTTTACTGTGCTTGCATATGGAACAAGATATCCTGCTACCGAATTTGAGGTATGTGATCAAAAATTTATTGTGCTGTAAATGTGATAAGAAATTTTGTTTGATTGACAATCTTATAGATATACAGTGATATCCTCGTTAGCCGGAACAATTGTTGCAAAGCACTTCCGGGAATGAGACATTTCCGTTTAACGAGACGACTCAAAGCCGGAAAAAATCCCCCATCCCCGGAACTTTCTGGGTAGCGGGAAAATATTCTCGGAAGTTTCAGAAAATGTCCATTACATCATCCCTCAATCCCTGAAAAATATCCCTCATCCCCGGAATTTTCCGGGTAACGGAAAATTTTTCTCGGAATTTCCAGAAAATGCGTCTGATTTTCATCTCTCAAACCTGGAATAAAACTCCCCCACCCCTGGAATTTTTCTCAGAATTTTCTGAAAAATGTGCCCCTCGGAAAATCTTTTCTAAAACCGTAATTTTCCGGAAAATTACGGCTTTGGGAACTATTTTATGAGAAAATTTAAATTCCTGCTATCAGAGAGTCCCGTGTTTGAGGGATTTCGGCTAACGGAGATATTACTGTACCTGTATTAGTGTAAGGAAATGAGAATGTATTTGTATAACTAGTATGAGTAAACCAGTCAAATGCAGCAAACAGGAGATGCATTTAAAAATACAATTGTGTTTGGTTATCCATAAGGACCTTGTTAGAGAATGTGGTTTAGTTCCCTTGTGTATACTTCATGAACAAGTGCTTTTCAATTGAAGTTAACTTCTTATGGGAAAAATAGGGATGTCTTACCAAACCTCAGAATTTTTGTATGCTTCTTTTTTTTTCTTTTTTTTTTTAAGGAATAATCCTTTTATAAGCTCATATGGTAAATGGCTGTTTTTACAATTTTCAGCTGCTTTCACCATAATTCATTGAGCCTGTTTTCCATGACCTGTGACTATTGAAATTATGGTCTATCAAATGAGGCTCTACCAGAACCATAGAACCATTATTCCTTATTAAAAATTTGGTCTATCTGGCCATTACTGTATATACCCCCCATTCTCTATGTAGAATTTTTGGTCTAACTACAATCTCTTATCTGATCTCATCATTCTGTATCAGTTACTCAACATTAAAGATCAGCACTGGATTACTCCCTATAGGGTATTTTTCTTTCAAGGTTTTAATTGAGTATGAAACAATATGAGTGATTAGTTCATAAATGTACATTTTGAAGGAAAATATCCTGAGACATAAAAAAAAACATAAACAGCTAGACCCCGACTTACGACGGGGTTAGGGACCCAAATCCAGGTCGTAAGTCCGAATGGTCGTAAGTCCGACATAGATAAAAATTTTTTTTTTTTTTTTTTAATAAAAAATCTACAATGAAATACAGTACAGTAAAAGTAATAAATAATGAGGAATGGATACAGTGTGACTGAGCACTTACCTTTAATGTAGTCAGCTGAATGCACATGGGGCCCCCATAATTTTCTAATTATACATGGAGACTACATTAACTGGAAACGTTTCGGTATAGAAAATGCGTGCGTCATTTGAAGAAGAAAAAAATGGTCACAACTGCGGCGGTCGTAAGTCGAAGCAGTCGTAAGTCGGGGTCTAGCTGTACTATATACAGAATTTTAAAACATATTCATATGAGAGGAAGAGTTGGATGTGGGAGCATTAATGGTTAAAGTGGATTAAATTCAGGTTTATTTAGTGTTTCCCTGAAGTATTGAAGTAAATGATAATTTAATGAAGGTCTTGTACAGATTCTTTTTACTGCTGTGTGTGTGTCTTCAATGAGTGATTTACTGATAGAAATAGAATATTTTTATGTGGATTTTAGTACAGTGGTCCCTCGGTTAACGAGCACAATTCGTTCTAGAAGGTTGCTCGTTAACCGAAAAACTCGCTAACCGAAACCATTGTTTCAACAGCTTTTGGGTAATTGGTTCCAGCTTACCAAAAATTGCCTAAATTCAACTAAAAAGGTAGAAAAGTACATTTACTTTGAGGTGTGTATGTAGAAGGCTCCTGGATGATGATGATGATGATAGGAATTAGAATGGGGGTGGAGGAGAAGGGAGAAGAGAAAGCATTGGGGTGGAAGAGAAGTCACCCCATGTCGCCATTTCACCCATAAAATTTTAGTTCTCTTGGTGTAATTCAAGATTATTTTCTTTAAATCAACACCGCACTGCATTATACAGTATATTGTCAATATGTAAATTAAATTTCAAAATGACCAATAATTTGCTTGGAAACACAGAAAAAAAGCGTTTAGTTGAAGAGAGTCTCAAGCAAGATGTTACCTCCACTGAAAAGACACAGAAACTGACTCCTGTTTGGTGTGTTGACAGGCTGTTTGGCACGCATAAAACTAGTTTCCTGTACTTCAATTATGTTCAATAATTGTTAAAATGACTAAAAAATTTAATATTAAACTTTTAAAATTATTGAATAGTATAAACTTCTTGATATTTACTAAAATAGTAAGGAATTTAAGCCCTAGAACCGTTTACTGTATTGGCGGACTAATACTACAGCTGGTGGACCGCCAAATGCAAGCGAAAGCATGTTGAGGTCCGCTCGTAAGAAACTCGTTAATCGAGGGATTGCTCGTTAATCGAAGTTAAGAATCTTATGGAAGGTAACTCGTTAACCGAGGGACCACTGTACAGGTAGTTGTTAGAACATTAGAAATACTTTTGTTAGATCAGAGGGTTGCAAATAACATGACAATGGTCTGAAGAATTGGTGTTTGTAAAATGTGCTTCACTTAAGTATTAAAAGGAACGAACGCCCACCAATACGAACGGGATTAAACTTGAAATTTACAGTATTTTAATTACCTGATGACTTATTTTTTATGTTCATTTACTGTATTTTGTTATTCTCTTTCTTCTTTAGTCTTAAATTAAGTGATTTTAGATGTATATAAGGACTTAGGCTATGATATACTGTAGTGGGATTTTAAACATTGTTCTGTAAGTACGGTATGCACAGAGTATGTGTTCCAACTTACCTACAAATCCGACTTAAGAACGTCCTCAGGAACGGAACCCATTCATAACCCAGGGACCCCCTGTATACAGTAATTACTGTACTTGCCCAATGACATATGGGAAATTTTATTTATTGTACTTTTTGCAGAGCTAATTACTCACTCCCAATGGTTTTCCAGGTAACTTTTGGTGTTTTTGTGTTATTCTGGATGTACTTAAGTATAACCCGGAACTGTAAGATGATGCACCTAAGTCGTACCTCTAATGATCACTGGCGAGTGGCGAACCCGAGGTGCTTCGATTCCTTAATTCATTGGTTCGCTTTACTGATTCATATGAAAATAATCGACTGGACGGCGGAAAGAATACCATACACGATTGGTCCGTCATCTATAATCTCATTAGTTTTCTTAAATCACTTCTATCCACCATTAGCTAAAATAAAACTGATAATTATTAACGAAAGATAGTCATGAGTTTCGAAGCTTCGTCAACGATCCGCTCTTACGTCACTAAACTAGTCCACAACCAAACAAGCAGTTGGCTTCCACGGTTAGCATAAGCGTAATACTTCCATTACTATTTTTATTATTATTACTATTATTATTATTATTATTATTATTACAATTATTATTATTATTATTACTACTACTATTATTATTATTATTATTATTATTATTATTATTATTATTATTATTATTATTATTTGGGGTTTTAGGCCGTGAGACGTGAGTTAATGTTCGACTGATGACTCGCTCTTTGCTCATGAAGAATATCAAAATCATCAAATATTAATTTATTTTTCTTTCTAGGGTGTGTAGATGGGTGGAAGGGTGTGTGGATTGGAGGTAGGGTATGTGGATGGGAGGAAGGGTGTGTGGTTGGAGGTAGGGTGTGTGGATGGGAGGAGGGGGTGGGTGGGAGGAAGGGTGGGTGGATGGGAGGGAGAGTGTGTGGATGCGGGCAGGGGTTTGTTATTTCTTTTAGATTGTTTGGCTCTCTGAGGCTGGCTTGAGGTTTACGGCTGACTAGCTGAAGTGAACGGCTGGCTGGCTTATGTGAATGGCTAGCTAGCTGAGGTGAATGGCTGGCTGGGCTGAGGCAAATATCTGGCTGGCCAAGAACTCCACCAAACAGATCCTCAATGCCAGACAGGCTGCATGTCGTCATTGGCAAGTACTGGGCAAGAACTGGCTCCAGAATGTATCTGCACCTGCGCCAGTGTTGGTCAAGTCTGGTGTGGGGTATGAGATGTTTGGTTCACACTCAGGATTGGATGGAGAAAGGAAACTCACAATGTGCTCTCTATATACATGTTGTATTGGATGTACAATGCAGCTTGGTGCTGGGAAGGCAGCATTGTTACAAGCGTGATGTAGAGAGAGCTGGTTGGTGAGGACGCTCAGAGAAGGACAGCTTGTGGGTCGCCATGCTCGCCAGCGGGAGAGAGGACCGCCAGGCAGGCGGAGGAGGAGGTGTTGCTGGCCGTGGCTGAAGGTAGAGAGAGAGATCACCACGAGGTCAGGTCTTAAATAGCGGGGGTAGGCGTGACTTAGCAGTTGACCCCCGCTCCGTGGTGTATGGCGGCGCTGGTTGACCTAGACCACGAGGCATACACTGGGGAATTGGTGGGGTCGGCTAGGCAGCGACAAACAGCGTTTGTAGGGGAGAATTCCACTACAATACTCCCCCTTCCCTCCAGGCTGTGTAGGAGACTTGTTGTCTGCAGGGTTGCATAGCACATGTGAGGCAGAACGGGCGGTGCGTGCCTCATGTGAGACAACGGCGATGGCGTGATGAGCCGGTCGCTGGATACAACTGTCTAGATACACAATATCTGTGGGAGTAGAGAGGGAGAATAAGGGTGTGTGGAGGCGATGAATGTTGTGCTTCCCTCACGGCAGGTACAGAGTCGTCAGATGCGCCTGCTGGGGTGTGTGGGCCTGGGTCAGGAGCAGGGGCTGCGTCAGCAGAAGCGGATGAGGGCTCGTGACAGCAGCTGGGTCCACGACAGCAGCAGGGTGCAGGACATTAGCAGGGAGTACCTGGGGGAGAAAAGAGGGGTGTGTGTGTCCGCACTCAGGAACAGAGGCCGCATCAGGGGCGGCAGGGGTTACTGCTGGGCCGGGGTCGGCGTCTGAGGCAGGACGGGTGTGCTGGGGTCGGAAGAGGAGCGACTGTCTGCTTAGAGTAGCAGAGCTGCTCTAGGGTGTCTGACCTGTGGTGTAGAGACAGTAGCTGTAGAGCCGATGAGAGCTGCTTCTGGGTGGATAAGCCAGTCTTCCATGTTGCTTGAAGACTGGGAGCGTGGTCAGTTTCTCCTCCATCCTGTGTGAGTGCGAATCTCCGGGAGTCACCATTTGTTGGGTATGAGATTGTTTGGTTCACACTCAGGATTGGATGAGCTCACTCTCGGTGCTCTCACACTCTCTGGCAGAGTGTGCCAAGAGTTTACAAACTCAGAAAAAGTTTACAAACTCGGAAAAAGTTTGCCTTGACAATTTTCCGAACTTGTGGCTTCTTCAACCATAAGCTGTGACCACCCGCCCCGCTAGGCTAGTGGGGCACGTCCCCCAGCTCCAAGTATGGACCCTCGACTGAGTAATGCCCTCTGAGTTGTTTATAAACTTCAATTAATTCGCCCCTTGACTACCTATAGTTTAAGCTAGGCAATTCCTGTAGGGGGAGGGATATAAATTTGCCCCACTTAAGAGTTTGATAAAAAACAAAAACAAATATGAAGCACTATGAGTGTATTGTATGTGGGGATTAAAGATTCACATGGTATACTGTGTTTGTAAACTGAGGATATGAACAAGTACTGTGTGTACTTGTACTGTAATAGTACGTCAGTTTGTTGAACATTATTGTATTCGTCTCCGAGCGGAATGGTAAAGAATCATAGACATGACATGACGAAAAATGCAATTAAGTGCAGAAAATGATGAAGTAGGCACTCATGTTTTGGATGTGTAACCTCGGCAAGAAAACGTAGTGCATATACATTTTCAAACTTCTGGGAACCTATCAAACCCTATCTTCTTCCAATTATACCCCATTCTGCCCGCTCCGCAGTTCTACATAATCATAATCAATATATTGCCATATTATGTTCTTTCTAGTTTAGCGACGGCCTTGCCCAGGAAAAATATTGCATCCAGTGTGTTATCGGTCATCGTATGTGACCTGCCGGTGTTGTGTAACTGTGCCCCAACTCAATAATGGTTGATCCACCTGAGCTAGCCTCACAAGTCACAAGTCAAAAATAAAAATCGGTCCCCAATGGCAACTTTTTAGTTTGTCGCTTGCGCACATTAAAATGAAAGATAATTTTCATCATCTTATATTACAAAAGAATCATCTCCTAGATATATAGTTTATGATTAGACTAATATATAAAAATGCGCTGTAAACTTGTTAAAAAAATAAAAACATAAATAAAGGCCAAGTAGTTTTAAACGACACAGGATAATTTCTAATGTGTTATTGTTCGTAGTAACATTTCTCCAGGTAGGGTAATAACTTTATGAGAACGGCCTTGATGCTATACTGCATGAACCAGTACAGTTATTCACTATTATTGGCAAATAAAATTTTTAACCCAATCCAGATCATTAATTGGTCGTTGATCACATACTTTTATTTATAGAACGAAAAATTTAGTTATACTGTATATTAATTTATCACAGTCATCATGCTCCACCCACAGCTCAAATTAGCTTCCGTGGAACAGCATACAGTGCAGACGACCTTCTCAAAGTCAACCACTAGCTCTAAAGGTGCACCACAGGTCATGGAATAAAAAAAAAATAAATTGCTGTTTCTAGACAGCAACAACAAGGTCTACAATTATATAAAATGATGAACATTTAAAGTGACCTAGAGAGGTTACCCAAAGGTCACTGACGTTGTTTGAGGCATTGCTCTGTTTCCCTTTAAATCTAGCGGTGAGGGTTAAGGAATAGCGCGCATGCGTGTGCCGTGACCTTGAGGTGTCCATGAGAGAGCGTGTAAGGACGCGTCGTCTGCTACTGGTTCTAGTGGACCGCTGAACTCCGTGAGAGAAGGATCACGCGAAGCAAGATGACCACTCCACAGACCGACCTCGAGAAAAGAAAGCAGATCTCCGTAAGGGGGATTGCTCAAGTTGAAAATGTTGCTAATGTCAAGAAGACATTTAATCGTCATCTTCATTACACTTTGGTGAAAGACAGAAATGTGGCAACTCCCCGTGATTATTATTTCACCCTTGCCCACACAGTCAGAGATCACCTCACCTCAAGATGGATCAGAACTCAGCAGCATTACTACGAGAAGGATCCAAAGGTAAGAAATTATGCCGTTGATAATTAATTTAGTCTCACCATATAGGGGATGTTCATGTTGGAGTTCAAGCGGGTAGATATGACATGGCAACTGAGCTCATTACCTCACTGTATCTTGTCAGGAAATGTAAGAGATGGCCAGTATAATTTCATAATTTAATATTTTTTTCTATATATTGTAAGTACAACAGTATCTCTCAAACGCGAATAATATAATCTCGCAGGTACAATTTGGCATCTGTTCTTAAACACAATAGATCCAACATCCTGCCTCCGTTAATTTATCGATTATTTCTAGTTCCCGATATTATTTTTAAGGTTCGTAGCCTTATACCAGCATTTCAATTACCATATTTTAATATATTTTATTCCATCCAAATGATCTGATGTTTGTGAACTAGTACAATCAATCGTAATAACGGGGTCCAGGAAAATAGGTTGCCATGCTTTCTCTGTATGATAACTTGGTGTCTTTCAAAGATAAGGAAAACGCCCAATAACACACATTGCCACACGATCCCCAAGGACTAAACTGGAACTTAAACATTATTATTGAGTACGTCATTACACACATACATTAATTGAGATGGAATAATGCATGTAGTGTATGTTTGGTGTGTGTAAGCCCCGGTGTGCGTGCGGTGCCGTGAGGCTTGACCTCCTTCAGAATGAAGGAGAAAGGTAGAGATGTCGAAACTGAATACGGTCAACGATCTCCCTTGGGGACTGTAATAACTACACCAAACTCTCACTACACACTTCACAGCCACCCCCCCCCCGCTTCCCCAACTCGCCATCGGAACCGATATATTCAAGAGCCAGTGCATACCAGGGCCGGATTCAGGAGTGGGCAAAGTGGGCAGCTGCCCAGGGGCCTCCACATATTACAATATTTTATTTATTGGATGCAAAACTTCAATTTTATTTATAGTTGAGTTAATACTTATTCTGAATCTATCTGACCTTGGACTTAAAGAAGCCTATACATGCATTCTTGGACAGAACCATTATTTGAGTAGAGGTTTATCTGATTAATAATGCAAAGAATCATCTCTCTGTAATAATTAATATTATATTCTTTTCTGTGAAGTCTCTTGAAAATTTTTGACATGTGCAGTAGTAGCTATATCAGGGCTGGTCGACTTGAAACACACTTTTGTGTGTGTGTGTGTTGGGAATTTGTACACTATCAATAAATATACAGTTAATTAACAATTTCTCAATGTTCTAATTTTCTCAATATAACTGCATATGGCTTCAAAATTCTCTAAAGAAGTGTTCATATTTCAAAATATTCCGGGGGGGCTTACAGCGCCCCCCGGAACTCCCAGTTGTTTAGGCTCGCTTCACTCGCCACCCCACCCTCTTGGGTAGTTATAATGAGGGGGGCCTCCACAAAGAGGCTGCCCATGGGCCTCCACAGGTCTAAATCCGGCACTGGTGCTTACCCAGTACTTGCCAACAGTGCATAACAGAGACGTGACCGACCCCCCAAGCGGCTAACGAGCCGATTATTGTCACACGCACACATTGTATTTGAGAACGGATCTCATGAAGATTAGGAACCACAATTTATCTTACCTGATCATTAAACACCATAATGCTAAGCTAATCAAACCTAGCATCATCTAATTTATTCTAACCTAACTCCCCAATAGCATTCGGGTGGTTAATTATCAAATTCACTTTCTGTATACTGTACTCACTATGTTCACACACTCAGTATATTAAAAACTCGCCATTCTTAAATACACTAAATTTTCAGATGTATTCACTGTATTTAAAGACTGACTTCATATTAAAATCTTACTATATTCACAGAGATCATATGTGAATACACTCACTATATAGGAACTCTTACTAACTTTAAACTCACCTTATCTCAATACTCAAGATTACTTATTGTATCCAGACGTGCACCATAATCAAACACACTCAGTCACCATACTCAAACACACGCACTATATTCAAACTCGTTCATATTTAAACACTTGTCAGATTCAAATGCACTCACCAATTCACTTAGCATTCAAATCACTCGCCTTGTTCAGTCACCGCATTCTCTCGCCATTTTTAAACATTTTAACTCCCTATCTCCAGCTACTCACCATATTAAAGAATGCGCACGAAAGACACACACACACAGAAGCACAGTACTGTGCAGTATATGATACTCACGATCACGGGTACCAAGGTTCAGTGACCTGCATAACTGTCTCCAGGCAATCAAGATGGTGACGTCATATGGGGTGGCAGGATAGACCCCTGAAAAAAAAAGTTCATAGAATATTTTTAATTAGTACTGTACTTAATGTTATTGAGTGTTTTCATGTTAGAGGTAAAACCAGTACAACCAACATGTTATCTTAAAGGTATAAAAATTTCTGTGTACAAGATAATACAATGATTAATTTTAATGTAACAATGGTGGGGGGGGGGGGATCTCTGCCAGAGGTAACCCACACGTACTGATGCAGTTTGCAATACAGGGTGAGCATAAAGTCTATCCCTGATTACAAATATTTATTACACAAAACATATGCTAGGTACAAACATACAGTTTTTTGCAGCTTAAAATATGCATGAACAAAAATCTATGAATTCGTCTACATAATGCTACAACATTCATGTTTCTATCTAGAATTGTCTTCAAGATATCATTTTTCATAATCAGGGAAAGACTATGCTCACCCTGTACTTTAGTTATCACCCGGGCACAGGTCATTGATCCACATCGGGGCATGGGGGGGGGCGAAAATGTAATAATAATAATTCATAGTAAATAAAATTTATAATAAAAAATACAAATTTGAAAATAAAATAATAAATTAATAATAATAATAATATCTAAAGTGAGAAACAGTATATGTATGTTGTGTTCAATAGTAAGAGAAACAATTGAGACCCTGCATTTGTGTAAATGAGGCAGAAAGTCAGATCAGCATCCTGGGTTTAGTCACAATATTCGTGATGCCATCTGGCAGCAGGGTCCACCATTGGACAACACATTATGCTTCCAATATGTAACCAGGCGGTAGTACCTCCCTGTTTGATAGCTGCCTACGGTATTTAGAGATGTTGACCTGGTTTTTTGAACACAGTAATATATGGAGCACCTGTTAGTGAATTTGAGGTTGCATTTACTTTTATTGTTTAGACTTTTTTTCCTTTCATCGTGTCATTTGTGTTGCTAGAGCTTTCTTCGGTTTTATTTTAGCCTATACAGAATGTAATTGTGACTATTTTATAGTAGGTTTTTAGACACGATGCTGTAAATATCTAGAACATAGATACAGTACAATTATCATCATTGTCTGACCTTACATTTAGGGATATCTTCTATTAGAGGTCGAAAATATAATCTATTGCACGTTTATTTTTAAGGCTAATTCTGCAAGTATCTGAAAGAGATCAGGTTCTAATTAGTCTCATATTTTTAAATGTTCAAAACAAATATTGGTTGTTGTTAATTACAGAAAATAAAGGAACTCAGCCGTGCATGAACTAGGATTTAGTGGTAATGTAGGATTTATCAAGAGAGCATATTCTCATTAGATTCCAGTTATTTACATATCTACATTTTTAATGGTGTAGTATCTAGTTTCTTGATTACTTGTTATAGAATTCAGTGTCCCACGCGGACTACGATCAATGATCTGTTAAGCATAAGATAATGTGGATGTGAGGCAACCTGGGTAGTCTGGACTTCTGAGTACGTGCTGAAGGGGGTGTATACCACTTACAGTAAGTTGGGGCCCCATTTGTGTAGATAAGGAGGTGATGTTCCCTTTTCGGAAACTAGATATGTGTAATTGCTGAATTTTCATGATCCCATCTTATAGATTTTAATTAAACACTGAAGAATAGATTTACGGATCGATATGATATTTGATGGAGAGAAATTTACTGGTGATTTGTAGGCGAGGTCCATAACAATCATTTCGTCTCCCCATTCTTTAGTAATTGCCATTCGTACAGTTTAGACATTTGTCAGAGACATGCGTTTTCAGATTATTAACATAAGAACGGAATATAAAATCGAAGTGAAATTTAGCTTATATTTTAATATCGTTGATATCTGGGTTCAGTTCGATAAACAGCGTTTTTCGGCAATACTGCCTTTGCCAATTATAGTACCGGTTTAACTAAGCGTGCTATGCAATGTTGTTTCATGGTGGCAGAATACATCAACTTTTTATTAAGGTACAAGAACGCAGACACTACGCTGAATATCATAACTAGTAAAATGACCCATTTGATCGATAAATATATACCCAAGACCAAACCCAGTGCTTCTAGGAATACGAGGGGATCCCTACACATGAACCATGCGGCGGTCGACAAAATTAAGAAGAAAACCCAGAAATTCAAGACGTGGGTTGGGTCAAACGATGAGCAAGACAGGAGGATGTATGCAAGAGCCAGAAACCAAGCAAAGATAGAGTGTAGGAGGGCTGAAAAGGAGTTCCAAAGGCTGGTTGCACGCGAGGTCAAGTCAAACCCAAAGGCGTTTTACCGCTATGCAAAGTCGAAATTGAAAACGCGAGTAGGAGTATCAGACCTGAGGCTTGAAGATGGTAGTTACGCAGATTCTGACCAGGATAAAGCTGAGGCATTGAACAGCTTCTTTTCCTCAGTGTTCACAAGAGAGGATGCAACTAACCTTCCTGCGTTTGAGGACAGACGGTTCGACACAGCACTGACCCACATTGTGTTCACAGAAGAGGGTATTAGAAATAAACTGTCCAGGCTAAAGGTCCATAAGAGTCCTGGACCTGACATGGTGCATCCTAGAGTGCTAAGGGAGCTGTGCAACGAGCTTGCAGAGCCCCTGAAGATTCTGTTTTGTAAATGCCTGGATGAACAAATGGTCCCCAGTGAATGGAAAGTGGCTTATGTGAGTCCTATCTTCAAGAAGGGCGATAGGCACTCCACGAACAACTATAGACCGGTGAGCCTGACCAGCATAATATGTAAAGTACTTGAGAGTATTATCAGAGA